GACCAACCAGCCAATGGGGCGGCTGCTGTGATAAAGATGAGGGGGCGGCACGAAGAAACACATTTTGAAATAAACTTTAGAAAGTGGTGAAGGGGAGGATGAGGTGGTGCTTAGAGGAACGGCGAGGAGCAAGACCAAGTCGGCTTGTGAAAGGAGGAAAAGACTAGCAACAGATACACAGAGGTATAATACAGATAGTGGCAAGCAACTTGAAAAAGCCGAAAAAGCTTCGCTAGTACGACAGCTACTATTAACACTTAAAACGACGAACTGATCAACGAGAATCGATAGCTAGACCAAGTCAAGTCAAGTATTTTTAAGAAGAAAATATCTTAGAATAGAAGACAATGTTCAAAATGATCTTTCAATCCACAGGCACTCCTTATATAGCAAATTATAAGCCCCGCCCCCAAGCCCCATGACGATAATTTACAAATGACGCCATATTCGAGTTTTTTCAACCCTACATTTGCCTCGGGCACGATCAAAATGCGCACAAACAACTGAATCACCTATCCAGCCCCCGAGGCGAAGAAAATATTTTCGCGCGAATTTATTAGTCATCGAATAAAAATTGCAAAAAACAATGGGCACACGGAGTGGTCAATTTCTGCTCAATCAGAGCAGGGAATAGTGACGTGGATCTTACAACCTCAATTACCAAAAATTTGCATTTGTAGTTTCGTATTCGCGTGGCAAGTAACGCGAATGTTTGGGGGGCGAACACTAATAATAAGGGTTTACGAATAAATGATCTGGGTGGCGACCGGGGGATCGGATTTCTTTACCCGGTAATCCCAGATTTCAGGGGGTCCGCCCGGGGGTTTAGGGCTTCAGTGCGGCTATTGTTTTGCTGTTGGGGGATTGTGGTAATTTCAAAAAATCTTTGCAGAGTTTTAAAGGGCTGGTGAAGGTTACGAGGAGGCAGTGAAAGTGTTGGAAACGAAGGAGAAAAGTTGCTTTGAAAATGGCAGGTAAAACCGGCGCGCTAAAGCTCTTCTAAAAAACCCTAAAGCTAAGTTGGCTTGAGGGATGGCTTGAGCTCGCTTGAGAATGCAAAAACGTGAAAATTTTGGGGCCGTTAACAAAATTAATAATAGAATTATGGTTAAAGACAATACTTACATGGAACCGGTTTTAGACGATAATGGGGTTTTTCTATAAGACTTGAAGTTCTGCGAAAAAGCTAATTTCTTCCGGGTTTGGTTCCAAAATTGAAATTTTATCGAATGCGCTATGCTAAAAATCACATAACAAGACCATTAACATCTAAAAATGATTTTTGTTAGCCTATTTTATAGTTAAATCCACCAAATAAGCCTAAGAGAGAAAACATGATCGAAATCAAGTAATGATTCATGGGGCATTTCACCTATTTCTATAGAAAAATCCATTAAATAAGCCTACTATACGTAGTATCGACGATGGCGTCAGCAGCAGTGGTGTACCATAGCAGTCTAGGGTGTCCAGGAAGACGCTACCGTAGTGCCGTAGAGTGGGGTGTCTTTCGGCTGGGACAGAGCCTCCATCCTTGTGGTGTGATGTTGAGAAGACCGGCCCTAAGGGGGGAGGAGACTTTTGGAGTCTTTTGGAGAATCCCTGAAGCACGGTGTGCCATCCACGCTTTACAGCACACACACACAGATCCGAGCAGTGGCCTAAGAGACGAGAAAGATTGAGGAATATTTGGAGAGGATTGACGGCAGACAGTTCGCCCTCTCTTCCTCTAGACCACCTCTCAACCAACGTCTTGTCTATAGGAGAGGACCCCCCTCTTTTCTTGCCTAGGCCATCCGACCTAGGGGATCCACGGAAATGTCCCAAAGATCTCATCGGCTAATGTGAAAAATGGTTTTTGAGGGTTGGGAAGGGGGATCGATTGTAAGCTAGTGTGCATGGTATCAAGTTCAAAGATGAATATTCGGTTCATTCGGAAGTCTTTGGTCATCCACGGGTTTTCCAAAAACTCTATTTCAGCCTGAAAAGTCATAAAGCTCCATTTGACTCGAGTTTGTTCTCATCCCACGTTTAAAGTCTACCGCACCGAGGTCGGCTTGAGAAAAAAATATCGGATTTTTCGCCAAGACCCGTCCCCGGAAGTCATGAGTCGACTTTGGATGCCTAACCTAAAGGAGACGTTTTTGAGTGTCGTCGGGACTTTGGCATGGGACCAAGCCTATCTTTTGGAGATTTGGAGAAGATGGTAAATTGAATCGATAATTTTTTCTGAACAAGATGCACTATCTGCTTTTGTCTAAAACCTATTCCGAAGCCTTTTATGACTATCGAAAGTAGCCGATTTTGGGCGGATTTGAGGTTCAAATCGTTCATAACTTGCGAGAAATGGCTATTCTGCAAAAACGGTTACCATATTCGGAATCAGCGTAAAATTCTGCACAAGACAGGCTTGGTCCCATGCCAAGGTCCCGACGACACTCAAAAACGTCTCCTTGTCAGCCTAAGCTTAAGCACAAACCTGTACCTAGCTGAAGCTTAAGGTGTATATAAGCCTACGCTTAAGCCACGCCGATCTCTAAGCATAAGTTGAAGCGCAAGCCCATGCCGAAGCAATCCCCCGGGGCAAGGATACACCTTATAGTTAGCGGACTAACCCGGTTAACGTCTCCCGTTGTAAAAGCGGTTGTCAAATCGATTAATCCCAACATTTACACCTCCATGATTTTCTACCTGGCACGTTTGACCGGAGTCTACGGGGGCTGTCGGACGAAAAACAGCTATTTGTTCCGAGTTGCTTCTCGGAACGGAGGTGAGGGGGAGGGAAGGGAAAGAGAGATGGAGCGAGAGTGTGCGAACAGGATAGAGAGATAAGGAGAGAGCGAGCGGGAGAAAGAGAGAGAGAGCGAGAGAGAGAGAGAGAGAGAGAGAGAGAGAGAGAGAGCGAGAGAGATGCCGAGAGACCGTTTATAAATAACAGAGAACAGCCGCCTCGGGGGGCTCGGGGCCAGACCAGAAAAAAGTGGCTTTCTACCTCTGCGGGATGGAAATGGCAGCGGGGGGGGATAGGGCATGAGGGAGGTAGAGGATCTTTGAAAGTATTTGAGGGTTATTTTGCACAAAATAGGAGCCAAATTCGGGGTTTGGAATTGTTCATGTGTAAATGGAGGCTTAACGCAGAGATCGTCCCCATAAGCCCTCATACTCAGAGAGCCTTAGCCAACTAGTAAAACGCAAATGTACATAGGTTCATGCGTACAATTCCCCAACGGGCGCACTAACCTTTGAATCTTGAAAATTCAAACATTTCACCCGCTCCAACCCACAATTTCGAAACCAAATTACGCATAAATGCGAAAACATGTGTATGAGTGGCTGACAGACCGTCGGGAACCGGACCCCCTGTTCCCAGCCACAACAAAACCGTTTTGATGGGCCCTCAATGGCCGATTCAATTTCCCCGGAGAGAAAATAGACAGCATTTCATGTGACTACCGACTAGTCATCGATAATCCTTAGAATTTGACGCTAATTGGTTTCAATTTAAATTTATCTGCAAGTATTGGCCTTCTATGCGATCTACTCTGCAGCTGCGGGATCCGGATGCGCACACAGCGCTGTCCGCGCCATTTTTTTTGCTGCCTGGGCCACTGGGGCCGAGGAACCCCGGCCGGGAAGTTACACACTGTATCGGCCACCCCGCGACTGCGCAGAGGACCCAAGGGCCATAAAAATGGGGCAGATGCTAGATGGGGAGGGGAGAATATGTCGGGAGATTACTACGTACGACTCGCTAAGGACGGGGGGGAGTTGGAAAAGGAGGCCCGCGATTCTGGGAATTTTAGAATACGCATTAACGATAATGCGAAATTCCTGGCTTTAAAGTACTTTTAAGGTCCTTTTCTGGCTTATCGTTTTGCTATCACCAGAATTTAAGGTTCCAGCTCGTGTTGCCAAACCGATAGTCTTGTACGTCTGGCCCAGTACATTCTTTTAGCTTCTTTTCTTTTTAGCTCTCTCTCTCTCACCCTCCCCCCTCTCTCTCTCTCTCTCTCTCTCTCTCTCTTTCGCTCTCTCTTTCTCTCTCGCTCCTCGCTACCTATACCCCCAGGGCAAATTCTCCTTGTCTCTAACCTCCCTCATCCTCCACCCCATCCTCCTCCCCTCCCTGCCAACGACCACATGGGGGTGGCGATCGGCGAGCTAGAGGCAAGGGTTGTCGAAGGATTACAACACGTGTGTGCCAAAAGGGAGCTACAGGGCATCTTCGCCCTCCCCTCCACCAACCTTCCAAAACCCTCGCTAGTCTAAAGGGATAGACCCTGGTCTAAAGGGGCCATCAATCAAGGGACCTGTGCAACCGATCCATGATCCTCGTTCTCAGCAAATCCTTTGCTCGTCCTCCTCCTCCTTCCACACTCCAAATCACCACGGCTTGATGATCGCCATCCAGCCGCACAAAGAGAGGCAAAAATCTTGGCGAGATTTGTTATGGGCCAATGGGGAGGTCGGGAGGGGGACGGGGAAGTGCTGATTCGTGGGCGATTGGGGTTAGAGGTGGTTTGTAAAGTCGATGGGGAGGGGTGCTGTTGAAGCGGACGTGCGAAACCTAGAGATACCTTTAAAAGCAACTTCCAGGGACAGATTTTTCGTACGTGAGGATCTTAAAGCAGCCATTCCGAGCGTGGCTTGCGCAGAATTTTGCGCTAATTTCACACGGATTTCGACATTTCCAAAATCAGCATTTTAAGAGACTATAAGTTAACGTAAAAAGGTACAAAATGACTCTCACTCTATCTCTTTCTCTCTCTTTCTCTCTGTATCCATCTCTCTCCGTCTCTCGATCTCCTCTCTCTCCCTCTCGCTTTCGTTCTAGCTTTCTCTACTGAATCAGCAAGAACATATTTCTCAAACTTTAGACGCTTAGAAGTTTAGCCCCGCAGACCGTCTGGTGTTTCCAGCGTGTATATCTCTTCAAAAATCCAGCGCAACCAAATACATTAAGAAACAAATCCTTTATTCCAAAACCGACACCATTCTTTTTACGATTTCTGGTTTGAGGGGGCAAAGCCCATGCGCTTGTTGCCGAGGTCGTAGATGTTGCAGTACTGTCGGATGAAGGGGTCTCCAAGGATCCACGATGGGCCGAAGCCACCGAAGTCGAAGGGGAAGGCAGCGAAGTAGCACCTGGAATTATCATAATTTTTTACGTTGTTGATTAAACCATTTAGATGTAAAGTTTCAAGGTAAAAAGGAAAGACCTACTTTCCTTGCCCATCGGGGACAATGTAGTTGACCGGGTCAATGGAGTAGGTCTTGCCACCGATGCCAATGTCCAAAGTTCCGACGTTGGCGTTGCAGTCAACGTAGTAGACACCTTCGCTGTTGTCGTACTATAAGTAGCTTGCGCTTAGTGTTTTAGAATTGTGCAATGGGTCTATACTTCCTTATGTAAAGTTTTTACCTTGGCGCCGAGGGCCTTGCCGAGGCCGTGGACGACCGAGCTGGGGCCACCGAGGAAAGAGGTACCAGTGTCGGAGATCACGTCGTAGTTGTGGACCTTGCTGTACGATCCCAGCTTGAAGCTGGTGACCTAAAAAAGGACGTATCTATAAGTTTATCGGAATCGAGCTGGACGTGGAACGGCAATAAATCTGGATTTCGGCTTTTTACCCTATGTACCTTTACCCTTTTTATATACAGAGATTTAAAGTACGAAGAAATGCTCGCCTTGGACTGACGAGTATTTTGGTATACCTTGCAACCCTGTAGGCCTGTAGGAAGCCGAGCTACAAAATTAAGGAAACTGGACGCCTACCTCTGCAAGGTATCCTAACGAATTACTACGCTACAATCCGATACCTGGAACTGGAAGTAAGTAGCCGAAGACAGAGGCTGATAGGCGATGACAGCTCCGCAGTTGGTGGTATCAATAGCTCCATAGGTGAAGACACCACCTGGGGCTCCCTCAGCGGCTCCCATATGCTCCAGCCAGACGGTGAACAGCGGGGCGTCCAGCAGACCTGAATTCAACTTGGTTCTCCATATTTGTAAACAGGTGGTCTTTATTTTTAATAAGCTCATTTTTTCTAAAATATTTTCATATATATTTCTAGGCGGTAGGATTTTCGCGTTTGGGGTGTTCGTTCTAGGGAGAAAATTAACTCTGAAAGGCCGGAATCTGCTTTTTTTAATGATCCAATCGTTCACCCGTTTTTTTTGGAAATCTGGGACCTAATTTAATCTAATTTATGCTCGATAAAACGAGCTATATCGTCTCACAAAAACTTTAAGAATACCTAACAAATGACTCCTTATAAAAATTGTGCCTAGATGAATAGCCTACCTTGATCAATAGCGTTGAACAGCACCGGCTTGACGTTGTCAACAGCCAGGGATTGGAAGGCAAGTCCAAGGATTCCGTCGGTCGGGTCCTGGGCGAAATCATCAGAGATGTGGGTGGCCTGGCCGAAAGTGGTCTGGGGAACCGCCAATTGCTTGTCTCCAGCAGCGCCGAACTAAAAACAACATTCTATAAATTTGTAAAATTAGGGATACCTGAACAAGATCGACGGCAAGGGTTCCCTTGGCGTCTCCAGAGCCGTATTGGATGGACCACTTCTTCTTCAGATCCTGGAAGGTCGACGAAGCCGATCCGTCGAAGAGGTTTTTGCCCTTGCACGAGGAGCTGAAATTATTCAGTTTTGCTTTATTAGCGTTTTAATATTATTATTCAAAATTAAAAGCATGTAGAATATGCTGCTTGGGACGCATGACTTACTCGCAGTTCTTGGCTGGCACCCAGAGGTTCGATGATCCAGTGTCGAGGACGACGATGAAGCCCTGGCTGGGGGTTCCGATAGTGATGTTTCCGACGTACTCGAGGTCATCGTAGTCAAGGACCTATAAAACTGACCCATAAAAAATTGATAGAGTTTCAAATTTTGAACTTTAGGTTTGAACTTTGAATTTAGAAAAAAATCAGTAGAAAAGTACGAGTAGTAGTAAGCAATCACCAACATTCTGGGGCAGATTTCCAAGGTTGCTGGGCTTGAGGGCGCGGATCTGCTCCTTGTGGGCGCGGTAGGCGGCCCATTCTCCGCTTCGCATCATGCGCTTCATCTTGCTCTCGCGCCATGTCAGCTGATGAGTGAATGAATCGGCCAAGGCCACCGCCACCACGATGGCTAACAAAAATCCGGTCCTCATACCTAAAAAGATAAAAAATATTTACGCGAGTTAGTGTATAAAAGTATTAAACTAGCAAATAATCTTCATAAGAATTCAAAAAAGTAAAACATCATTTAACAACCAAAAGTAAGCTAGGATACTTTTTCAACCCGCATTTCTAAGGCTTATGCACCGAAAAATGGACTTTGTGAGGGTGGCCGCCGGCTTATCTGGCCCGAGACGGCTATTAAAATGACGTTCGCCAACCCATCGGTTGCACCAGAATGCCTTCTGAATGGTCATACCGCCCGGCCGCTCCTAAATCCCATAGCGATAAGCTTTTATCGCAAAACGCTTCTCCCCCCAATCAAGTCCAGAGAATATTGGCTTCCTAGCTCCGGGTAGACACGGGCAACTACAGATAGATCAGGACACGCCAAAATTTGGACCGCTGAAAAGAGTCGTCAGAAGTGAAGAAGAAAGGAGACGTGACAGGAACCGCTTCCGGTCACGTTTCTTCTTTTCTCCACAATCCTTCCAGCCTTTTACGCCTTTTTGCGATATAAATGGCTCCTAAAAATTATAAAAACTTCTAAAAATTTATTTTTTTAATCAGAAAGGTCAGAACCGGTCAAAACTCTTCAAAATTTCAAAATCGCTTAAATTCTTAATCCTTAGAAACTATTATCACACTAAAAACAGCTAATTTTTTGTTACGCTCTCTGCCCCGCTAACAAACCCGCAAACCCGCCACGCAAAATCCACTGTAAATCCTTACTCAATGTATTAAATGTATATCAGCAATTTATTCATAACATCAGAGACCATTAATAACTGGTTGCTCGCTCGTCGACTCCACTTCTACTGTCTCAGCACCGTCTTTTGGGCCTAGAATGTCTAGAATACTTTCCCGAGAACTTTTCAGGTATTTATCCAACGCAACCGTACACACCACCAGTAAATACAATTCAATGAAAAGGCACAATGGTGACGTGCAGATGTAATGCCGAGGGGAGGGGGAAACAGAGGGGCCGCGGCGATAAAGAATGGCGACAATATCGTATGGGTGAGTTTGTGAGTATCAACGGCCGACCCGACGCTTGTGCTTCATCTCGAGCATCGCCATGTAGCTGGAGGACAAGTCTGAAAATGGAGCCAGGTTAACCGAGGCGCGAAAAATGTGGTTAGTTTTTTGACAGTGGGTTATGGAGTACATGCGGTAAATTCAGGAGAATAAGCTAGCTATGAATGTTAGAAACACTCGATACAAAACATGTAGCGTGCTTGAGACAAAGCCGGCGATATATACAAGCTAGCAAAGAAGAGATGGCAAAAAGTCAGCATGCTATTAGATTTAGCACCCTTTAAGGTGCTTTCGCATTATCGGGGGTGGAGGCAAAAGTTTCCTGACGATCGATTTTCCACTATAAATAGAGGAACTACTTCTACATTGGTTTTACAAATTTTTATTAAACAAAAAGTACGAATACCGATTTTTCGACGAAAACGAAACACGAAACGTTTTTAGATAATCTTTCCACTAAAAATAAAGCCGATATTTACTAACAATTAAAAAACTTTGCTAGCACCTTATTAACTGACCTCCCCCGATGATGCCAAAGCCCCTTTCTTAGGAAAAGCTTGAATAAAAACGTGAGCTACCGAAGAGAAAAGCAAGGTAGCTCAAGCTGTGGACGACGGACGGCGCGACGGAGGTGAGAGGGAGAGATCATCTTCAAAAATTTCTCCAACTTCAGGGCCGAGCATCAAAAAGGGGAATCGAGAGGTTAGTAGGAACCGGTTAACCAGGCAGCTAGCAAAAAAAACTACGCACCGCTTGTGACTGATTCGCGACGAGCCGACGATTTTTGAAGAACTTCGCGAGACGGGGGGATGGCACCGCGTGTGTAGATGTGGGCCAGCGTCTCACGAAGCTAAAAACATTAAGGGGAATGAAGAATTAAGGTACCTCTTTTAACGCGACCACTCCGATTAATCGACCGCTTTCTGTGACGTACGCGTGGTTGAGGGCGAGTAGGGAGAACAACGTGTGAACCTGAGTTTATATTGTACAGGGTGGCGATTATTTACCTGCGCGTCGCTTTTTCCCCAAAAAAACATGCTTTAAATTTCCTTTGATAGAGTGGTTTTATTATATTGGTGGTTGTTTAGTTGCATCCTATCCAAATTTTAACCGGGTTAAACAATTACGAAAAACTACGAGCTAAGAAGCATAAATTCCCCGGCTTCACAACGCGCATCCTGATCGCATGGTCACACTTTTGAAGCCTACTGTAGCCATGCGAGGTAGCTAGTCTTTTCCAAAACGGCTCAGATATGTTGCACGCTTCTTTTCAAACGTAGTAAGCGTTCGAAAACCGACCTAAGCGAAACGATAAAAAAGATACAATATCGAGAACGAAATCGGTCAAATTGAATTAAAAACCGCGCGTCCTTTCGATATTACGCGTGAATCTATCGGTACGATATGCGAAAATATGGACAATCCTTACAACAACCATATGCCAAAAGTTCTTGGGTACATAAGGCTTTATCAGGAAACTGGAATCCAAAAATGCTAGAAATTGCTGACGATTTATGAGGCGCGCCGCGGGCTGAATTGATGGCATCATTTTTGGCCCAGAACTTCCCAAAATTCTTCAGAACCGGCCTCAATTTAACAATGCGATCGATCAAACCAATAAGAAGAGGGCTACATCAACGAAATTGCACCTTCCCGAAAAATCTTTTTATTTTTGAGGTGTCTCATTTTGGCCGATTCGGCTCCAGGCGGAAATTGGTCGTAGAATTTTTGTTATTTGGTAGGGCTAGGGCTCAATAAAAATGCTTTTAATGGCCTGAGCATCTGGAGGGTAATCGGAGGCATCGAATTAACAATAATTTGAGGGCACTACCTATCAAACTAAAAAAATATCGGGCCTTTTGACCGGTACATACCCGCGGCGCGCGCGCTTTTTTGCTCGACGACATTTTACGGGCTGGAAAAAAGGTGTATGGCCACTGACCCAAATTTTTTCTGTGCAAAAATTATTAGATAGCTTGTGATATCATAAAATGCAGATGGATCAGAGATTGCTTTAAGGAAAATTCAGAGCAAGCGTTTTCTCTCGCGCAGGTAATTAATCGCCACCCTGTATAGCTATAGTTTCCGCGTTATGCGTTTTCATTAATTTTTGCCGTGGCTTTTAGCTTACCTTATATAACGATGTGCCCTTGACCAATTGGAATGGCGCCGGATCGATGGCCATATCATCCAAATCTATTCGAGAAGCAAGGACAGCCGCTCGTTCGGCCATACTGTTCTAAAAGGGCGTGATAATATTTGAGCTCAAATTGTTTCTGTGGTATATATACTACTACGACTATAAAAACAAGCGGCTAACCGATTGTCGCGAATAATCCCGGTTGTGTTCCACCAGGAAAGGCGCTAGTCGTTCTCCTAAAGCCATCGCTTGTTTACTCTTTCATTTTTCATACTTACTTTCTAGTTGGTTGTCGTGTAGAGGTGAGTGTGGGAGTAGATGTGACCCAGAAAGGTTGCGATCAGTTAGAGGGCCATCCGGGTGCCACGAATGTCGCTGCTCTTCACGACCAAGCGCGTTGAGCATCGATGACGAATTTCTAAAACCGAGAATCATGCGTCAACTAAAAACCAAGAATAATAAATTAAACAGGTTGTCCTCTGCAATTTCTCGTTTAATAAGCGCCATACCTTCTTAGACTGCCGCCAAATGCCGACAAGACTTCGCTGGCGACAAAAGAACGACGACGGGGCAGCAGTCCTTGACTGTCGGGCCCGAGCTTTCTCAGCAGCAGATGAGCCAAATAATGCCGTGACACTTGCCCCAACAGATTCATCGTATCTGAAATGCCGTTTGGTTCAACGACACCGATTTGTTAGCGTACAAGGAATTGTTATTAGGCTACAACGGTGTTTTCGTTACGGCATGACACACTTAATGCGACGAGAAGTTCTGAGCACAAGCGCTGTTTCCCAAATTTCTGAGCGGAAACGATCTTTGTAAAAAAGGATTGTCAGAGTTGGCATTTTGTTAGGCGAGGCCAAAAAGGCACCAAATTGGCGTTTTACGAGCGAAAACCGTAACCGTGCAGCACTTTTTGAAATACGGGACGAACGAGCTATGCCTCACAAAAAACGTCATACGCCTAAAACGATTCCCTGTTAGAAAATTAGTTAACTCCGCTTAAAACGATACGTTTGTCGTTGACTAGCGGGTAGCTCTTGAGCTTTGGAGTGGTGATGAGCATATTTCGCAACTCGGCGTAGGTGGTTTGACGCGTAATGAAGACGAGATCGGTCACCATGATGCGCTCCACTTTTAGGGAATGCACCCTAAATATCGGAATAGAAGGATGGGAAGTGAAATAAGCTTACGTGATACGAGATGGCGGCAGTTCCGACAGATATGGTAAGTTCTTCAGTTGGATGATCGACTCGTAAATGGATGGCCGCAAGAATGCGCAAATCGCGTTCGCAATCATCAGCGCTATCTGAAAAAGAAGGTAATTTTGGTATCGATATCAATAAAGCGTACCAAAACGGGCAGTAAGCCGCAGAGTTGGCCAGTCGCCTCGCACACGATTACAGCTAACGACAAAGAATGCGTCATGGCTCCAGTGAAGGCAGCCGCTCCTAAAAACAACGTTTTGTCGGAACTTTCTAAAACTACTGAAAAGCAAAAAGAACTGACCGACGACTGCATAAAGTCCTGGATATATGGGCGGGTAGTCGGGGCCACGAAGTCCCTCTGGGAACCATAGAGCTAGTAGCTCGCCCATCAGACGTCCCATAGCAGCTCCTAAAATCATCAGGTCTCCAAAAATACAAAGCCGTCATCAAAATGAAAATATCTCCAGTTCCACGCACCAGTAGTGAACGCCGGGATGAAGATACCAGAAGGGACGTACAGCGACACCGCTTTCGCCACGACGATAAACTAAAATAAAAATGGATTGGAGCGTAAAGACCTTACGTAGACAAGGATGAAGCCGCAGATCGTAATCAGCAGATTGAAAGGATCGTATTGCGCCTCGCGGGTCCAGTGATCGACGATTTCTTTCCCGCAGCCATACTGAAAACAGCGCTTTGGCTATCGCTATCAAATTCCACACAAAATTTCTACAAGCGGTCCGTTTTACCGCAATGTACGTCATCCTAACGAGCACATAAATCTATAAAAATACCTCAGAACGGTTGTGCAGAGTGAAGGTACAGTTCGACAGAAAATCGACGAGCGCTTCGCGATACGTAAACTAAAAGGAAATCCTCCGGGCGTAAAGGTACAACCTACCTTACCACCGCACCATTTCCCTAGTCCTTCCGGGAATGTGACCACTGCGATCAACACGCAGATAAACATTGTGTAGATGATCGGGCTGAAAAACAGCATCATTTACAACGCAAACTTGAAAACAAAATTGGCATTGCGAGAGGCGTCAATAGCATAATTCTGATTTCCAAACTGCGGACCTCTTTTCCCAAATCTGTTTGATGCCGGGAGCATTCTTCAATGACAGCGCAAACTGTCGATGTAGCCAGATGAATAGCGCGGCAGTCAGTCCGCAGAATACTCTAAAAAAAGAGAATGATGCTACTCAGTGTCAAGACGGACCCAAGCAATGCAAAGAACGGTAGTTCGACGACAAGGAAGACGGCATTCGGGAACGATGTTTGGTAGTAGGCGACGATTGTTCCGGCTAAAACTCGCATCGGTAACTTGTAAGTCGAAAATTGTACCTATATGTTGAGGAAGGATGAACGCCATCGCAAACCGGAAGATAAGCGCACTGCATGTAGTTGCAAAGAAACAACGCCAATAGTTCTTGATGGCAAAGTACTTGGATGTCGATTCGATGCCATAAAGTACACCTGAAAACTGTGATATTACCTCAAAACAACAGAATACCTCCAGCCGGTGCGCTAAACGTGCATGCGATGCCGACAGCGCATCCGGTCGAGAGCATCTCCATGCGACGACCTAAAAGTTATAAATAAAAGCAGTCCTTTATCAACATTTATTCACAGGAAATGCTCAACAATATGCTACCTTCCGTCGAGAAAAACGAATTGTGTCGCCAAGCTTTCGACGCTTTGTTCAAGAGATTCGCCACTATGGCGCCCATGTGCACAAACGGACCCTAAAAGTAGGTAATTTTGCAAGCTTATCCAAAAAGATATACCTCTTTTCCGACAGGATAACCAGCACCTTGCGAGAGCACAACGCCGCCTATCTAAAGAACATAATACTAAAAAACTATTTTCCACCAACCTTCGCTATTAGCGTTCGAAAAGACAAGTAATTCTTGAGCTCGATGCCCGACATGATCACCTTGATCTCCGGGATTCCAGAACCTAAAGAAATTGGGTTTTGACGAAAGAGATTCCCCTACCGACCGCCTGTTTGGAAACAACATGGCAAAACAGCCCGGCGGCAGCGGTGAGCACGGTTAGATACAAAACCTAGATAAAAAGACAGTAATGATTAAAATCAAGCATACCCATATTGCAAACGCTTGTAGCACGTTAGTCTCCACCAACGATTCGTATAAATGCCGCTTCACTAACAAGAAAAAGCTTTGAACTTCGTTAGAAAAATACCATGAAGCATATATTCGATGCCGATGTCTGTAGAGATGGAAATCACTGCTGTGATAATTCCAAGAGCGGCGGACAGGAACCAGTCCTCGACGAAGAAGTGGATCAAGTTCGTCTTGAATCCTAAAAGGGGAAATTAAACTCGCAGGTGTTTACGTTGACCAAGTCGCTGACCCTCCAGCTTGCCACCTAGCGCCCTTCAAGAAACTCTCGACGAGGCCCCTACGTTTTGTCTTGGTCCTAAACTATTTGATGCGGCGGAAAAATGAACGCGAGGAACAAAGAAACGGAAAGAAACTGGGCGACTAGTAAAGCATAACTTCTGACAAAAATTCAATGGGAGCCCCCAACGCGCATCATTTCTCCCCCCTAAAGCCCTTAGGGCCATTATGGGGCGCTGAGGAGACCAAAATGAGGAAGCACCACGAAATTTGAGAACTTTTGATCCGCCCGCCACGTAGAAGGTCGTTTCCAAAAAGCGCTGGAATGACATAGGGTCGAAAGATTGGATCCGTCGAGGCCATGCAGCAATTTTGCAGTAAGCAACCAAAACTATCACCAGAACGCCTAAGTGGCCAAGAAAACGAAGAAAAAGCTAGCTTACGTTGAAAAAACTCTGTCCATGTTTCGTTGAAGCGACGGATTCCACGTGCAGGTCGAAAAGGCTCCTAAAGCAGTTCAAGGGAAGCGTTTATAAAAATTGCCTCGTCTTCTTCGGAAGTAACAGGGGCTGGTGTTAGAAGGGGAGCCTCCGCATCCGTCGGGCTTTCCACGCTGAAAAAGGGCGGGTTAGACAGTTGATTAGCATGTAGAGATCGAGCAAATTTGTAAAGTTCGAACCGTCGTATGAATTCTACATTTACGCGCACTGATAAAGCCAAACAGTATCGCAGCAGCACTGATTTAGCTGCTGGATCTTTTCAAAATGGCTCGAACGCTCGAAGGCCCGAACTTTACAAATGGGCTCGAACTGTACAAATCCGCTCGCACTCTTAATCGATAAAAGTTTTCATCAAAATGTACCTTTGCATGCGTAAACTGGCCGGGTCCATGGTCGACGACGTCTGTGTTGAGCAGGTCGACAGCCGCCGTCGACTTGTCTCGCCGCTACGGCTGCTCCCCGGGGGATCACCTTGAAATGAAAGAAATAGGTACACAAAGGCGCCGAAAAGGGAGCATCCGGAAAAAAATAGAGACAATCTGATCAAAGCTGACCGAAAACTAACAAGAATCGCTCGCGACCGGGGCCGGATTAGAAACGGAATGCTGCTTGGAGCCAGCCAGGTTGCCGAATACAGCCGTATTGTTCGGAAGAAAGAATAGAAATGAGAGGGGTGCAAAAAGATGCTGCGTATTCAAAGATGCTAATTTGCAAATGTTCAAATTCTAAACTCGGTTTTTGACGCAAGATGGACGAATGCCGCTAACATTTTTACGCAAATATTTGAACTTCCGTGAAATTCGGAAAGTGTCAAGATTATGAGGCGAATGTTTGGAACACAATGCGCGTTCAACTATCGAAAGTTATGATAGCGAACTAAAGAGCGTGAGAAAAAGGAAATAGTGGAGGAGGGCGTATGAGTTCGAGGAAAAAAATGCCATAAAAATTGGACAATTCCATCCCGGGCAGAGAAAAGGAGCCCGATACCGCCTGGGCTATTTGCGCGTCGACTCCGGGGTCGATCAGAGAAAAATGGGCACGGTCCGGGACGTTTTTGGGAAAGGGGGAAAAGAAGATTTTTTGGTGGATGTGTGGACTTTCCGTGTATGATGCAAAAAGGATATTTGGGATACCGAGCAGTAGTATCACAGCTTTGGTATAGGGGGGGATGGAAGGTCAGTGCGGCCGGAAAAGGGCTTACTGCGCGGCGAGGTGGAAGCGATGGTAATTTGGGGGAATTTAAAAAGGGTTTCCGTGATTATGACTAAAAAACGGGAAACCCCGATATTTAGGAAACCGCGCGGATTAGTAAAGATATCAACTTGCGTAGTCTGAGCGTTCGAGCGTTCCGACAAATTTCTAAAGTTCGAGCTGGAAATAAGCCTTGTACTCTGTAGTTCAACGTAATGGAGCATCTAATAGACAAAGTAGCCAAGATTGGGTATCTTATTATCCGTGCTAATTTTTGAATTATTCGGTAAAAGCTTGTTCGTATTCTTATTCGTAGAAGGCAAGTATTTATTGTTCGCATTTACTAATTTATTGATATGTAATTGGAGCTACGAAAACTACCATGAAATCCCTTACTAGACTTTTTCCAGCTCTTGAACTTTACAAATTTGCTCGAACGAACGTATTGTACAATTTGCCAGTAAAAACATAACGATTTTAGCAAGTCTAGAGAATTTCCAAGAAAACATATCGCGCAATGACATTTCTAGTAAAACAAATAGCTTAGAATAATAAAATACTATTATGTTAATAGCGTAAAAGAGGCGCACAGTTCGACCTGCCATTGATCGTTGCGGCAACAAAAACGGGGGTGACCCCAAATTCATGGGACGGTCCCATGTTTTCCAAGGCCATAGAGAGCCCATGCTCATTTTTCCTCACCACAGCCCTAGTCGGTCTGTCGCTGCCGCCCCCTTTTTGGTATTCTCTTCTTCCGTTTCGTGCACTTGTGATGTGCCAAAATGTGTCCAACTATTTTATTATTAACGGCTCATTTTGCGAATTCCGTTCTGGAGGCGAGGGATGAGACTCGTACCGTATTGTCCTGTTGTCACCGATTTAGGGTGTGCCGTTGATGGGGTAATAGTTGTGACGCCTAAACGTCAGCTTGGAACTAACACTTTGAATAGCCTTACGAGCTACAGAGTTCTTAGTATTTGTTCTCATTATGAGGTCAATTAGGGCATTTTTATAAATGGAATTGTAGTAAATACACGTGAATGATATCCAATAAGTGTTCATGCTAAATAATATAGGAACAAACGGGTTGAAATCTAAAGGAGTTTCAGCCAAAGTGGTTCAATACTCACATTCATAAGGCATTTCGAAGCCGATGGTTGCAAACGATCCGGAAAATAGTGCTGGTGTTGTGGCAACGAACGGGGAGAGAAACTAGAAAAGTTACTTTGATGCTATTACCTGTATTACCTGTAAAAATATACAAATATATGCGTTCTTCTGTGCTTTTGAGCGACGTGTCGACATTATTTGCGAGTGATATTCAATGCTCCGCACAAAAATAATTATAGCTAGGTTCAATTCGACGGACAGGAGGACCCCAACTATGAAAATTGCAAAAGCCTGAAAGAATTTTAGGTATCTAGAGGGGACACTAGCTTCTTCAAACCTGTAAGTAAACGATAGGATTTTCTTTAGGGGCAAAATATACCGAACATCTTGAATCCGGCAAAAGATACATCTTGCTGGGTATCTAGGAAATCGGAATATCTCAGAAAAACTTTCACCACCAACCCAACTTTCATAATATTGCCTCGCAACATTGACGTCAACCGTGCCAAAATATCCCGGAATATAATTTAACGCTGGGATCACAATGCAAAGAATAATCTAGGGTCCAAGTGGGCGGTGATTACGATTTCTTACTTCCCAGCCATATACAACTTTCCGAGGTAAGTGCCGGAAGAAAGTTGAGACAGCTTCCATTCGTTTTCGTAGAATACATTCTAGCCCTACGCCCATTGCAGAACAGAAGAAGCACATTAGTGGCTAAACGTTTCGATTGGAAATTGTCGTCGCTTGTTTTCTAGCTTACGTAATAAAATTTTAATAAGGGGCCAAAGGATAAAATTTGACGGTAGGTGAAGGCCACGATCGGGAAGGTAGGCCGAATATCCAGGAATAGGACAAAGAAATCGAAGAGGAATCCGGATGTCTGTAAAATTTTTGGTAAGGCCTTCCAAACCTACGTGCAAAAACATATAATACGGGACAAAACTCCTTGCACCGGAAGGGGTTTCAGTAAGGACAAGATAGGTCGTGACGGAATAGATGGCAACAACAAGCGGAAGAGCGATTTGCTTGTAGATAAAAGCTCCTTCAATCAATAGTTCCGTCACCTCCAAATTCATCAGCGGCAAGCCGGAATTGATGTTTCCATGTAGAGTTTGGCGCTGGGATTCCCAAATTGGCCGGTTGCACCTGTCCGGTCTATTCCGTTCTGTGGGTTTGTTAAAAAAGTTATTTGACTACATCGGCGTCTTTTTGCTCAATAATTGCCCATTTTTATGATCAGGTGCAACAAATTTCCCGAATTTCTCGAATATAATCTTTATTACACCTAGCCAAACTTCCTGAAATTTCCAGGGGGCTATGTTTGAGATTGCATAAAATTATTATTATTTGGGGGAGTATTGCGTGGTTATTTGCCTCCGCAGCCGCATGGTGGAGGTGGGGCACAGCCTAAAAAGAGAAGGATGTTGGAATTGTGAGATTTTGAAAGGGACAGGGTCACTAAAAACTTACATCCGCCGCCGAAGCTGGGCAGCTGAATGGGAGGCAAGGAAAGTTGGGGTAGCTGGAAGCCACATCCGCAAGGTGGTGGCGGCGGGCATGGGCAGGGTGGAGGTGGAGGTGGTGGAGGAGCACAACCGCCTAAACATTATACCTAAGTCAGAAGCATAAGCCTAAGCCTAAGCAAAGTCTAAGCAAGAAACCAAGCATTTGTGATGCCTAACCATAAGCCTAGGCCTACGCGAAGGCCAACCTAAGCCTAAGCACAAGCTAAGCCCAAACCTAACCCTATATCTAAGTTAAGCATAAGCCTACTAAGCCAAAGGCTAAGCCTAGGTCCCAGCTAGATGAAACTTGGATTTGCGAAGCCTGACCATAAGCCTGCACTCAAGTCCAGGCCTAAGCACACTCCCAGCAAGCCTAAGTCTACACTAGCAAGCTTAGGGCCTAAGCCTCACATAAACTTACGCCTAACAAACTTGTAAGCCTAGGCCAAGCCGAAGCCTGGGCCAACAAGCCTAAACAGAACTCACATCCGCAACCGCCTCCTCCCATTCCAATACAGGCCGACGCAGCCCCAATCAGAACGACAAAAACGAGGAATTTCATTTCTGTAAATGAGGGCTGTTATGACGTCAAAAGTAGCAAAATGAACTAGTGGTAGAACATCAAAGTACCGTAGTATTACAAATATCAAAAAAATATATTTAATGCCGTCTCGCAGACAAGAAAGAACGTGCTAACGGCCTGTGCACAACGTGTGGATCAGCTGGTCCAGACTCTCGATTTTATACGGGATCCTCCAGGGCGGGTCGGCACTGTATGATTTCAGGTTCCACATCGATACTCCAGAAGACGATAGGGAGGAGTGAGAAAGAAGGAAAAAGATCGGCTTTTCCCAAACAACCGTGGAAAAACAGCAGAAACGGGTTCTGGCCCCCCGCTAGACGAAAAAGCCTGATTTCTGCCGGAGGGGAAACAATGTGTACGTTGACATAGTCTGTTGGCACCGTTATAATGTGACAATACATCGGTACAATATGCAGCTACGTATTGTTCAATAGGGTCCTTGTGATGACACTTCTACAGGGTTTTTAGGACAAGGAAACTACAAAGGTTTCGATCGCTTATATAGTCCGCTATGCAACAACGCTTTGCGATATGTCATAGCTCTTCCGCTAGAACTTTGAATTTTGACAATTTTAACTTCGTTTTTTTTTACCCTGAAAAGACACCTTGTAAAGCTTTTCATCGATTCCATTTTATATTCCGTCATCTTTATCAGTTTTTTTTCACCTTCCTAGACCCTTTAAAGTTATCATCAACACACTTCTTGATGTTTATTGTAATTTAAAACTGTTCGCGATTCATTCGGTGTGCACGTGCCACCCGTGAGAACGAAAAGCCTTGGGAACATGAGCATGAGGGCAGGCAAAGAGTGAGTGAGGTCGATTTTCAAGTCATCCTGCCCTCCCACATTGCACCATCTTTCACAGTAGCCGTGCCATCGGTACGGCTGGCATCTTTGTCTGACGTAGGGAGTGGTATCAGGGGTTATTCCGAGACGTTACTGATGCTTGTCATTTCAGATGGCCTATCGGATTTCTTAGTCTACGCTATCGGCTATGCTACAAGCCTGAGCCTAAGCCTCGACAAAAGTGTAAGCCCGAGAAAGCACAAGCAAACGCCAAAACCTAGGGAAAACGCGTTGCGTAACGCTGAACTTGATTCTAAGCCAGGGCGAAGCCTAAGCTTAAGCTAGGACTGAGCCTTAGCCTTCACGAAAGTGTAAGCTTAACTGGGTCCAAGCCAACCGGAAAAGCCTGGGTCTAAGCCCAAGCCTCACCAAAACATACGCCTAAGCATAATTCCAGATATAACTTTTTTCACCTTGTCAATCAGTCTTCTTTCCCGTCCTACAATGAGCATCAACAACACCACGTTGTTTTCGATATACGCCGTGATATACAACAAGTGAAAGCTCCAATTGTCTCGAAAAATAAGCTGCTGCTAAAACGGCGTTATCACCAGATTTCGTCACCCCCCTCTCCGGGGTGGCTCACGATTTTCAGGGGGCTGGCTGACGATACTGAGCATGAGGGGCAATGGCTGCCAATGGAAAGCAGACACCCTGAAATCGGTGAGCCGAGGCTGAGATAACGCCTGAGCAACGGGGCGGTAAAAACGAGGGTTGGGTGGGGGAAATCCGGCGTAAAGCTCCGCGCGCACCTTGGCAGAGCAGCGCTGCGCGCGCCCCCCTTGATGGATTGGGAGGCTGAGAATTTTCTGTCGGTTGTGCGTGTGTGCTTGGCTCGTATCATGCGCCCGAATCGGAATAGGGGCCTGAGGGCACGGGATGCCGGTGCAATACGGAATGGAAGGGGACCGGTTTTGCCCCACGGCGCGGTGATGGGAAAAGGAGATTTTGGGATGCGTGGGTGATCTTAGGGCGATTACGCGTGATAACGAGACGACGACGAGACAGACAGACATACAGATGCCAGCCAGTCAAGCGATTGATATTGGCAAATGGCTGCGGTAGGGCTGTACGCGTTTTGTAAGGTGTAACGCGGAAACGATTTGGCCTGAGAAAGCAATGCGTATGGAGAGCGGGTACTGTAGCTATTCGTAGCACATGCCCAAGAAGCAAAAAGTCTGAGAACCTGATTGCGTTTAACAAATCCCCAGTATCTCGGAGCTTACCCGAGAAATCCCATGCTCAAAGTTGGGCTTGAATTTTTTGGCCTATCAGATGCAGTCTGATAGGCGAAAAAATTCCAGCAGATCACGAACCTTGCAATGATTTTTGCGGAGTGCTACATGTACCTTTAGAAAATCGCTTAAAGCCTAGGTATAAGCTTAAATTTCCTGAACCCGCAAGGATCATTTTTGTGCAAAATTACCTTTATGGAAGTAATAAAAATAGACTTTATATTGCGATGATTATCTTGCGATGTCGAAATTTTGAGTGATTGCACTTGTGCACATCATTTAAGGATTAAAAAAAGAGTATTTAATGCTTTAGCTATTATCTACCGTAATGGGCGCCGGTTGGTTTAAGATATTTCAGGAGGCTTCAGATGCCGGCTGAAAGTGGCTCATGCTGAGCAAAAACCGTAAGGAGTGTAACCCGTAGGCTACAGTATGCCCCCGATTTTTCGCTTCAAACTGGTGAAGACATCACTATTTTTTCGGTGATTCACGTCTGTGGATGATGGCTGATTAAAAGAATTTTGCAGGGCTTAAGGATTAAAAGATTTTTTTTGATGTTTTGCTTTTTGTCACTACCAACAAGCCATAAGCTATTGAGTCAGCTTGAAACCTCGACAATTTTGGAATTCTCTCGTGATGAGAGAGGTCAAGCGTCGAAATCTGACGCAAGTCAAACCCAGAATTTCCCAAAAATCAGACACAACCAGCATTCCGTTGTGCGCCAAATTTCATGTAGGCCTGGGGGGCTGTCTCGGCTGGCATGAAGAGTGCAGATCAGGGACGTCTAGGCGGTAGGGCAATATATCCCTCTCTTTCCGGCTTTTCCTCTCCCCCCCAAATAGGTTCCGGAGCAGGTAGAGGCCGGCAAGAAGATGCCAGATTCAAGCGATTGCTGAGAACCCAGACAACCAACCGGCTGTCTCTTTTCTGGGGCTTCAGGAAGGCTTGGGAGAATGTGGTGCTCACCCCCCTGTGAAAGGGCGTATGACGCTGTGTGAGGAGGAGGTGGTGGGTAGGAAAGTCCAGACACAAGATCAGACTAGGAATTTGCCCCCCCTCTGCTTCTCATTCTCATCGCACCCATTCCTCAAGGTCGACCATATACGCCCATAGCCGGAGGGCACAAAAAAGAAAGTGAGGCCCTGCCAAGCCCCTCCCACCAATTCTATTCTAACTCCGCCCCGCATCTGGAAACTATTTAATGCGGCCAAAAAAGACGGTCAGCATCAGCCATCTCATAGCTTCAGCTTTCCTTCCAATCATCCACCCCTCCCCCCACTTTCCATCGATACCGTACCCTTTCCGGGAGTACGGTAGCTGGCTCCTTTTTGACGATTTTTCCGGCTTTCCTTAGGGATTATTTCGGATTATATTCTCCCTTTTTCCAGAAAACATGAGGCTGATCGTTGCTTTCGCTCTCGTTGGAGCCGCTGCTGCTTGCATCGGAGGAGGGTGAGCATTTTAACAATGTTATCTAGCTTTTAATTCAACTTTCTGGTTATTCATTCAGAATTTATTCTTTTGCAGATGTGGTGCCCCTCCCCCACCACCCTGCGGATGCGGAGGCGGACTCTCGCTCCCTCAGCTCCCCCCTCTTGCTCTCCCATCTCTCCCTAGCCTCGGTGGTGGCGGATGCGGTATGTTTTTTGGAATATTACGGAGTATAGCTCTATCAGAGGTATTTTTTTCTAATCAGCAAGATGATGTTAGCACAACCGTAAAAGTGGTATGCAACAGCAAAAGCCGAGAAATTTAGCTTTTTTGAGAAGCAACTTTATTAAGATTAAATTGAATATGGCTATAGATACAAGATTTAAATGAATATTTCCAGGTTGCGCTCCTCCTCCTCCCCCATGCGGCGGATGCGGCGGTGGACTCGCGCTCCCTCAGCTTCCCCCTCTTGCTATGCCTCAGCTCCCTAGCCTCGGAGGCGGATGCGGTACGTTTTTTGGAGTTAAAAACGATTTTTTTGAGTAATAAGCCTAAGCTTTTCAAACCCATGTTCTTACGATTACGGTCAATATCGCTCATTTTAGGATGCGCCCCACCCCCTGCCCCCTGCGGAGGCGGATGCGGAGGAGGAGCCCCGATCGGAGGCGGATATGCTGCCCCTCCCGTCTCTAGCGGATACGCCGCCGCCCCGGTCGCCGGAGGATACGCTGGACCCGCTGCCGCTCCCCTGCCGGCTGTACGTTTCCTACGAACTTACACCTTAAACACTCCATCTTTTGCTCTTAGCCCAAATGACCGAACTAAAAAAAATACCGTAACCCACCCAAAACCTTCGAATTCCAGGGCCCCGCCTCGTCCTACGCCGTCGGAAAATAACTTTTCTACTGCCGGTGCATCTCTAATTTTATTGTTTGTGTTCCTATTTAAGGGCCGCCAAGGGCAGCGCGATAAATATATTTTTACCTATCTTGAGTATGATCTTTAACTGCACACGAATCGGCACAGGGTTGGAACAAGGCTACAAAGGGATCCGATCCCATCTAACGGATGTTCTAGATGTTTCCCCTCAAGGTCTTGAAGCTCCTTCTTCAGGTTTACGACGCTGCCACCATCGTATCGTACTCTCACTTTTGCCCTTTCGTCCTGATGGTAATTCCGGGTATTGTGGCATCAGCCTTCAGCCACCCGGAATGTTATCGGTGTCTGCCATTGTCATCGACACTAATCGGCCATGACGAATAAAAAAGGAATCGCGTAGCCAGACTGGCGCTTGCTTGCACTCCTTCTCCACCTGGCTGACTGCCACCCTTGCCTCAAGGCGGGGCAGGAAGTGAAATGAGCCGTAATGGCAAGAAGTGAAACCGGCTATCATGCGCTTTTTTCGAGGGCGTAGTCCTGGAGCAAAGTACAGAATGGCTGTGAGGGTTGGGTTTTTGGTTGCGAGCGCCTTTATGGGTAAGGGAATCCGGGAATACTTTAATTTTAAGGGGACATGGTAGCTTGGAAGCTGCTTCTACATGCTCATCCCAAAAAAAAGTGCGGGATGCGGGATGGGCTACTTTTTTGACCGTGGCCCGCTAACCTCATTTGATTAGGTACCCCATATGATTTTTTTGGATACCATTTCCGGATTCAAAAAAGAGCCATGTATCGGATCGTTAAATTAAGTACACCATCGGAACCGGGGACACATTTTACGTAATATAACTTTTTGAACTTTTGAAAATTGAAAAAGAGTTAAATTTCGAATTTTAAGAGCGGATTTAAACTGCGGTTCGAGGGGAGGGGGTTTGCGTTTGTGTGTTTGCATGCATGCACGCAACACCTATGTAGTCGTCAAAAAGTGCCTTCCCATCAGGGGTGGGGTAGGTTTTGCATCGGGATATTGGGAAAAAGTCTACGGTTTTCAGGACATCAATGACTACCGGCGCTACTGGCGCCCTACATCCTGCCATGTCAAAAAGGCATTTAGTAAAGCTCGAGCCTGGGGAGCCCAGGCAGCCCAAGACGGTTTTGCAGTATATACTATATCTATAACTTTATAAAAGTAGTAATTCGTATTAAATCTTGTAGTGATGCTCTAATACTAGTATAATACTCCAAAATTAATGCCAATTATACTTTAATATACCTCCGGAAGCTCCCTGAGCTCTTTCGGCTCCCAGCTCCCTGGGCTCCCAGGGACCTGACGGTCGCCAAAGTCGCGACCGACACGCGATTCGTGCTGGCAGGTTGTGATTGTTCTGTTTTCCGGACATTTTTTGTAATAGACGACTAGCTAGGTTGTAAAGACAATTTCTAGTCAGGAAAAGGTCGTAATTTGCGCTCAGATCGGCAATGAGTGACAACCTAGCTGGGGTTGAATTGGCGAAGAAAGCCGCAGTTAGTAGGCGGAATTTTAGCATCTTTTTAGGGCCCAGCGGTCAAGAAAACGTAGATTAGTGTCTTTTCATGGCATGCTATAATGATTTTTGATGCACACGCGACGTCTTTGAGCAAGCAACGTGTATAGAAATCGCGGAACGATATTTGGCATTTCCTTTTTGGGTCTGTATCCTTTAAAAAGAAAACTTCCGCGTTCAATATATATATCGTGCTACTGCTTCAAATTTCTCCCTTTTCCAGGCATGCCTCCTGTAAAAGCCGGAAAAAGAGGTGCTGTGAAGTTGGAGTTGGGCAGAAAGTTCCAGTCACAAAGCAAAACAAAAAAAATCGTGAGCGGATTCAAACCCTCGTCAGTATCTATCAAGTGAGTCGCTTACCGCTCGCGCTTGGTCATTTAACTGGTGATTCCATCGTGATGGGAGAGCCTCATAAACCTATCGCTAATGCTAATTTCTCGGGTGTAAATCATCATTTCCGGAAGTGCTGTATCTCTGTCCAGAGGCCCAGTTAGGAAATTCTGACTAGGCCGTTGAGGTCGCCATAGCCGAAAACCTGGGGGTAGCCGCGAGCGTTTTTTTCGAAACTCCACCTTGCCAACTTGAGGTTCCCTTGTAAGCATAATTACATAGTCCGAGCCAACGCTGCGCGTTTTCTTCATTTTCCCGAAAGAAAATGTCATCGGGCATTTTCCCGTGACCGTGTCCCCCAACTCCAGGTGGGAGATCGATGGCGGAAAAATTATTATTTATCATTGTTTATTCGCACACCAGAACGTTTTTTATAGCTCTTTAAAGCTCCTGCGCACTCTGAAATGCAGTGAACTGCGCCCGATAAATTAAACTTTATCATTTCCAGAAAATTAGATAGTTTCAGGTCCAATCGTTATGATAACGAACATTTTCGGAATTTACGTTGTGCAGACACAGACGCCTCCACGAATGCGGGATTATTCGTTTTGCCTGCAATGCCACTTGGTACGAGACTACAGGACCCTACCTAAGTTTCTTAAGCAAGCTTTGAGTACTACAGGTCAGAGGTCCGTGAGTCAGAGTGGCTATTATTTAGGGCCCGACACACCTCTAGCCGAACTTTGGGCCGAAGAACTGAGGTGTAAGGCGGCAATACGCGAAATGTCGTTTTTTTGAGCCCCCTTATCTGGAGAAGACGTTATTTGACCTAAGAACACTAAGATACCGTACTTTATACGGGTACGGGAAGCGTTATGCCCTCAAAATCCACCGGATGTACATCCACCGTACGGCACAATCCATAAAACTAAACCTGAAACATAGCTCCCTTGCCAAACCACCCCGCCGGGCATATGTTCCGCTCTCTTGTGACGAACCCAATTTCAGTGTTGCACGGTAAAAATGAGCGCGGGACGGTTTCCCGGGCGGGATCCGGCGATTCGGGTCCGATCCGGGGCTCTTTTTCTGAAGTAGGCGCATCGGCTTCGGGGCGGACGGGGCCGGTTGGCTTCTCTATATAAAGTGAAGTTAGCTGAAGACGGTCCCAGTCGGCCTGGTTATACACAAAATGGTAGGCTTTTATTTTTATTTTGATCTCATGTCACTTCAGCTTAAACTTATCGCCTTGCTCGCCGCCATCGGTGTGGTGAATGCTTGTATTGGCCTTGGCGGTGGAGGTGGAGGGTGAGTTTTAAGAATCAAATTTTGTGAAATTACAAAGAGAAAATTTTGAGTCAGACAGTTTTGATGCAGCTGTGGCTCCAGATCAAGAGCAGAGCGGAGGCTGCTAATTTCCCGCTCGGCTCCGGCTCCTATGAGCAACCCTTGCTCTTATCTTTTTTAATTACCTCTCCCAATTTCAGTTGCGGTTGTGCTCCACCTCCTTCATGCGGCTGCGGAGGCGGAGGTGGCGGAGGCGGTGGCTATGCTGTTGCCCCACCAATGGGTGGTGGATACGCGGGCGGATTCTCTGGAGTCCCATCTGGAGGCGGTTGTGCAGCTTCGTACGGTGGCCCACCACCTCCTCAATTCGCTCCCCAGCCCATCCAGGTGCGTCGTCATCATTATCACTGAAAAATCAATTAATTCAGTCGTACGCCCCACCAGCCCCTGTATTCCAGCAGGCTCCTGTTTCCTATCAGGGCCCTCAACAAATCGCTCCCGCTCAGCTGGTACAGGCCAGTTTTATACGATTTTGGGTTCTGGTTCGTTAGCGGGGGGGGAGGATTGTTACCACTACATGCTCTGTGTAGCTTTATTTAGGTTACAGCATTTTAAGTTGCAATTACCAATTAAATTAAAATTCTTAGTAGCTTTTTTGCTAATATGACATCCACGGCGTTCCCAAAATCCCGAAAAATGACTAAAATGTCGAAAACTAGCTTAGCTTAACTAGCTATTTATAAGAGGTTCTATTCTCGTTTTCACTATACCTAATTTGGATCATATTAAATGGAACAATAATTACAACTGTTTTCAAGCATATTAAAATCGCATTTTTCCAGGCTCCGATCGGCAACTCATACGCTGGAAGGAAGTAATAGCCTCCAATATTTTCACTCCGGATGAATGCAATAACCTAAACAAAATCGGGTCAACAAAATAAAGCAATTGACTTTTGCCTCGATCTGACCAGTAGAACAGTTCAATGTCTGCACACCGGCAAGAAGCTGTGGGACACCTAGATGACGTTGGGCGGATCCGGGCAGTTTATCAGGAACACCGTCCTGGGACGTGTCGACAAGCCTAGATAAGCCCTCAAGAGGAAAGTTGATTGAAGCCAGAGAGGCTTTATTTTCGGTCGAGATCATCTTTACTTCATCTTTCGTTTAGTTTTTTTTCACAAATGGGTTCAATTCCCGAACCATCAAATTTTGGCTTCTTACCCTCTTTACAAAACCTTCAATTTTGGACGGAAAAGTGAAAATTAACAGGTAAAAATTGTCCTTAGTTTGGGTGCTTTTTTTGATACACTATGTACTCTTCTAGGTAATGCGGACCGGAACTGTGGCTGCAACTTTGCTGCTGGTGGCTATCTGCCAGGGTGCAGTCTATAAAGTGCCCCTGATCAGAACGGTCTCCCGAATGACCCAAATGATCAACCAGGGCAAATGGGCAGACTTTGTTCGTGAGAGGAACTTGGCTCGGGCCAGCCCCGTTCATAAGCTTGGATCGTATCCGCAAAAGGTTCCTTTTTATCAGGGAGTCGGACTCAATTTGGGCTAAAAATTGGCATATATTGAGCGTCAACGATAGCTACTTTTAGGTCTACGATTACATTGATGAAGAATATCTGGGAAACATCACGATCGGCACCCCAGACCAACAGTTCAAGGTTAACGATAGTTTTTCGTATAACAAAACGTATGATCTTAAGGTGGTGCTGGATACTGGATCCTCGAACCTCTGGGTCCCGGACACCACATGCAACGGCAATGCCTGCGACGGCAAAGACAAATTTGATCAAAGCACTTCCGGCACTTACAAGGTAGTTTACATACTTACTCGGGTTATCAGCTGCTTACAATCTATAGTTTGATGGAACTTCATGGTATATCGCCTACGGTACTGGATCGGCTTCCGGCTTTTTGGGCGTCGACACCGTCCGATTTGGAGCTCCAACTGAGAATCAGGTATTTTTGGCCGCTATTAGGTATCGCCTGAAGGCATTTAAATAATGTGTAAAATTGAACAACAACTAAAAAAAAATATTCAGCTGGTCGTCCCGAAAACGCGGTTCGGTCAAGCAACCGATATTGCTCAATTCTTCGCCGGCGACCCGATCGACGGAATCCTCGGCCTGGCCTTCACTTCGTTGGCTGTTGATGGTGTTATCCCACCTCTCATTAATGCCATCAATCAAGGTACAAAACTAAGCCAAAATCTAAGCCTAGCCATAAATCTATGCTTTTAAAGAGATCGGGAAGTCAAAAGTCCAACCCCCAATATTCAGGACTCCTCGATCAACCCTTATTCACCGTCTTCCTAATGCACGACGGCGCCAAGGAGGGCGCCTACGGCGGCGTGTACACCTACGGTGGTATCGACACCGACAATTGCGGCCCCGTCATCGCCTATCAGCCCTTGTCATCCGCTACCTACTATCAGTTCAAGATGGACGCCGTCAAGTCGGGCAGCTACTCGAGCACCAAGGGATGGCAGGTCATTTCTGACACTGGCACCTCGTTCATCGGTGGGTTGAATGGATTTTAGAGAGAATGATAATAGTGGATATGTAAAAAGGTCATACATGGCATTCAAAAAACCGTAATAGCATTGCAGGAGCTCCAACTGGTATCGCCGATGGAATTGCCAAGCAGCTCGGCGCCACCTACGACCCGTCTGAAGATATCTATGTGATCGATTGCAATGCCCAGGTATAGAATGAAAATTACTATAATCCTAGATTCCAGGCCTCCGTCACCCTTACTATCGGTGGCAAAGACTACACAATCTCCAGCTCGAACATGATCGTCCCTGGTGATAATAACAAGTGCTGGGTAGCGCTCTTCGGCTGGGATAGCTTCGGTTCGTCTTTTTTGGGGTTTTTTTTGCATATTTATGGAACTGGAATTATTTTACTATGAAATTTTATCACTATTTAGGCCCCGCCTGGATTCTTGGCGACCCATTCATCCGTCAATTCTGCAATGTCTACGATATTGGTCACCAGCGTGTTGGCTTTGCCCCCTCCAAGCAGGCCTAGACGTCAAAGATTCCTCTTTACTAACGATACCTTGAAGAAATACTTCTATTTTGACGTTGGTAAATGCACTACAACAGCTGCACGTCCAAGTCCTGGATAAAGCTTTTAGAAATTTTTAGTTTATCAAAATACGAGATTCTGAAAATCCGATACTACTAAATGAATATACCGATTTTGCAAGATTCTGACCGAGTCAATTACTACCATCGAACTGTACAAATTACAAAAATTCTATGCCAATTTCTTCCCAAAAATTTTGCGTACACGTACCGCCAGATCAATTCGTGAAAAGCGTGGCAAATAAGGACTTTTTCCACATTATCACCGGTGCTTTGACACGAGAAGCCTCGATAACGAAGGATTTACGGCTGAGCCACAGGGCTGAGGGTTTGGCTTGAAAAGAAGGAAAGGCGACCAACAATCATACACAGCCCAGTAGATAACAGCTTGACCAGCTCTGTGCCGCAAATTTTTACGCTCCTGTATTTTTTGGAATCATCTACCGCTTTTAACTTAAACAACATCCACATTTTAATAGATGCGGTTGCCCCTCATCCTGGCGGTGGTGCTATGCACGGCGTTAGCCGCATTACAAACAAAAATGATTTATAAGGTAAATATATAAAATATCAAGGCATATTCCCCCATTTTAGGAGTCGACGATGAAAAGAATGATTCGAGAGGATCGCTGGGACGAATATAAGGCCGTAAAAGCGGAAAGAAGGGCCAAATTGTTAAAGCGGAGGCCAGAGCTAGCCTCGTACCCCCAGAATGTTGGCTCATTTTACCCATTAATGCAACACGTTGTAGGTATTGGATTATGATGATGCCGAGTACATTGGTCATATTACGATCGGCACCCCTGATCAAGATTTTTTGGTAATTGTTTGAAAATATTTAGGCTTTAACTTTTATTTTCAAGGTTATTCTCGATACCGCATCGGCAACGCTATGGGTCCCTGATCGGGAATGCGGACAGGAAATGGATGATTGCGAGGAGTGTCTAAAGGTCTGTATTTTTAGTGCCGACAAACACATCCAGTAGATTTATATATACTGCACCCATACCATAACTATCTTTAGTATGGCGAGGATGAGTGCAACTTCAAGTGTGATGACCCTTTCTGCTGCGACACGATCCATCGTGGCTCCCTCTACCGAGAGCCGAAGAAACGCTTCGGTGCCTGCCTACACAAGCACAAATTTGACCCCACCAAATCCACAACTTTTGCGGTAAGCTTGAGATATCAAATAAATTTATCCCCCACTTCTAGCCATTCCCGGGTGATGGATGGGAGACCGGGGCGGCTTATGGGTGGTTGGGAATGGACACGGTCAGGTGGGGGATGGTTTCTGAAGCTAAATTTTTGTAGGTTCGGCTCGGTTAACGAGACCCAATTGGTCATCCCGAAGATCAATTTTGGTCAAGCGCTTGATATTGATGGTAAAAAAGAGACCTGAGAAATCCACGTTCAAAATTTAGATGGTTTCTACGGTGATCCAAGCGACGGTATCTTAGGACTTGGCTTCACCTCACTGGCTGTCGATCACATAATACCTCCATTTATCAGCGCCGTTAACCAAAGTAAGCCATCTCTGCAAGAGTGTTAATTAGAGGGTTTTGTAGAGCTGGTCGATCAGCCAATCTTCTCTGTATTCTTGAAAACTGATGGTCAAGTGGAGGGTCAGCCGGGTGGTGTTTTCACGTGGGGCGGAATTGACACGGATAATTGCGCACCGGTGCAGGCATGGATGCCGCTTCAGGCTGCTGACTATTGGGTCTTCAAGGTTTGCTAAACCTCTGCCAAAAAACAGATACCGTTGAACTTTCAGCTAAAAGGAGTAGCCGTCGGGAATCTGTCATCTGTACACGAGTGGAATGCCATCTCTGACACTTCATCAGCCTTGATCGGTTAGTGTCTAGCAGGATTTGTTACCATAACACCGAATTCCAAAATACCACAATCTCGAATCCGAGTGGAAAAGACTGACTAAAAACAGCTCAAAAAATTTCCAGGTGGCCCGGCGCTGGTGATCGGCGCTATCGCGAAACAAGTTGGGGCGCAGTACAATCTAAAGTACGATATGTACATCGTAAGTTACCTCAATTTTAGTCTCAATCCATGATTAGATCTCTTGCAATGCCACCAATGGCCCTGATATCACAATGGAGATCGGTCAACACAACTACACCATTCCGGTATAGAAGCCTGCATTATAAAGTAAACTCTTCTAGGCGACCAACTATATCATCCCATCTGGAAAAGCCAACCTATGCTTCATGAATTTTGTGAATTACAACGCGCAGGTGGGGGCAATATCACCAAATTCATCCAAAAACTAAAAACTATTTAGGCTTTCAAACCCCAGTGGTACATCGGAAACCCGCTGATGCGGCAATACTGCCATTTCTACGATGTCAGCAAACAGCGGCTTGGTTTTGCTCCACCTAAAACCTCCGCCCAAACCCAGACTGTATAGCTATAAATAAATTACATAAGAATAACTTTTCCATTTCAAATATTTTTCTTGATCGCCACAGGAACGTTTGTTATGTTCTGACCGCCGGCAAGTCACGTCTCCCGAAAAAAATTTGTCATCCGGCTCGACGAAGGAAAGATGATTTTATTGTCTGTGGCGGGATGCTTTGTCGCGGATCAATTTTATGGGACAGACTCGCTACCGTACCCCACCATTCCACCCGGGGCGGTGGTATCATGGTTCTTTCCCAACAATTCCTTTTTCCTCGGCTTTCAAACCGATAACACTTTCAAAAAGCATTGGGTGGGGGATATTCTCTAAAGAAGAGCACTTCCGTTCGGCTAGATAACATCGGAATGGCCTTCCAGCCGCCGCGCGCTCAATTTTTTGTTGATTATGGAAGAGGGGAGGGGAACAATCAATCAGTATGTGCAAGGGACTGCGGGGGCGCTGGGAAGCTGGTGGGCAATCTATTCGAATTCCACCAGGACCTTGACCTCGAAAGTTCTCCTACTCAACTCTTTCCCGATCAGCCACTTTTCGCATCCCGGGCCTAGGGAATGTGTGAAACGCTAGCCTCGTCTTTGCCCCAAAAGCTACCACTTTTCGTTTACAAGCTATTGGGTATAAGAATTTGTTTTTCTGACCTGTATCCCAATAAGTTCATGATAATTCTGTTATTAAATCATTCGTTCGTTTCATTTTGTTTTCTGAGCCTGATTTCTTACGTATGCGTTTTTTCTTTGATTATTTGCACTTCTCTACCACTATATGGAACGCTCCAGTTTCTATCATTAATTTGCTAACAGCCGCCAAACTCAGTGCGATAAGAGATTATTATTCAAGTTGGCTTTCGGACGTTTTTCGGTAGTCTGTCTTACACTTGGCTTACTCTACGGCTTTGCTTAGCTTGTTTTTTTCACCCTGGGTTTACCCCAGATTGATCCTCAAGCTATTTTCCACAAATAGAACATACCCCTGTAGAAGCCTAACGTTATCCTAAGTTTCGAAACCAAGTGGGCCCCATACCACCCGAATAGTACCGGAAATTAACAACTTCCGCGCCAGACCCCCTGCTCCCAACGCTCTACCATAACTTTAACGACTTGCATTTCATAAAGCCTGTGTCCAGGCATTGCCTTTGCCCATCGTGAATCGATATTAGGTCCCGATCTAGACCTGCGGCGGCTGACTCAATACCTTTGTGAAGGGCGTTCGGGGGAACACCCATCCTCAACCGTTCCTTTTCCATCCATGTTTGCGGCGGGGCCTCGGCTGGCGGGCGACCGGACGTGCGCATGGGGAGTATTGGGACGGGTCGCATCTGTCTCGCCCTTTCACTCCAAAAAGGGGGGACAAAAAACTGAGCTTCGCTTTTGGATTGCCCCCGCCTCTCTCGAAAAATGTTATATTTCCGGTAATGACACCGCTTTCGACAATTTCCGCCTCTGACCAATGTAGGATAGAAGGAAAATGTTGAAATAATGGATTAGGATCTACCTAGTAACCGATGGTCAAAGTGGTTTAGTCTAGCTAGCTAGTTAGCTTAATTGTGGCTATATTAAGCTCATGAATCGCTAAGTTAATTCATTTCTGGACATAACTTAACCAAAAGTTTACGCCGGAAGGAACAATCTAATTATTTGACCTATTAGGTTCAAATAACGCGACCGCGAACTGACCAGCACGTTGGCCATAGACTGGGCCCTCTGGGCCCCCGAAAAAGACAAACAGGGCACGTGCATTGCTGCTCCTCGTCGCGGCCGCCCCCTGCATCCACCCGCAGAAGCACCTTATCAGAAAGGCTCCCGCCAGCGTCATTTCCAAAAGGGCGCCCGAGGCCCATGTGAATAACGACCAATTATTTATTTTTATATCATTACTTTTAGTTTTAATTAAGCTGAATTCCGCTCTTTTTTCTATTTGGAATTCCGAAGCAATACGCGCCTAGCTGGGACATTCCGTAGCATTCCTATTTACGAATTGAATCATTCGAGAAGAAAATCATTTCCAATTTCCGCATTTCATTCTTTGTCGTTGTTTTCTTTTTTTAACGCCCCTTCGATCGGACTTTTTATATTTCTTCATTTGGTCTCTGGCAAAAACATGGCCCACCTCTCAGGCACACTTACGCAATCGAATTCCCCGCCTCATTTTGGTCCAAAATTCGATGAGAAGAACTTAGCGACTCACTAAAGTGCTTGTTTCTTTTGAAACGCAATCGTTTTTCATTTAGTTTTGATTGTAGAATCCTTTTACTAACTAACTTGTACGCGAATGTGCTTTTCAGTGTTGTTTTCCTCGCCGAAGCAAACGCTTTTCTGTACAATTGTATTTTTGGCCAAAAAATATCCGTTTGAGTCTTCGTTTACTTGCCTACCGATTTGGCGCTTTTGACATTTGAGTTTTTGTACTTGTGCTGTAGTGCGAAACATAGCTGATAAGACGAGGCTTTTGACAAGTATTCCAATTTTGTTCTTGGCTACCAGTTTGAGAAGTTATGAACGGCAAAATTTCACTGCCAGGCCTAAACCTAAGCACTAACGCTAATACCCGGACTACGACTGCTAGGGGTTTTTCTTTCTTGTTTCCATTTTGATCTGTGGTTCTTCCACTTTTTTCAAACTTTATTTTTTTCAGGCCACTGGCGATGCTGGATCCGGTGCACATCTGCGCTATTGTCATTCTCTTCCTGGCCGCTATCGTCTTCCTTTACTTTGCCAGTCAGGGTCATGACGACGCCAAATACGAGAAGGTGCTTTTATATTCTTGTTTCGATCAATTATTTTTTTAGTTGGCTAAGGAGTCGACAAGGATTCTGCTAGACAAAAAGGGTGCTGCGAAGGGCAAGGCTGGCAAGAATAAGAAAGATCGAAAGAACGAAAAGCGTTCTCCTGAGGCCGCTGGGCGGGCCGTGGACGAGGAAGTCACCGTTAAGGAAGTTCATACACCGGTACTATATGTCAGTCTTTCTTTTCAATATCTTTCTAGGAATCGAAGGTCGAGAAGCAAAGTGACATCTCGGACGAAGGCCTTGAGTCGGCGAACGTTTCATTGTCTCCAGGATCCACCACCACTCAGGAAGATGCCGTGAAGGGCTCGCAGCTGGAACAAGGTACTTCCGATATCCTTATTTATATTTTTTCTTAGAAGGTGCTAATGGAAAGAAGAAGCAAGCGAAGAAGGGCAAGGAATCCGCGAAGGTTCCTGCTCCCATTTCTCCTGACAACGCTCCGACGCCTTCGCCTCCAGCTGCGGAGCAGCGTGAAACTGTGAAGCCTAAGAAGAAGCGTGTGGTCGTTGCCGATTTGAATGAGCACACCCTGCTATCTCAACTTGCCACGGTCCCGGACCTCGACCCCGAGTACATTTCCTTCCTTACGCATTACTTCAATGAAGTCAATGAAAAGGTTTTTTTCCATTGTTTGGTCAACCTCTCGTTTAGGCTGTGAGCACCGCTATCACAATTAGCGCACTGGAGAAGAAGGTCATCGACTCTTCTGCGAAGGCGGACCAGCATTGCAAGGAACGTATGACGGCTCAGAAAGAATGTGTTGAGCAGAAGCGGGTTGCTGGTGAGCTCTCGAAGAAGGTTGCCGCATTGGAGGAAGAGGCCGTGGCCGCTAGGCGCTTGGTCGCGGAACAGACGGTATTTGATTTGATGAATATGTTTCATTGATGCTTAGACAAAGATCTCTACCTTCGGGACTCTGCAGACGGGATATGCCAAGTTGTCCGCAGAGGCTACCGCTATGAGACAGGTGGGTATTTGTGCCTTGTCTGGGACACTTTCTTTTTTAGAGCGATGCTGTTAACAGGCAGAAAGTCGAAAAGCTGCAGCACGATCTGAATATTAAGCGCGACCAGGTGGAGGCTGCCCATCTCGAAATAAGCAATCTTCGATCGGTTGTTAACGCACAGGAGAAAGAATTGGCTAAGGTATGCGTCCGTATGTTTATTATTATGCTCTAGGTCGCCGAGGAAGTTGCTTCGAAGAACACCAAGCTGATCGCTCTGCAATCGGAGTTCGAGGAGATTCAACTGCTTGCCAGGGATGCCGTCGCCAAGAACGACGTAGCCGCGGCCGGTGTGCTGATGAACAATGCGTCCGGCGTGAACGAGGAACTGCAGGAGGTACTATTTTTGTGTGGTTTCTGGGACTTCTTGTCCTCATCTTAGCCTGTTGTCTTTGACTGAGTGTGTCGCATTCTTGGCCTTTCTCTGGTTCGGATTTCATCGTTTTGGCATGTGTTTCTCTCTGCAACAAACTGCGCCTCCTCGGTATCGATTTTCGCTCGTCGTCGGCGGCCGGGTCCCCACTCCCATTGCTCTTTTTTTTTTGAGCCTCAGCGAGCCCTAACCGTTTTATAATGAAAAACGTCCCTTGGACAACTTTTGCAATTCCTTTCACGAAATTTTGTTTAAAGGGATAGGGGCGGCATAAGTCAATCGATTATGCGCGGGGAAGAAAATGTTTCTGCGCCCTCTCTCGCCGCTGCATCTGTTGAACCCCCCTGCCCAAGGGGGTTCAACAGATGCCGTCCTCATCTCTTTATTTTAACTGTGCGATTTAGAAGGAAGCTAACTGGATGGCTGAACGGGCTCGACTCGAGCAAGTGATCACTCGCCTCCAGCAGGAAATCGCCCGCTTTGAAGAGAGGTGTGTTTACCTTGCTATTGAGTTGATATTGTGTTTAGGAAAGCTCATACTGATCGGCTAGAGCGCGATTTGCGTGAAGCCGAGAAGAAAAATGATGCTCTGCAGAAGACTGTCGACAAGCTAACATCGGAAATCGAAAGCGTCAAGGCTTTGCAGGACGAGAACAAGCGCCTCGTCGCGAAGAATGAAGTAAGTTCGTTGAATGTGCATTGTTTTTTGGTACTGGATACGGAGTTTATTGTGCAGGAAAATATATCGATTCTCTTCTTTAGGAGCTCCGTGAACGGAATATGGCTGTCCTGGCGCATTTCGAATCGTCCGAGGCATCGCAGAAGGTTGTCCACTCGGCTCAATCGTCTGAGAAGCCGCCGTCGAAAGCTTCTGTTGGTGCTTCTCCTGCCAAGGCTACGAAGGCGGACTCGCCGGCCGCTCACACGGGCTCCAATGCTTCGCAGCCGTCATACAAGACCTACGAGCCTCCCTCTGACTTTGCCACGTCGGGCACTCTCTTGACTGACTCTCTTGACTGGTCGGTCTCGCCCCAGAACTCTTCGCGTGCCAATCTGAAGACCAACAAGACGCAGGGTTCGGATGCTCCCAGTGTCACTGACTGGACCGTTTCCCCCCAGAACGCTTCGCCTGCCAATCTGAAGACCGACAAGACGCAGAGTTCGGACGCGCCCAGTATCACTGACTGGACCGTTTCCCCCCAGAACTCTTCGCGCTCCAATCTGAAGGCTGACAAGACGCAGAATTCGGATGCTCCCACCAGCATCACTGCTCCCAGTATCACTGACTGGTCCGTCTCCTCCCAGAACTCGTCGCGCCACAATCTGAAGACCGACAAGTCGCAGAGTTCGGACGTTCGCAGCATCACCGCTCCCAGCCCCACTGACTGGACCATTTCCCCCCAGATTTTGGACACTGCCAGCACCACTGCTCCCAGCATCACGGACTGGTCGGTCTCGCCACAGAACTCGTCGCGTTCCAATCTGAGGACCAACACAACGCAGGGTTCGAACGCTTCCAGTGACTTCGCCCATGCGGTAATCCTTTTCTGTCTTCATCTATCTATTGGTTTAGTTGAACCTGGTGGGAAGGCTCGAACAGTTTTGGGACGCCCATTCGTCGAATGTCGATAGCACTGCCACCCGTCTGGAGCGCCATATCTTGGTGAATTTTTACTATTTGATAGCCGGCTACTGCCTAATATAGCCGAACAAATTGCTGATTCGGAGCTAAATTCCCTCTAAATACTTTCATTTCCAGAAGAACCGTTGAATGAACACCCCAGCTCGCCACCAATGCCTCAAACCGGGTCCTCGCCTACTTGAAATAAGCTAATAGTTCTGTTTCGTTTGATCTTATTCCGGATTAGTTGGCGTAGCCCGCTAACCCGTTTTTCTGTGTATCGTTTTGACTGCTTTTTCCGGGAAGTGTTTTTCTTTTTTGGGTTATGATAAAAATATGTGTGGTGTGCGTTTGCTATGACGTGAAAGTCTTTTTTTCATAAACATTGACGCATCTATGATAACGCATTCTGTCTTGTTTTTGTTGCTTGCCGGTCCTGTAACGAGCTGTATAAGTGCGGTGCAGTTGTTTGGGAACGTGCCTTTGCGTAGTTGGATCCAATGTGAGTCGCTACGTTTTCCTGCGCCTATTCATGCCTAGTTATGTTTACGCTGGTTTCGAAAAGCCGACTGTGCGTAGTATGGTTTTCTCACTATGCTATGCACTTTTGCGTTGAGCTTCCAAATGTGGGTATGTGATCAAAATTTGCCTTGTTGCCTTCTAGTCTGAAGTATTCCTGGCCTTGGTATTATCGGACAAAGAAAGTAAGCAACTATTTTCCTATAGTGCGCCAATGATACCAAGCTATAGAACAAAGACTTTCCAGCTAACTGAATTTTCTATGATATTGAAAATTAGGCTGAATTAAATTTATATGTGCTGCCGCTCGGTGTCGACGTTATAAATAATGCTTATTGCCTCTTGCTTTTTCCTAAGCGCAAAACGGAAAATTTGGGCGATCTAATAGGCAGAATCACGGTCGGATATTTGCAGCATGATTTACAGCCAGTCTGCATCAGCAACGAACATCCAGCATTTGGGTTACAAGAAAGGCGGGCCGGGGGGGGGGGGCGATATCATCCTGCCTACAATCCGACTTGGTGCCAGAAGGATAAAGAAGAACTTTGATTGAAACATATCCGCGTGTTCAATGAAGCTAAGGTTTTTTTCGGCCCCTCTTACACATAGATTGTTGCGTCGATCAAGGAACATGAGTCCTTTCCTTGACCCGACCCCTGATGGAATCCAAAATCCAGAAGTCATTGTCCCGGAGACCGTTCTTATTGAGGTTTTATGCTCATGTATGGTCATAGCTTTTGAATACCACCAAAAATAAAACCGATGCCGAAAAAAAACCCGAAGCCTGGTTATGATTGTTGAAACAGTCATCGAAAGTTCGATCGATGCAGTCCCCTCAATTTGCCCTCCCCCCGACCAGATTCTCTGGCCGCTCCCACCCGCGCTGGCCCGTTTTTGATAAGCGATGAATCCGATTTAGATAGCTTTCATCTTGAACCGTACGATGATGGCATTTTTTCATTCAATTCATCCAAAAGATGGCTTCGCCTCTCTATTGACGTATTTCCTTGACTTGATTAAGAGCACAAACCCACTTTTCACTAAAACGAAAGCCGTAAAACTGGGGCAAATGATGATGGGGCACTGTAAGGACCGATAAGACTGTCCGGCTCGACTCTCGACCAGCTGTCAGCCAAAAAGTGAAGGCCATCTCTGCGCGCCCATAGCCTGGCTCGATTCGCCCACAACAGCTCATTGATTTTTACCCATGCAATCGGTTTTCGCCCACCCCCGATATCCCAGGATCTTTTTTGGGGTTGTAAGCGGGTCAATTCGGGCTTATTCGTAACCTTTATCCAATAAAACCTTGTGTTGTGACGATTATAATCTTGTTGTTTATTGAGCCTTTCATTTGCTGGCGCATGATTGTTTTCTATAGCGGCCTCCCGTTTTTTTTTTGACGCAACGATAGCCAACTTAACTTCCACTTTATTTTCCCTTTAAAGCAATTTATATTTTGTTAAAGGGGATCAGAAGTCAAAATTCGTGCTTGCGGGGATTGAACCTACGGGTCAAAAAACGAAAGGGTCATTGCCGAGAAATGCCAAAAACGTGATTTGATTGCCAAAAAACGTAAATTGATTGAGAAAAACCGAATTCTTTTTGGGGCAAAAACGACATTTTGAGTGCGCGGCGATTACATGTCAGTAATGCCTTGTAAGGCACCCAATCTCTCGATCTCGGTGATTATCTCGTCAATTTTCATAATTTAAAAGTCTGGAATGATCAAAATTCATTGAGGATTCCAAAAATAGTACCATAATTTTTAAATTCAAGCGTTTTCGCTTCCAAACAGAGGCAAAAGATCATGCGGCGCAGTCGCGTTGCGGCCGCATCTGGCTATTTGCCAGGAACCACAGCAGGGGGCAGTGGACCAGATTTCGGAGCCCCTTTAAACCACTTGTTTCAGATGCCCGACAACCCATTTACCCGCGGTTTGTCGAGGCTATCGAGACGGCGTAAGAAACCGGCCGTTCTGGCGTCGATGTCAATGGAGGAACATTTCGATGTGTCGCGGTCTTCAAATGCAGAGGTGGGTCCTTTCTTAGCCTATACTATTTCATTTTGTGTCTGCACCTAGATTATTCTATTTTTTCCAGCCTCCGACCGCTCTCGATGCGCTTGAGGCAAAAGAATTGGACCATGGCAAGAAGTAAGTTGTTTCACCTTCATTACTATTCCGTTGGCAAGAAGAATATCTCGGCCCGGGAAGCCTCTCCGAAAGGATCCATGCCTCCCTAATTACATTATTCATCGGTTCGTGCTGGAAACACGCCATGTCCCCGGCTGTATCGGCAGCATTTTGCAGCGCCATCCCATTCTTATTTATTTTAGAATGGGATTTGACTATATATCCTAAGTAAAAAGCCCTTATTAAAACAGTTTTTGGCTTTCCACACGTCTAGGGCCCCCGAGATTGCAGTTTTGGGAGAAGCAAGTCTATTTTAACTACTAACCTTCCTTCCCATATAGGAATTGGCTTGAAACTGCGGTCACTTTCGTACTTTACGGCTCTTTTTTTCTTGTAAATGCTCCTATATGATCGATCTGCCATTTTCTGCCCCTTAGTGCCCGGGGTGTCTGGGTGCTTTCGTCGACGGTGACCCGCACATTGGCTGTCTCTCCTTTCGCTATCCTGAAGCTGCTCCCTCTCCATCTATACGTTCTCTCGTAGCGGGGTCCCCTAGCGTTTAACGCCCATACACATCCATCGAAAGTCTGGGGCTTACGAACTCGGCTCACCAGGGATCCGGCGGTTAATGCGTTTTTCGTTAAGCTTTCGTGGCTTTAGGTTTGACCGAAACGGAACACCTTGTTTTGTTACAGGAGCCACGCTTTATTTTTAATTTCGCAGTCCTCTACCCAATTCGATTAATTACTGGTATCCACAACAATGTCAGCCATATCCTCCTAAGCTGCACCGAATGGTTCGCCGTGCTTTAGAACAAACTCTTATGCAAGGCTTGTAACAGCGCGCCCTAAGAGCAAAGTTTAGCCTACCGCGGCCTCTACTCTTGCTTTCAAATAACCCAATTTCTGTCCTATAGAGGGGAAATGTTTTTGGTGTTGGATTTATTGAATTGAACATCTGAAAGTATTTCTCAATTTCAGGGGTCTAATCCTGCGCGGTATGGACCGTCTGAGGCGGTCAATCAGACAATCATTGCGGCGCAAAAAGAGCATTGAACGGCCGAGTGCGGAATTGGTTCAAAGGTTTGTCGTGAATTTGACATCTATTGTGGACCTTTTTATTATAGTTGATGTTTTTCAGCTCGTCGTCACAGGTTAAAAATGGACCTTGGCAACCGGACGAGGCATCTGTACGGGCTGGGTTGTGTAGTTTTCAAGTGAAGGTAAGCCATGTTCGTGATACTATAGAACTAATTTAAGTACCTGGGTTCCACGGAAGTCTACGAGTCACGCGGCATGACGGTTTGTGAAGCTGCAATGAAGACGCTCAAGGTACGTCTAACTTTCCTTCGTCAAATTACTCAAATCATATTTCTAGGCAAACAAACGGAGGCCGATCAAAGCGATGCTCTACGTGTCCGGTGATGGCCTTCGGGTCGTTGATCAGCAGAGCAATCGAGGGCTTCTGGTCGATCAGACAATTGAAAAAGTGTGTTCTTTTGTACGGCGGTGTAATTTTTTCCAGGTTTCCTTCTGCGCCCCTGATCGTAACAATGCTCGCGGATTTGCCTATATCTGCCGCGATGGAACCACACGCCGCTGGCTTTGCCATGGCTTCCTCTCGAGCAAGGAATCGGTGAGCTTCCTATAAACTCTGATTCGTCGAGATTTGCAAAAGAGGGGGTATTGATGTTTTTTCAGGGTGAACGGCTTTCACACGCTGTCGGTTGCGCCTTCTCGGTTTGCTTGGAGAAAAAGAGGAAGCGTGATGAAGAGACGACCGTGGTGGCCAAGGGAATGGCCGATAAAGCACTCAATCCCGATTGGGATGACAAGCCGAGGTCAGATAATTTATTCTTCAAAATTTCGGTTCTATCATCGCCTCCTTACCAAAACTTGATTGGGGGACTTGGCGATGTATTCCTTACTCCCTTTTTAGTGGGTCCAACAACGACAGCAGCTGGTTTTCGCCTTCTACATCGGCTGATCCTGGTAATTTCCAGCGAGGCGTTAACCCAGCCTATACTTCCATCAGGTTTGTTTCATTAGCTGATTTTTGACGCCCATTTTGTTGTTTAGGAAAGCCCCTATGAGCGAGCGGCTTCAGGATCCACAGGCCGTCATCATTTCACAGGCTGCTAACACCGCAGAAAAGACTGCGGTTCGTATTTACATCGTTACCTTTCTCCCCTTTATATCGCTATATTATATCCGCTATTTATCGGCCTTGAATCACGATTACCGCGTCCATTTGCATTTTTTAGTTCCTCGATAACATCGCGAAGCCCAGGCCGGCCGCGAACCCTCAGCTCTTCCTTCGCCAGGTACGAGAAGTTGGGAATTTGATGAGTTTTGAATTTAGGGATCTCTGCGCGCTCCGGAGTCGGCTCAAAGCTTCCGCCGCCAATTCTCCTTGAGGCCTTTCACCGGCAATAGTTTTGACGGGAATACCGTGAGGGTGGGCTTCGTTTTTTTAAATGTCGGCTACCGTTTCTCGTCTGGATCGTGATTAATTCTAAACGTTCCCCTTTTCCCGGTCGATCCTGAAAACTAATCAAGTACCTGGGGACCAACCCGCTATTACCCCCCACCTTTTCTACTAACTGGGCCGATTTTTGGCTTGCTGATACTCTCCCAAGTTTTCACGTATTATGCAAAATCGCTGCATCGGGGAGGGGCAACCGCTGACTCGGTTTGTACACTAGCATTGATTATTCCACACGAGTGATGCGGATCAGGCTGCCAGCCGACTCCTACGAGCTAGAATGGACAGCTAACCAAGCTCGCAACAACGTCACGTCTCGCCTGAATCGCATCTGGGATTCTACCCAACAGCTTGGACGCCGCACAATAGCGCACCTCCGTCGCTACCGCGCATTGGAGACAAAATATCAGCCTACACCTACTTTCGATTACACGGCGAATTATAGGGTGACCGTAAAGCTCAACAATTAATCGGGGTTAACTTGAAATAGACATCATTGTGTAATCCTAGATCTTGAATTTCCATTTATTCTCCTGCTTTAGCCTAACCACGGTGTCTCGCTGTTCAACGAACCCATCTACGAGGGCGATGAAGACCCGGAGCATCGAGCCCTTGGCGACGTTCCCACCGGCAGGTTTTGGCATGAAGTCTCCGCTCCTGGGAGTTCGCCTGGTATTTTATGCCTATATAGCTAATGTCAAACCTTATTTGTAGCTGTATCTCCGTTTCCTAATGGCGCGGCCCCCCAAGTTCAAGTCCCGGTGAGCATCCCGCCAGACTCGACCGGCTCGTCACAAAATGAGCTTGGCGGTTATAACCCCGAGGCGATGTGGTAATTATTTTATATATCTTACAAAATAAATTGGAAGTGTTTTGAAACTCTAAAAATTTTAGGAACGAGGCACTCTATGGTGTCCCGAAAGAAAAAAGGGCCGAGGATTGGCTTGAGAACGCGCTGCGCAACATCAATATCTCGCCATCTTCGAGCAATGAGCAAAATGGTATCTTTTTTCCAAAGTACGTTTAGCAGATCACTATAGTGCCTCCATCGCCCGGAACCCTCTACCTGGTCAGCCAAGCACGTGGTGCACCTGGAGGAGTAAGTTTGTTTCTGGCGGATTTTGCTGAAATATGTTCTAGCTAAGAAATTTAGTTTTGATTTTTACTGGTGCTAAACCTTTTGTCACTTCTGAACAACGACTTGACTCTTCGAATAAATGGTTTTGGTTTCAGTTACCTACTGCGATTCTCACTGCTCCGCCGCCGATTCCAGCCCGGCCAGCCATATCGAAAGATGTAAGCCGGCTTTCGAAACGGCGTAATGTTGTATTTCAGGTCACCCGTATCAAGCCACCGCCCGTAACAATCTCTGATCATACCGAGGAGGTGTCTGAGAAAGCAGCTCCGGGCACCGGGAATCGTTGGGACAGCCCCGAGACGGTCCAATGGGAACATCCCCCGCAGAACCCACAGGTTTCAAAGCTTTCCTGTTTCATAACACTTGTATTTCTAGGGCGCTCCCAGCGATGACCCGTTCGATGTGCAATGGAGCCGCGTGGCACTTGGACCACAGGTCAACATTTAAAGCTCCGTTAATCTAATTTAAATCGAGCTCTTTTTATTAGCTCTTCTTCATCAATCCCAGTGCAATGTTGCCTTTGTAGCGCCTTTTCTAATCCCGCCTTGCCACTTGCTGCCCCCTACACTCACCCGTTTCCTTTCATTGTTAAACCGCCAAAGTGCCTAAATTCTGTATATTCCCGATCGATTCTTATTAACAGTCTTTTGTGATATTAGCTATCGATCGATCACTAGGCGGCATCTCTGAAAGCCTTGCGTCAGTTACAAGCTTTCCATTTGATAATAAAGTGTTTTGAAGTATGCTCTCTGTTAGCGGACATCAGATTTTGAGATTTTCCAGTTTATTAGCGCGTAGTGATGAGAGTTAATTGAGCATGGAGTATCACAATGAGATCATATAGTAAAGACACGTGAAAAGTTACTCGTTTTTGCGGGACATTGAGCGAGCCCTTGTAATTACGATCACAACAAAGCTTCCGAAAGTTGACAACACGGTAACAACGCCAACTACCCAAATATGCTCACTATTTCCAACGTTTAGTTTGATGACAATCGGCGAGTTTCGTTTTATCGGCGGCACTTCAAGCCACCTTGGAGAGCGTCGAGGTACGCCATCGATATGCTTTAGTTCGGCTGTGCATTCAGCGAATCCATTGGCCTGCAAATTGTGTTTTATAGGTTTTGGAGCAGCAATCTGATCCCTCGCATGTTTTTATTTTAGAAACTCAGTATGATACCTACCTCAAAGTCCTCGGCGCAATCAATAAGTATTTTGGGTTGTTTAATGCTGACGCTAACTGGTTGACCGCCAAAATTGCTGACATGGTAGCGAAGATGGAGAGGAATACGTATCGAATCCTCCAATACAAAAGTTTTGCGGAAGTCGCGCCTCGCCAAGAAATGGACGGTCATCGGCTCGGAATGTTCGGCTATAGCTTCGACATCGAAGCGCCTGGGTGCGTGGACGATGTGCTGCAAATTGATACAGATTTAACGGTACACATAGGATAACGGGGGGGCACTCGTTATTATGAAATTTGCAATTACTGAGGGATTTTGCGAGTGCCATTCGATAGAGCGTCGAAAAATATACTAAGAGAATTAATTTGAGCCCAAAATAATGTAATGGAAATTTTTTATTGAAAAAACAAAAATTGAGGAAAATCGATGGGCAGCACATAGGATAACGGGGGGGATTTTCGGCGTTTTGAATATTTTCGATATTTTCAAAATGCCATTCGATAGAGGACCGAAAAATATACTAAGAGTTTTGTTTACAGCCCGAAAAAAGCATATTTAAAAATACTTTTATCATATAAGTTTGAGTGCCCCCCGTTATTTCCCCCCCTGTTATTCCCCCCGTTATCCTATGTGTACCGATTTAACGGATTAAAGATAAAAATGTCTATCCGTATGTCCGTATGATAATCAGTTGTGCTTTTCATGCTTGGCCGAATTATTTATAGCTGCTATGTGAATCTGAACTGACCTGTGGCACCGAAGAGTTCAGCGAATCCGGATCCAAGAAGGCCCCACGTGGTATCGTCACCTCATACAACAATTTACAAGCCGTAAATCGTTGTAAATTGGTGATCTTAGCCTCGATTTTCAGCTGCGGATGCATCCCTGGCCCAATGACCTCAGTCCGGCACTCAGATCCCTGGATTTCGGCCAGAAATCGACACTGGCGGGCCGAAATGATTGTGGCGCAGCATAGTGGGATTAGAAGGAGGCGAAACATTTAGATATGGCCAAGAGCTTGCTGGTAATCTTATATAATCGTTCGGCCGCTACGGATGCTCCAATGAACGAAATGGGATGGCGGGAGGCGAAAATCTGGTATCTAGGTCGAGCCCCGCAGATGTCTATCTTTGCTATCTGTGTCACCTGTTTTGCAAAAAAAACACTTCTGGGCATATCAATATTTATTCATAAGCCTAACGATGGTGGGAAGCAAAGGACACTTTCTGGGATGACACACGGATTGATTTTATGCAAAAACATTAGGCTTGCACCGGGTTGAGTGATTTTTTCGCGTTATTTTGAGAGATATGTGCCTGTGGGTTAATTAATTGGAATTCGGCAAAGAATATCTTTGGCAAGACTCGGGATCTTACACGGCTTTGAGCAGGGGGACGACGAGTTCGGCAAGGTTCGATGTGCGATTAAAGGGATTTGGAAGACAAATACAGTCACAATTGTTTTGTGAATTTCACTGTCCGAATTTTAGTTTTAAATTGCTAATTTTGACTTTTTGACTTCCAAAGCTCTCTAAATCAATCGACAATTAAAGGGCTGTCACAGAAATATAATCATTTGAGGGCTTTTTGAGGACAATATGGGGTCGCTGTGCATTTACACCATCCACAATCCGTACCTCGCCCACCCAGGCTTCACGCGCTTCCACCTAAAAACTTAGATTATTATATTAGACTGGGCAAAATTTGAGCTTAAGAACAAATAGGTGGACTCGAATGTATTTTAGAGTAAACATGCCTGTCTTGGGACCCAGCAATCGTTTTCGGCGGCATTCCAGCGATATTTCGGATCGCTGAGGTCTATGAAAGGGGTAAAATCGGTGGGCAAATAGTGGTTACCAGTAGTTGTCAAAGTGTCCAATCCCAATAACCCGTCATCAGTCAATGGCCGTGGTTGCCATACCGGTGGTTCTGGTAATTCGAGTGGGGGTGAGCCTGAAACGGGGTAGTTTGAAAATATGTTTATCAAATAATGTCCCGACTAATCTTAGATCGGGATGTTTTTATATCCTTCGAAAGCTCACAAAAAGGTGCGGAAACAAACACTTGATTTTCAAAACATCTCCTTCAATTTTCAGCGTTTTTCTTAAAGAAATTGCATAAAACAATAATTAAATATAAAACATCTATTAAATTGCCATTTCCTATGTACGTTTGTAATTTGTATCTTTAATGTAATATTAAATTTAAAAATGTTATACGTAAACAAAAATGCGAAATTTGCGTGCGGGAAACCAGCAATGAACTTGAAGATATCGCATGAATTATCTATATATTACGATTTAAAGGTACTATTACCTTGCCCAGCCGGTCTACCATTTTCTGAAGGCCCGTTTCCCTGAATTTTGCCGTTCTCCAAAATACTTGGTTGCGCAATTTTTTCGTGAATAGCTGTCACAGGCTGATATGAAGTCCGCCTGTCACCTAAATGTCGGTTATAGCTACGTTATTATAAAAAATTTCAGAATGATAGTGTAGCTATTCACCCCTTTTCCCAACCTACCAGATCTACAGCAAAAATAGTCCATACCGAGAAGCCTCTTCATCCTCGCGTAATGTTGCCTATAACTTAAGATACCACTTTAACTAAATAAACTTACAAAAATAACGCCCTATAGTCTTTGTTAAAGATGAAATAGATGACGCAGTTGACGGACGAGTTGAAAATGATCAAGAAATTGGATGCGTCCGATAGATAATTAATGAGCAAGTGGTCGGGCTCGAAGAATGTCTCGATCATGTTCACAAACAGGGCCTGAAAAGGTGACTATGAAAATAGTATTTTTTATATTACCAAAGTATTGCATGCTAAGAATAGGACGACGACCATAATCATTGTTATTGTATCATCGCTGCTCGGTTTGTTCTTTTGGTCTGGTTCGATGCTACAGTTTTGTTATCTAGGTTTAAATAAATAAAACCCCACATATAATGCTGGTTATGCGGACGCTGGCTTGAGCTCTGCTGGACGATGATGAATGCATTAAGGATAAGGAGGAATAGGAAGGGTAGCAACGTCATTAGTACCATGTATAGGTATACATTATAGAAGGTGTTAATGGCGAGAAATAGGGTGGTCGGGCAGATCTCGATTATTGCTTCCTGAAAGTTGATAAATTCAAGCTACAGGCTTCTGATTAAGCTAAGCCTAAGCCTAAGCCTAAACTCAATTTAAGTATCCTTAAACCACCAGCTGACCTCGCTCAAGTCATGATAACAAGTTCGAAGGTTGAATTGCGGGAATCTCAGCGAATTGTACAAAATACTGAGTGCCGTTATCGCATAACAGATTTGCTTAGCATTTTTGACGCTACAGTAGCTGGGAGCGAGCCGCCGGATGCACACCTAAATCATAAAATGTGTCACCGTTTTGGGTCATAATTACTCACGTTCACATAGCAGTCCACTGCCGCCGCTACGGTAAAGTATACACTACATGTCTGGGCCATATAGCCCAAAGGTAGCGTGTATACTGTAGTGTAGGGAGCACGCGTTAACTCCGGAATATAGGACCTTAAAAATATTGGATAAAATAGAGTGTTACTGCCAACCTGGCGCTGTCAATCCAAAAAATGAAAAGCCCGGTTAGGATCACCAGAAAATCTGAGCACGCCAAGAATAGGAGATATGTGTTTGCAGAACTTTTCATCCTATAAATGAATTTTTAGAGCATGTTCTAGTATTTTTTTTTGAAGTTACCGTCGGCGGGAATAGATAAACAAATTGATGATATTGGTGCAGACTCCGAAAATTGACAGCGTTGGAAGCGCAAAAATGATCAACACGTAGTTATACCTTAAAAAATGTGAAAATGGATTTTAACTTTGTAAAAATTAATAGGTAATGAATTAACTTACCATGCATACGTTGGGGAGTAATCATCGGTCTGCAGGTCAGAACAAATGCATGTTGTATTATTCCGATCCGTCGTCTCCATAATACTAAAAGATAAGAATATATATGTCCTTGCGTAAAGTGGATGAATTTATATTTTACTTTTACTTGTTTATCTTTTAAAACATCCCCTACCGTACCTAGCGTTTAAAAGTGACAACCCCGATTCAAATCCATCGCCTTGAAAAACCGATAGATTATTGCCGTGTAGCAGGTTGGGGAACATTTTTCGAATAGAGGGGGAAGGTGTACGTAGGAGCTGAATGTTCGCGGGGGGAGGCGAGCCCAATTTGTACCTTCCCCTTTAGCGTCTCCCACTCGGGTCGAATTTCAGAAAACAGAGACCACATCCCGGGCGCATCGTCTAGGAGGGCATTCGGATGGTCTTAAAAAATTCGACAACGTTTTTGAAGGGGATCACTAAGGGCTTGGCAAAAATCATATACGCGACGCGACCGCAGGCGTATCAAGAAAGCTAACGAAAAATTGCGAACTATTTTACTTTTAAACTATATGTAGCTTTATGTATAAAAAACTATAGATGACTCGGAGCTGAACTCTCCCTCCAGCCCTCTATTTACAAATTGGAACCAAAAATCCCCCTTGAACGTGTGAGCCACTTTACGGTGGCTTGGGAACCCTGATGATTGTCGCGTGATTTAGTGGGTGAACCAGCTTGAAATAGCTCACCACCTAGCAGTTGACTTAAAGGAACAATCAAGGCAGAGAAAACAATCGATTTTCTACAACTTACTCGATGAAAAAGCTCCATATCTCGGCGGGCCAAGACTGCTTGGAATGGTGCATGAGTTTTGCCATTTCCCTATTTTGATAATAAAGTGTAAAAGAGAGGATTAGTTAAATAAAGAGGAATGGAAAAGGGTGTCTAAGGGCTATTCAAGCTGTAAGAATCCGATAAATTTGAGTTTAATGTCTGCTCAGCAGCGCCATCTTCTGGGTTGGGGCAAAATTTATTCAAATTTTTGTTTGGGCGGACCTCCGCTGGATGTTTTGGGCCCTCTCCGGGCACGTAGGTGTTTGACAATTCGATTCACGAAAAGGGTGATGGGGGTCTGGAGGCTTTTTGTGGAGGGCCTTATAAAAATATGATAAGGCTATTCGAAGGGTTCATGGAACAGCGGGATAAGCTTGAAATGTCATTGTTTTGATGGTACGGATTAGCTCGCGAAGAGGCGGGATAAATTTATGAGAGACTGAATCTTCCCAATATGTTAAATTAAGGAGTAATTTGGCAAATGTCATTAGATAGAACGTCAAAAATACATATATAATATCATGTTATACTTCTTAAGCTCTTTAAACGAGACAAATCGGTGCCTGGGTGTTGGAAAGTGCAAAACCCGAATTGTAAGATGTAACTGGACAGATAGACCCTTTTCAGGACATCCACTTCCATCCCCCCATTCCTTCAGCAAACTTTTCATGTTGATGGCCTCCGAATTCGATTCACCTCATCCCCTACCGCCCCTTCTTTTGAAGCCCACCCAAAACGATACAAAAAAGAATGGGAAACGCCGGCAAATTGAGGCACCACTGCAGCTCTTCCCCGCAACGCAACGAATCCACTAGGGGATTGGTGCTCAGGAGAGAAGCATCACCCTTTTCTGCGAAGTTTTAGAGAGAATTTTATAGACAATTATTTCCGAATTTCTACATGTAAAAAGATGGGTGGGAGCTGGGATGATGAGATCATTGGAGGGAAGACTGGAGACTGGGGTTGGCTGTTAGCTGATGGAATATTTGAATACGTACCCCACCCGACTCGGCTGACGCGATTTTTTAAAAGAAAAGTTGTGAATCGATGTATTGATTGAGCTAAGTAGATTATTCTGTGAAGAAAATTTTCTAGACACGATGGCAAAGTTTGTTTTTACAAAATTGGTTAGGATTTGGGTTTTAAAACTCACATTGTTCTCTCAAATTCACCTAAATACTCAAATAACTTTTTAACAAGGGCACTTCCGTAAAACTAGAAAATAGCTTTTTTCAATGTACTATATATTTATACATGCTACAGAACAATTTCCCACTTCGTCAAAAACATATATTTTCTGCTTGAAATTAAAACCGACCTCCCCCAAGAGATGAAAGGTTATTTTTTTCAGCGACGCTGGTAATCGTGCACACCCCGCTTTTTTGATGATGAGGCCCCCATTTCGGGCCCGGGAAGTGGTCGGCCAGGAAAACTTAATGACCAACCACGAAATTCGACCCCGTAGCCTTGGGGGGACAATGGATGCAGCGGGAAGTCAGAGAACCCTTACGAATAAAGACTTCCCGTTACTAGCATCGTTCAGAATTCGCGATTTTTGAACTGAAGCCTGGGGAGTGGGTGGTTTTTGATAGCTGGACTAGGTCGGCGGGTATGTCTTGGAAGGGGATGTGGGCCAAGTTGGAAACTTGGGTGTAAATTAAGGTGGGAAAATGAGGAAGGGAGGGGATGGTACATTTTTTGTAGGTATAAAGCTGCTGTCACTGTCACTTTAAAGTTTTTTAGCTAAGCATAAGTCTAAGCCTCAGTCTATGCTAAGCCTAGTGTTGCCAAGCCTAAGCCCACGCGAAGCCGCAGCCTAGGCCTAGCCATACCTACCTTCAATGTATAATTCCCATACCAATCCTAGGAAGAAATCGAATCCGAACAGACAATAAATAATCTCTCTCCCCCAACCATCCAAATGGAACACACCGGATTTGTCATGATAAAACACGTCAAAAGCAGCAATCCGGCAACGTTTTTCTGTTCTCCCCAATAAGCCTCCGATGAATGCGTCAAAGAAAATCCTTAAAATGGATCCAACTGGCTTTTGATGCCATCACCCGGCCAATCATCAAAAAAGTAGGATTTACAACGGTGAAACATAGCTAACTGATCTCAAAAAGACGCCTGAAGCCAAAATGAACTTGGGAATTGTTTACCGGAAGTGTCGGGGAACGGGTGAGGAGCGGAATGGGATTCCGGGCCTTCTGGCCGGACGACGAACACAAAGCTTCTTCCAATAGCCAATTAGATTCGATACCAATTTGACTGGTGGTAGGGGCTAACAGCGAGAGACTAGGGCACACAAATCGAACATTAATTTTTTGTCTGGTATTATATCGGATTCTAGAAATCAAATTTTAAGGGGAGAGCACAGTGTGCATGAAAATAGCCGAATTATCGATAGGAAATCAATTTGCTAGCAAGAGTTAAAGCCATATATCCTTTGGCAATAAAAGCATTTCTGATCTCCGATAGAGCCCCTTCTAGTTTCTGAAGTCGAAACCACAAAAAAATGCCAATTTTGGAAAATTAATGAATTTTTGATGGGCGGAACACCCGGCAAGATGTCATCGCGATGGACTCTCACATTGGCTAAAAACGGGTGAGAAGCTAAAAAGGTACCTCTCATTTTAGTTCGACGATTTATACGACATGACGGTCGGCGAATGGAGGGTTCTGAAAATAAGTTTTGTGTGAAGAAAATGAGATTATGATGCTATAATGAATATAGCTAATAATCAGGATACAGGGAACTTCAGGATAGCTTACGAAAAATGTTGGCATAATGAAATTTCTAATATTAAGAACTTCCAATTGAAGGGTTCCCCTTTATAAAGAAAATGTTTTGATATTTTAATAACCTTACTCTTCCGTTGGAATACACCCATAAACAACAACGAAAACACAAGTTGCCACATAACAGCACGGGAACGGTGAATATAGGATATCCACGTAAGGGACTAGAATTAGTTGATATAACCACCAGACGGGGGCCAGCCTTCGGATTATATGTGCCAGACCCCCCTTGGCAGGGATAAATTATTGAGGCCGCACGGGTCGGCAACAAGGAAAATAGAACTAAACCAACAGCCTTTTAAGGACTGACCCAACACACACGATGGCATCTAGGGGAGGGGAGGAAGGATATTTACGCCTTCGGAATATGGGACCGGCGTGGTATGAAGGGGAGATGATTAAGGTAGGGCTAAGGCTGTGGATTTTGCTCGCGATACGCAACGAGCGCCACGACGCAACCGATCTGCCTGAAACGTCGCGTCGGGTAAGTCAGGATTACCACTAATATAGGCCATTAAAAGGAATAACAAAGGATCTTTAAAGAAGTAGCTGCTCCAGGCTTATATTAGAGGAAAGACTTGCCAGGGAGCCTAAGCCTAAGCCTACGCATATCGAATCCTTATCAGCAACCAAGAAGATCCATCACCTGGGATGCAGAATCCTTTAAAAACCCTGTATCCGCGATTTGCCGTATTTCACTTAGAAATATCAATATTTTAGCATTTGCTCCGTTTTGTCCCGCTCCCCGACTACCGTAATACAACCAACCTACCAATAAATCCAGCGCCCACCCAAAAATTAAGACATATCACCCGCGCTCCAAGCCCCCCGTGACGCCGCCCAAAATTGGCCGCCCACCACAAAAAATGGCGAACCCTTAGCGTACGCCGATAAAATCGGCATCCCTTGCCCCCGTTTTTGGCTCCAGGAGCGCCCTGAAATTGGTCCTAATCGAATTGCGGTACGCGCACCTATGTGTAAGCCCAACTTGGGTTAACGTTAAATTCGAGCCCCCACCTGGAAAGCGACCCACCGTAATTGCCTATCCTGGGAGCTAGATTTAGCCTGCCGGAGCCCAGGACAGCAAAAAGGTTTTGTAGTGCAAGGGTTTTCTATAATTTTTACATATATATTCAGCTAGCGGCGTGACGCTTTTATGAGAACTGACTTCCCAAGGATCCCGGCCCTATTTTTGATCCTTGGTCTCTAACTAGTGGTAATTTTGTTTATAATTCCATCTTAATTCCCCCGAAAACCCCAGCCAGGGCCTCCCGCGTCCCACCAAAAAATCTCCGTTCCCTCTGCTTTTTTGCAAATTTCTGAAGTGTTTTGGCGGGACGGTTGAGACAACCAAAAATTTCCTCCAGGTTAAAAATTCTCAGCCAAAAATAAGAACACGTAGAGGGTATTTGGATCGTCGGTAAACCCCAGGGTTCATTGGCATTAAAATATTCCACTTTTTGTGCGGGGGTCCAGGGGAATTAGGGATGCAACGCTGGCGAGACATCGGCCGCAAAATCGTTTGTTTTTCCCGGGAATAATGGGTTGATTCCAAAGACGAATGAAAAGGGGGGGGTCAAAGATCGGAGACACAAGGCGTTTTGAGGCTTCATGACATGTGGGCTGGGGGGGAGGGTCGAAAGGTGCCAAATAGTATGGACGCGTAAAATGGGGCCCATTTTGGGTGACTTTATGGGGGGGGGGGGGAGGGGAGTTGGGTGAAGGAACCTGAAGGGTTTCGGGGGTTTTGTTCTAGTGCCATGCTTTTTTTGGGATTTGCATGGTTCCGCATAGTGATTTGCATAATGCAGAAGAATTCCATTTCCAAAGTTCCGCGTTAAAAATATTCTGAGAATATGTATACGGTATTTTCTCCAAAATAGGCGCGGACCTTCTATCGCCTAATGATTGCGAAAAACCAAAATCCGCGAGATTTCGTCCTTAATTTGTCAATGTTTGCACAATTAAATGGGTTTATCACTTAAAATTATCTAAAAAATACTTAGAAACATCTAAAAGTACCATTCATTGAATTTTTGGAACCTTAAATGGACATCTGAAGCAGTTTTCTAATTAGAGACACAGCATAGTGCCAGCCAACAAAATTAGCGTAAACTGTTCCTTTCCGTCTGCATTTCAAAACCCGAATTACACATTCCAAAACCAAAACTTTGAATTGAGCTACTTTTTCACCATAGGAGGATAATCCTAAGATTTGGACACTTGAATAAATTCTATCAATTTACCTCCCAAAATCCCTAGCCCGTGTCAAGCCAAACCTTCTCCCCCTTCCCCAAAAAGAGGTGGATTCGGATGTGGTGTGGCTTTATGGGGGGACCAACGGTTGGTGGTGGTCTGAGGGTCTGAGACGGGGGTTGGAAATGCGTTCCGAATGCCCTCCCATTCCACCATCCCTTTCCATTCCTTTAGGAGAGCCAACGGGGATTCTTTAGAAAGAAGGGCCCATCCGATGGTCTAAAGGGTCGGAGACGACTGACGACGTCTTCCTATCCACCCCCACATCCCATTCCCCCTACATGGACAGAATACAAGAATGACAAATAGGGACTGGGCGAGAAATGTTTTTGGATTCGGCAAGGGTAAGAATAAGCCCAGACGCAAGCTGGAACCTCACCTCAGCCTAAGCCTAAGCCTATGCTGAGCCTGAGCTTAAGTCTAATTTTTAGCTTCCGCAACGTCATTTTATAGAGCATCCAAAAATACACTAAAAATTGAATAAAGCCGAAAAAGGTAATTAAGAATATTTTATTACCAAAAGAAAGTCTGGTTGGAACTATGGATGCCTACCGCACGAGAAACTCTTGAATATTTTGCAATTCCCGCATATATTCAATATTTAAAAAAATCGAATTTGATAAAGCGTTGAACAATATGGTAGTGACTTTTTTATGGCACGAAAAACCATGCCCAAAACTCCTTTCCATAAAGATATTCTTGCTTAATCAGCATCCCCCGTGATTTCAACCAAATCAAAGCACTTATGAATGATCAACCAAAAATCCCAGAACCCCCACCCGCTATTCAGAATCCCTAACAACCCACGACTCAAAAACAAAAGCTCCTCCTGGGTTCATCCGCTTCTGTCCAGAGGGCGGAGCGTCGAATCGAGGCGCATTTTTAATCCAATTTCCCCACACTCATCCCATCCCCCTATCTCTTCCCCTCAGCTACCCTTTCGGCTTTTCTATAGCTGACGTGGTAATAACAAAGCCGAACACTACCAAACTCAATAATCGAACCTGAGCCTAACATTTAGGAGAACCGATAAAAACCAACCCAGAATTTTCTCCGCTCCACAAAAATTTCACTCATTTTTACCTCCCCTAATCGAAAACGGGACGGCGTGCGCCTCCGATTAGAAAGGACAAGACCCGGAAAGAACCGACCAAACAACAAACTGGATGCCCTTTTCAGCCAAAGAATAAACTAGCCCCTTTAATTAGCCACACATAGCATTAAGAATTTGTATCTACACCCCTTGGATTCATCGAAATACATCGAAAAATAAGAATTGTAACCCGAACGTCAGGAAATGAATGTTCGAAAAACAAAATAAGTAGAGGTGAGGGTGAGTGGGGGTGGGGTTATAAGGGAACGATTCCTTGGCCAGATATGTATATCAAGGGGCCCAGAAATGGGACCCAAGGGAATATGCCCTCGGGTCACATCATCAAGCACACATCAAAAACATCAAGGAATTGGGCCAAAATGTCACGAGGATTTTAGAAGGTGAGTTCAAAGATAAAGTATAGTTTTAAAAGAGGTTTAAAAGCGCTACATTTATATAAGAGAGAGAGAGAGAGAGAGAGAGAGAGAGAGAGAGAGAGAGAGAGAGAGAGAGAGAGAGAGAGAGGGAGAGGGAGAGAGAGAGAGAAAGAGAGGGAGAGAGAGCAGGCCATAAATCAAATATTGGTTTAATCCAAATGATCCAACTTTAGCAACACCACCCCAATAAAAGGTCGATGTGGTCTTCTGACGCACTACCACGGGCAAACGTTCAAAGAAATTGAGGCTTCACGAACGGGCCTCCCCCTGCGACAAATCCCTCCACAAAACGAAAAAACGGCCCTCAGGGCCCCTCCCCAGGCCCCGTTCTTTTTGATCGTATTTATGGCCAAACTTCCAGATACTAAGTGAGAAAACTATGCCGGAAATACGAGTGCTTATTATCCAAAGCTCCTAAGCCTAAGCTTATGCCTAACCCAAGCCTAAGCCTAATCCTATGCCAATACCTAAGCTAATAAAACGCAACCCAACCTGTTCTGCGGCACTTTTGAGGTGAACATCCCTATTGGCCTGCTAATTGAACGCAGCTTATGGTTCTTTTCAATTTCCACGCCCCATGCTAATCAAAAATGCGTGAACGAGCTCGCGTTCACCTATTTGCCCCGAAACTTTTCCGCCTCGCAGCAAGAGACGGCCTCACCGTATATAGCTTTCATGGAATTAGGGAATTTCGTGAACAACAGGAATCCACGTTTTTGAGAATATCCCGGTGTTTTAAAATGTGAAAAAGCAGAAAACCATTTTTAAAGTAAAACGCAGAATCCCCAAGAAAATCGGGGGTGCCCCGATTTTTGGAATAGCTGGCCCCCAGCGAAATACCTTTTGTGTTCGCCCTAAAATCGCGGAAGTCCTAAATCCTCTCGAGGGCTCCGAAATCTGAGCCTCAACCTCCCCCCTTCTCCTATGCGCCCCTTGTCCAGCAAGGGGCCGAAAAGCCCAAAATCTCCTCAAATAACATGCACAAAAACGGTGGTTGGAAACAGACTGTCGTAGTGCCTTGTTCAGTAACGGGAGACGAGATACAGTAGAGTTTGCAGCAAGCTTTGAGGTTTCAAAACCAACAAAGCACAAGGCCATGGGTTGCTTCAGATGGAAATGAAGTTTCATACGGTAGGATTACTAGTGGAATAGGAGAGAAAATAAATAGGATTTATCAAAAACCACAGCGTGTTCCGGGGTAGAACATCGCAAAAGACACACCTCCAGATGCCCTCCCATGAACACCCGGAATGATGAGGAAACGTCTCAAGGGAATTGTTCTCCGCTTCGAATCATCGACCCTCTGCTCCTCTTGGACACTTCCACAATGCAAAAACCCGAGACCAGTCCCATTCCTCAACCCATTTAAAGGGAACGTGCCAGGAAGCGAAGAGGGCTTGCTATCTCTCTCTCTCACTCTCGATCCCCTCTCTCTTCTCTCTCCCTCTCTCTCTCTCTCTCTCTCTCTCTCTCTCTCTCTCTCTCTCTCCTCTCTCTCCCCTCTCTTCTCTCTCCCTCTCTCTCTCTCTCTCTCTCTCTCTCCCGCTCTCTCTTCTCTCTCGCACTGTCTCTCTCTCTGTCTATCACGCTCTCACTCTCTCTTCTCTCTCACTTTCTCTTTCTCTCTCCCCTCTTCACTCTCTCTCTCTCCCCTCTCACTCTCTCTCTCTCTCTCTCCTCTAACTCTCTCACTCTCTCTTTGCATGCCGAATAACATTCCAATAACTATTTATTCAATGTGATAACTACCAGTTTCACAACACGTATCTCTAACTCCGAAACCTTGCTGACCATCGAATAATCTTCAAGAATATCGGCCCCGAAAAGATGACAGCGATCACCCCATGAAAACATGCGTAGACCACAAACTGAAATTTGCATATTAAATTTGGCATTACCAACGCCCTAGCCGGCGTCTAAGTTTCTTTAAACTCGCCTGTGGCCGGATGTCAAGCGCCAAGCCATGCTGATCGGCCACTATGGCTGTCAAAATAGACTGCATCACGAGTGCCACGAAGGTATTCAAACCTAAAAAGTGGTAACGTGCGAGATTGCGACAGTCGGCACGTGACTTTTGGAGCGTCTTGGAGCCTACTGCCAATGCGTCGAATAAAAAAACTTACCAAATACCAAAGCCGTTGATGTAGCCCGTATTCGAGAAGCTAGGTTAAATCTAAATATATATTTAAAGCCAATAAAGTATGTTTTACTGTGCAATTGTAATCATCGCTTCGTAAATCACCCGATAAAAAATATAGCAAATATACCTAAAATTGAGTTATAACTTTTAGGATTTATTACATTAAATAAATACTAGACGTCTGGGAAGCAATAGCCAATAGTGCGCCGTCAATCAGTGACATTAGACACAGGAAAAGCTAAATAAAATAAAATCTAATTAGCGTTTTGCCTTCAATGGTCCGTTAAGAATCTACCTCGCCCCATTTCTTCCAATCGACTTCGACTTTTTGCATTAATAGCACAACAGGAATTGCTGGAAAGGTTTTTAAAGCATAATATGAGGGCGTTTTATATTTTAAAATTTATACATACATTTAAATAATTACCGATTAAAGGACAAATTGCTTCTGTTATTCCATTCCACACCTTCTTCCCGTGAACACTACCCCACAGTGTTTGTGAGTAATTTCCAACCTAAATTCCGTCAAAATACTCCTTTCCGATTACCTGAAAATACGCGCAACTAGCCATCGCCCACCATAATGACCATTTCACAAGAAATGATTGGCTGTAGATACCTTTTAGCTAAAATTATGGTATGAAAAATAAAAAATGAAACCTCCTTAAACCAGCGTGAAAAATGAGCTCTGACATAACGGGGATACGTTGGAACTTCATCAAACACCAAAGGAGCAGGTTTTTCTAAAGTTATTACAAGCATGATAAGGTATATTTTGGATACTTACCATCTTCCATCCTCATTTCTAGCAATTTTTGGTATGCCGTACGCCAGGAAACCATAGGTAATATTACGGAAACTACAAAGGCTAGACAAAGGGAGCCAAGCGATATCCAATTCAATGTTTTGTAATTTGTCCATTTGGTGGCGATTAACAACTAAAAATTAAATTAATACCTACAATATAACTGCAAAAACCTGAGCCAAAAAATATGCCAAGCATTTTCCAATCAACAATGCTGCATGTGTATAAGAAGTGACCCTGCAATGGATTTTCTACTAGCTTTTGAAACCTTTAAATTTACTACTAACTTCTTATACTGCTCCTTGTCAACTTTTATATAAATATAGGCGTAATATGCAATTTCTGTAGCTGTGGCCACACCGTAGCTGACCTCAAAAAGGACTTAAATTTGGCGGACGAAGTCTAGATACCTCGATTAACTGCTGGATCAAGACATTTCCCTTACGCCCGAATACAAATAACACCCAGCAAGTGACATATGCAATGGCTTCGAGGACTACTACTGGTTTATATAGAAGTAAATCAGTTAGGAGGAAGACAGGGACCAGGAATGCCATATAGGAATACGTCCATAATGGGTAGACCTGAAGGGATTTTGCTTAATATAAAATTCTGTGTCGTACTTTTCCTTCAAGGTCTTTTTCCGAGATGTTGAGGGTTTCATGCTCATATTGGTATAGGTATGGCTCGGATGGGCGGAAGGCTTTTAATACGCCATATGAGCAGATGAGAAGGGTGATGGTCCACCATTGCATAGCCAAGCTTAAATATAGAGTTTAATGAGATAATAAATATATTTAGAGAAGGTAAATGCTGAAAATGATAAAAGCTATTTAAATAGGCGTGAATCTAGGTCTAAAAGCGAGGCCAAGTTTAACAATAACAAGTAAGCTCTGTCATACATCCTAACCTTACGTAACGTTACTCAAAACCTCACATTGAACCCCCTAGCCCTTGATCAAATCGCTTCTACTCCCTGCCTTCTATTTATGCTTCATTTCCAGCCCTGACCCCTCGCTTTTTTTCGTCATCTAAGAAATATTTGCACAATCGCCCGGCTGTCCCCCAAATCAGCGAGCAATCAGAGAGCGACCGAGGTGAGAAACTCAAGAAATTCAGGTATGAAGAATGTTCAGTGTTAACGATCAAGCACCGGCCAAAGTCAGCCCACAAAACACAACCAAACAGTGGTCATGCACCCAAAAAGCGAGGATTATAACGTGAAATGTAAGGGATACCGCTGCCTATTCCGAAAACAATGACATGAAATATGCACTGGTTTTGCACGAGTATTGCAAACGAATGGTTTCAAATTCCAAATTCGGTAACTGAAGTTTTGGTATCGAAAATCTATTTCCTGACGGTTCATTCACTTCACTCATCAGTCCAAATGGGACCAGTCGGGCGTGAGAAATATTTAAGAAGCTTACGTATTTCCCCCGGCTGATAGGCTGCTATTGCGAATTCAGCATAAAAAAACATTGAGTGGCTTAAACTGTATTTTACTAATAGTAAGGAGTATTCTCCTAAATTTCGCATGCATTATGCGGCATTTCTCAGCAATTTCAATGCAGCAAAAACTTTTACTAAATTTATTAAGTTAATTAACACCTCGTAAGATTAATGAGCCTGCTGTTGCGCATATTACCATGAATTTCCAACATTTTCAAGACAACAAAAACCTTTATTATGCACAAAAATCATTATGTGACAGCAGGGGGAAGAACTGGGCACAACTGAAGCTGAGACTGTACATTGAGAGAAAACGACTGGCTATCGCTGGACTTTTGAACCCGTATTGAACTTGGACACATTCCATTACCATTAAGACATACCTCCTAAAATTGTAGTTTGTAGTTTAAGATGGCTTAGCCACAAGATAGTAAAATCGCAATTCAAAACAAATACTAGTCAATCTACTGGGAAAAATTTTGAGGATCGACTTGGCTGAAATCTCGGAATTAAGGGTCTGGAGCGGAAGGTGGATAAAAAAAAATAGAAATTGGTTTTTAAGGGCTAGGCAATGAATAGGCTCAAATCTTAGACTCGTCATTATTATGCGAAAATACATGATATCTGGGTTCATCATCATCTCCATGTTGTTGTTGCTGTTTCATTTCTTTCTCGGCTTTTTCATTTTTCTCGTTGATAGCCTGTAGTTCTTCTATGGGTAGGCTATCCAGGGACAGGGAGGTTTTGTCTAACATTACTATTATAGTTATTTAATTAATGTGATACCGAATGAGATTGTTGTTTCATCGGTGGCAAGCTCTTCAGAATTTAGACGTGATTTGACTTGTTCAGGTGCATCGGTCAAGACGACCTCATGTTCAGGAATTACTACAGTATCCACCTAAAATTTATTTATATTTTTGTGTTTAAGATTCTCACCTTATTCGATCGATCAGTATAGCCAAAATTGTAATAATCCTTCCGAGCATCAAGTTGTAAATATGAATACTCTTCGGTCACCTCCTCCAATTGACTGGCCAATTTTTGACGGATCGCGCTAGAAAATTTCCAGTTCCTAACCCTTGCGCAAATTTTCAAACCTGAAATCAGGACGACTCGCCGGATTTAATTGCCAGCAATCATTCATGATGTCGTAGCTAAAAGAATTTGATCAATAGTGAAGTTTTTTCGGGGTAAGATTAGGTTTTTTAAAGACTTACTACTCATCCGGGCAATTATCCGGCTGCTCCATCCTTCCACCCTTCTCCAAAAAGTCGAGCATATCGGCGGGTTGAATGCAGGGATAAGGGCTTCCACCCAATGTAATCACTTCGAACAACAACACACCAAATGACCAGCTAAAATCGTTCAAAATTTTTTATTTTATTTTGAATAACATACACGTCACTCTTCGTCGAAAATTCATAATGTCGAATGGCTTCTGGGGACATCCATTTCAACGGCAATCGACCACCCTATTCGTTTGGTTAGCCAAATTCTAAAAAAGGGTAAATACCTTGCTGACATATTGCGAGCTTTCCGAATAGATATATCGCGTTAAACCGAAATCGCCGATTTTCACTTCAGTCCGGTTTGACACCAGGATGTTTCTGGCAGCGACGTCACGATGGACAAATCCTTTTTGGGAAAGGTATTCCTAAAAATTTTGAAATTAAGATGAATAGATTCAATATATACCAATCCGTAGGAGACTTGAACGGAGAACATTAGGAGTTGTTTCATGGTCAGAATCATTCCTTCATCGTAGACGTCGTCTTCTGTTGGTTCGTGGAAATTTATGTTGTTTTCGGCGAGCTAAAAAAGAGCTTTCAAGTGTTAGAGAGAGAGAGAGAGAGAGAGAGAGAGAGAGAGAGTCACAGAGAGAGAGAGAGAGCGAGAGAGAGAGAGAGTGAGAAAGCTCGCGAAATCCTACTATACCCACCTTTATCATATATTTACACCTTTCTTGCAAAAACTGCAGTAAATTCCCATCATTACAATACTCCACCACCAAATAATACGGTTCTAAAAAATTAACTTCCATAAATCAAACACAAAAATTTCACCAGATTCTGTAACACAAGCCAACATATTAACAAGCCTCTCGTGATACCCCATCGATTTCATCAACGCGATCTCCTGCAGAAATTCGCTCTTCGACATGTCGTCGGCGTATTCTGGAATTCAAAATTTGTTAACTATATTTTATATCTATTTCATTGCACTGAAATTTATCTTATCTAACCTGGCAACATTTTCACGGCCACATCACAATTCTCGGCCCTCAACAAATTGATGCCAAGCGGCGAATTCGCGTCGTGGTGGTTCATCGATTTTCCGAGCAATTTTCCTGAATAAAAGTTAATATGATGATCCAAATTTTGTCAATAATTTTATTTAACGACAAGGCTAAAAACTCGCATACCAAGGTAGACAGCTCCAAAAGCTCCGGCTCCCAGCTTGTTCTCCGTATCTACCAGTAAGTTTCGGCGCTCGATTTCCCAGATATCAGCCCTCAAATAGGGAATTTTATTAAATTTTTCGATTTTTAGCTTTAAGAAAGTCTTAATTACTTTTAAACGTAATACTTACTTTTTCGGCATTTCGGTATATCTCCCCTCATGCTTTTCACGTTCCATTTGAGCCAATTTCAACGCGTAAAGCTTGTTCTGAAAGAAAATAATTTTCTTGAGCAAGGTAGCTATTGCGATGGACACTTTATTTTAGTTCCTCTTACCGGTTTTTTAAAAATATAAAAAAATGATGAAAGATAAATAATTTGATAAGCTATAAAGGCATTTGTTTTGTGGCACAAAGTAGGTGTAAAAAATTCTAAATAAATATAAATTTTGAGGGTACTTTCAAAGCATTAGAAATGAAGAAAATTATTTAAAAACCAAACCTGTTTGTTTTGTTTCTTGGTGTAGAAACAGCATCCGATGATCATTGCCAATATGGCTAAGACCAAGAATCCGACGACTAGTCCGACTATCAGGCCCGTGTGGCTCTTTTCGTAATCTGGAAAGTTATGGAATTATGTAGATCGCCCGATTTATTTAATATACCAATTTATATTCATTTTTGTATAAAAACTGACCTTTGTAATCGAGCTCTATTGCTTCCGCTCTTGGCCTTTCCGCTTTCCGATCAGAAAATAAGTTTGGTATAGTTGTGTTTCTAAATTAGCGAGTTTAAATTAATTATGCTAATCGATACCTTGGATCCCTTACACCACAGATTACAATACCATACTCGGTATCCCAATTCATCCCTTCGATAAGCAGCGTGTTGTTTGGAGTACGTTGCTGGAAACCAAGAATACTGCATATTTGAATATTAACGATGCATAAGTAACAAGAATAATGTTAATAACGATAAATAAGTTATATATGTATGGCTACTCACCAAACAATTTCCGGTCGAATTATCGAATCGTAGACAATCCGTGACGACCTCGCTGACATTCTGCAGATTCACCCCCAGGAATTCGGCCTGAAACCCGAATTTAGACGTATAAATTAATCCTCGAATTTTGTGCAAAGTATGGCACACCAAAAAATGTAACCAAACATTAAAAAAGTGAATATATAAATTTGCCAAAAAAGGAAAAATGACAGCTGAAGGGAACTAACTATGAATTCTCCGCTATCGTCGCTTTCTCGCTGAAATATTATACAAAATAGAGATGTTTTCGGAAAAAGTATTTAAATTTTAATATTACTTAATTCAAATTACAAATTGTAATAAGGTTTAGTTATCAAGAACTACAAACCTGATCGGCGCCATAGCCGACTGCTGGTCCAAAATACGCAATAATGTAGTTGAATAGAGGCACGTTTCTGGCCAAGCTACAGAAAAATATCGACATCCACTTTAAGGTAATTTTCATACTTAACCGTGTAGTTGATTGCAAACTGTTCATCATGGTCGGGTACCTTTCCATTAGCCCAGATCGGCTAGAAAAGGGACTTGAAAATATTTCCAAAAATACTACCGTAATATTTCCAGGTGCCGTACGGCCACAGATTGGTGCCGGGAATGTTACAGTACTACACGGACTGTCGTCGACGGTATTACAGTCTAAATTTTGCGCTTATGACCGTTTAAAGGGGGCCGATAACCTTGAAAATTACGGTAAATTAGTATCTTATGCTTTATAGTATTAAAAGTACTAACCAATCTCGAGCGAATCAATTTGTCCATTTGGCGGGCTATCAAGTGTTGTTGTCGTCCCACAAATCAAACTTTTCGCCTGGCTCAAAAAGTAGGCGAATCGACAGTCCTGATACATATATTCGGCTGGCATCTCCGAGACCAACTCGTTTTTATTCGGGCCCATCGTCTAAGATAAAATATATTAATATAAAATACTGTTTATTTCCAAGATTTCCGAAAACTTACAAATTCCGGTAACGGCAGCACACTACCATCATCATTTTTTCCGCAGCTAAACAAGTGAAAGAATGGCTCGACGACGATGTCAGGCATTCCGATGGCCCATTCTGAAATAGACTGACATAAATTTCCAATTTTTTTTAACCCACCCAAAGGCGCAAACGTCATCGATAGTTGGACCGTACCGTTTGATCGGAACACGTCGGAAACGAAGGGTTTATCCTAAATTCATAACTTGACAAAGCTTTTCCATCCTTACCAGATACCGCAGATAGTTGACGAGCAGGGTGGTATTCCCAAAAACGGGCGATGGAACGGGGAGTTGAATTGAGTTAGTGAAGTTGGAAATTCCTAGAGAAAAACTTTGTTTTAACTGCTTAACGGTTTACTTTAATAATTTCGAAATTCGCGTTTTGAAATTCAATAATACCGAGAATTGGAAACTGTTGAGATTCATAAATGTCGAGTTTAGTTTCGCCATCAAGAGTCCGACATTACAAATTTTGGCATTTAAATGGGAAATGAGCCAAGCCTACTTCAAACTCACAAGCCCCCTTTAAAACCAACCCTGCGCCGAAACGGCAGCCACCCGCACTTCTGGCGATTCACAATTTGGGGCATTTGGTGCCTGATAGTCGTCCATAAACGCCAAGCAGTTCAACTAAAATAGGAATTATTTCCTTGGTTTAAATAATATCAACTGACCGTTTGCTGATCTTCCGTCCAATCGGTATCATTCGAATATTTGTATTGCAAGATGTAATAGTTGGCCGTGGTGGTGGGGATCCATTGGAGGTTGATGCTAAAATGGTTATTTTTAAGGTATCGCATTGCAAACTAAAATTCCAGAATTTACGTAAGGCTACGGCAACTTACGCTCCAGTAACATCTTTCGAAGCTGATAATCTGGTGGGCGTTGTCACAAGGTCGCCAGGGCCCAAATCGTCGCAAGCCTGCCAGCAACTTACATTCGCAGAGCTCTAAAAAATCATAATTAGATTAACGTATGCTTCGAGAAATTTAATGCACAAATTATGAAATTTATGTACAACTCACGCATAGTTTCGTATCGTTATAACGCTGACAGCTTGGTCCGCAGGTGTCGAAAACCGATCGAACTTGCTAAAAATAAATTTTGATTTATTTTTAAAGCTTGCATGTCTCTTTTAACATATGTTACCCTCCCTTTAAAACCCCCACGACAAAACCTACCCCTGTGGCAGCAATGCACTGTGCCATACATCGATAAAAGCATTGCTCCGGTGCCGTATAAGCTACGGTAGACCGGGCGCGAATGAGAAATATTAGCAAGAATAAAAGGTGGGTATAAGCGACGTTCCTTATTTCCATGCCCTCATGTACTGAAAATGGCGGGATGCTGCGGGAGGGCTTCACGTTTGGATTATGCAAAATATTATCGAGAAAAGAGAAGAGAGATGACCGGGGTACGTCAAAAATGGTTTTGTAATGGTTTGATATACCGGAAAATTAGTTATGTTTGTTTATTAATGATAATAAAATTCGGATTTTTAGAGTAGGAGTGTTTGAATTGGGCGGTCAACAAGTCGATGTGCCTTCCCGTTCATAGAGGCCGATTATTCGTATCGGCTCGTCAAATTTTCCAAGCGTTTTCGCCCGTTTTCCAGCGTAGTCGCGACCATTCCGAGACCAACTCCCCCAAAAGCGGTAATCATTTTCTGGTCTGGGGCCGTTGTTCAACCAGCTGTATCTAGTACACAATGTGCAATTTGGGCACTTACGAAATGCGCCATATTGGGTATCGCCTTTAAGGAAGAGCGAGAGAGAGAGGAGAGAGAACGAGAGAGAGATAGAGAGAATGAGTGAGTGAGTGAGAGAGAGCAAGATAGCTAAAAGCTAGAAACAATAAACATTTAAAGCGAACCATCCAGTAACCCTAAAAGCAATTCTCAAATCTGGCAACTCTCCAAAACCCCCTCCAAAACGATCACATCCCGATCCCGGAAAGCACTTTCCAAGATGTCCTTGACAGCGAATTAGGTTGCCTAATGGAAAGAAACCCAAAAACCATGCCGAAAATTGATGGTTCTGAGAAACAATAATACTTCTACAAAAAGACCTTCAAGCCCAATTTAACCCACTCCCCCCTCCCTCCCCCCTGCCGAACGGCCTGAAGTACCAACGAAACCCCAAAACTACTTTCCCAGGAAATTAGAGCACTGACTGGTAACAAGCGCCCGGTGAGGCGTCATATTTCGTGCGAATTTTTGAGGTGTTTAGGGGCGAGGACGTCACTTAATTATCTTGTTTCGATGGACGGTTATGGGAGATCAAAAGGCGGGTTAGTAACTTAAGCACGTGCCTAGAACTCAGAATAAGCATAAGCCTCAGCCTAAGCCTGAGCTTAAGCCGTGATCCTTATTCTAAGTCAGTCAAACGATTAAGGCTATTCTAAGCCCAGGCCCAAATCCAAGCCGAACCTAAGCCTGTAAATAAGTCTAAGCCGTAAATAGGAATATTCGTCTAAAAAATTCCGACAAAAAGGGCAACGTCCGATCTGCGAGACGCACTAAATTGATAGTGCAAATGGGGACGCGGATTGCGTAGTGAACTAAATTTGCAAGGATATCTCGTGAGAGATTTCTGACGTCAAATGGAACTTTCAAAGCGAGCAGAGCCTTTGACAGAAATGATACGATTATTCGCGGATACTTAGACTGTCCAGAAATACAGAGAAAGACGAAATATTTGTGACGTAGAACCGAACCCGAACTCGACAAGTTCTCTGTCAGTTTGTCAAAATCAATAGCCATTTCGGGGGAATGCGGGGTGTTCGTTCGCTACGGGGGGCTGGAGGAGAGGTGCGATGGCTGGCCGAGATGGGCGCGGACGCGCGGAAGCGCCCCCCAACCCCCGACCAACAACCGGATGATAAAATAGGAGAGGAAAGAAGGGTAGACGTGGAGAGGGAAGAGAAAAAGATGGAAGATTGGTGCATGCCGTGTCCGGTTCCGCGCGGGTGTTGGAGTGGTGGGACCTCCCACGTGGGCCAGATACGGGGGATTGGCCGGTCAAACATTGTAGGACGGTACAAAAAGTGTAACTGGGTTAGGTTTCGGAAACGTGGGCGAATTAGATGGTATTTTCGTGTCAAATTGGAAGGAAAACGATAGGGTGATGAAGATGAGGACGAGAGAGGGAGAGAGAGGAGAGAGAGGGACAAAGAAATATGCTAGAAGCATAGATGGGAAAGACCGGCAGAGAAGTGAGTAAATACCTTAGCGCGAGCCCAGAAAATCCCGAGAGCGCTTCTCAATTTTGGAAACTCTCTAAAACCCAAAGAGAGAGAGAGAGACAGAGAGAGAGAGAAAGATAGAGAGCGAGAGAGAGAGGGAAAGAGATAAATGCAGGGAGCGTGAGAAAGAAGGAGAGAAATATAATAGAACAGTGAGCTAAAAGACAATATCTTACCCCGCGCGATCTGCGTGCATTAATGACACATCTCATATATGTTCTTGACTTCCCAACTCCTTTAAAATTTAAATAAATTATTATAGCTTATCCCTAACCCTAAAAAATCAATACTTCCGGGCCACCGGGAGCAAAAGGTGAGACTCCCCCCTCGTGCCGATGAAGGTGAGAAGTTCTGTGTTTCGTTTCTCCGTTTTTCTAGCGGCGCTACGGTCGAAATGTTTGCCAGTGGGCGAGGGCGCACACGTTGTTAATCCCATGTGTGGACATCTGTAGGGCCCCCAATACTGTGCTTACATACGCACACAGGCTGCTGACTTTTTGACCGGAAGGTTAAGCAGCTATGGATTCGTGTATGAAAATAGCGTGGAAGCAAAAGCCATAAATTGAAAAATACCGAAGAGTCGAAAGCTCTTTGGCAACTGCGCGTAGCACTTCTTTATAGCATCAATATTTTCAATAACCTTATTTCAATATGTTGTGTTTCAATATGTGTGTTGTGTTGTCTTTATGTTTTTCCTGCTTTATTCAATGCCGTTACCATCATATCGAAAAACGGCTAAAACGCCGAAAGCTAGACTGCCCATCGGAGGTCTAAAAACGACTTTGTTTGCGCCTTAAATATTTTATATAACGTTATTTTTAAGCAAAAAAATTTAATAATCCAGGTAAATTTCGTGATGCTCTATCAAATCCAGCAGCAAAAATTTCGAAAAAAAGGGCCCGGTGGAGGATGGCGAGCCCACTCTTCCCTTAAATTTTAACCAAGATATCGACCATGCCCGTTATGCTAGATTAAACAACTAATTATTACTAATCCTTGAGAACACTCAAAACAAATGGAATACAGCCGAAAAGTTTGCCCGCAGGCGGTAGACGGCCAACTGAAACACAATCGCTCGACAGCACCCCGCCGTCCCATCCACCCCATTCAATGTCAATTGGGTCCCCCCAATATTTACCCGACATATTTATCGCCACCCCCGAAAAAGTGAGTGGCCCACCACCATTCAAATCCAAATTGAACCAATTGAGCGGTCAGAAAAGCACGGCCCGAAACGTGATTACAATGTGCCGGGTAAGATTAGAACTTGCTGCAACTTCCATATCTCAAACCAATAAAACAAAATGGAGAAACTACTGTCCAGATCTAGATCTTGAAAACTTGAAAACGGTCGGAAAAGTGGAAAAATGGACTGAAACTGACAATGGTGGAAAGGCAAAAGGGTTCTCATCTATCTGAAATCTGGCCTTGGCCCTGAGAGTCACGGAGATGTTATCTTGTTTGTCGAACATCAAAAACCTATTTCCTGGAATTTCATCGAAAGCAAACATTTTTAACGTTGGGGTCAGTCAGAAATGGACAATAAATAATGTGGGAATTGGCTTAAAGGGATGCTGTCGTTTAGAAGTTGGCGCGATTGTCAAAACTCTTTGCTTCTATCTGTATTCTTTCTCAAAACCATAAAACAATAAATTTTTCAGAGCTAGGGTACTGCAAAGGAGATGAAATTTTATGTAATTTTTATAAAAGTGATAGTTAAAAGCAGAGAATGTAAATTTCAACCATAAAATCAAATGCTGAACGACATCGAGACCTTAAAATCAATAGAAAATATTTGAAACCCGCGCATCAATTAAACCCTGCCGACAAATAGCCCAAACCCCGAATAATCTATCGAAAACATCCATAAATTTGGTTGTTTCGTGGAGGGACACGAGGTTGATGCTGCCGTGGGGGAAGAGGGGCAAACGAGGCATCGGATAAACCTGTTTTCGGTCCACTCTCTGTCTCTCTCTCTCTCTCTCTCTCTCTCTCTCTCTCTCTCTTTCTCTCTCACCCGAAATGACTCATTGCCCCCTCAATTGTGACGTCGACAAGCTTCGACGCTCGAGTTCCAACGCGCTCCGCATATTTACTCGGAAAACTGAGCTTTTACTGGTCTGACAATCACCTGGGGAGGGGGTATGTTTATAAAAAGATTTATAAAATATGACAAATAAATAAACAATTGAATAACTTATGGCATAAATTACAAAACCCGGTATGTATCTTAATGGGACGGGAAAGGGGTGGCCATGGATTCCCATAGTTTTTACGAGTTTAGGGCACCCGCGGTCCCGTTTCATTGCGTAATTGATAAAACTGCTAACAAAACGTTAAAAATTAGCATTATCATAGCCACGCCTTACACATCCCCTTAAAAGCAATAACAATAAGTTTAAAATTTCTAATCGTATTCCTGCCATCAGTTGCCGACCTTCATGTACTCCGCAAAGTCAATGTATCTGAAAAAGCTCAAGTTCTTTTTTTTAATGCACCACTTATAGCCATTTGCAACCATCTGTACTTCGCGACCTTTTACTTTTCTCGTAAAAGCCCGCTCCCAGAATTGTTTTGCTGGTCTTCATACGTGCTATTAAGGCCAAATTACAGTGGGGAAAAGTTCAGAGGGTGGACGGCATTTTGGTGCCTTTTTAAAGGGTGGTTGGCGCTAAGAAGGTGTACTAGAATTGAAGGTTAATTGTTTCAAAATCATTTCAAAAAATACGGAAACATTCGGCGCTAAAAATATATCAGCGTAAATGGATTATACCCATTATTATACCCATAATATACCCATTTATTAAGTTTTTGAAACGTACCCATCGCCGTTGATATCCATTTGTTCCAAAACACTATCAATCATCCGAATCATAGCATCCTCATCAGAAATTGGTGTTCCAGCACCTTTAAGCGCTTAAATTACAGAAAAGAGACGATACCTTGATCCCCTTCATGAGAATGTGTCAACGACTTCATGATTTCTATGCCGTCAATCTTCCCATCTTTGTCAAGATCGTGCATAGAAAAGTAATGGAATCTAAGCTTTTCAGATAAATGTTCCAAGATTGACATACCTCCTCTGCTCTTCCGTCATCGCCTCAACATCGATTTTATTTTCAAAGTGTTGCTTGATGTGTCTAAAATTCAAGTGAACGTCATTAAAACTGTAAAACCTACGCCTCGTCTTTCATTTCAGTTTGATCGCCAAATTTGTGGACATGTTCGTCAGCAGCAGCTGCTGGTGCTGGTGTCTCATCGCCAAATGCGATCGCTAATTAAAAAGGACTAAGATTATCAAAATATTTTCGACAATCTCAATCATTAAGATAACACTTGAATTAGTTTCAGAGCTCAGGCAAATTAAATCGTGTCAGCCTAAGTTCTGTTATAGACAAAAACAAGTGTCTAAACAATCATTAACACAATATACAAATTTTTTGATCAATCTGACGTCGTCAAAATAATTCCTGAATTAATTTTAGAGCTCAAACAATAAGTTATGCATTTTCCGGTTCTATTATAGACAAAATACGGGTGTATTACAATAAATCTTTAAATCATTCAAACAAACAATGTTTTAATCAATCTGATATCGTCAAAACAATAGCTATTTAAGCAGTTTATTTTGAAGTTATATTATATACGAAATACGCTTTGTAATGTTTTTCAAAATAATGTTTGGGAATTATCAAGTTTAATACTTACCAGCTAGAAAGAGCAAGCTAGCTAGATTCCGGAGCTTCATGCCAAATTTACAAAAAATAAGCGTAGTCTACAATACGGAATTGGCAAGGGGGACTGAAGCCAAGGATGGCTAGATAACGAAGCCGAAATGATGACGTGTATTCGGGAGGGGGGGGCTTCCCGCTTTCGGCACGAGGGATCAATAGAAATTTGTCGGATCGCGGGGTCCGCACGGCTGGACCAACAAAAATACTTATTCATGGCTTTTGATGATATATACAACTGCAGAGGTGAAAAGCTGTAGAAAAACAAATGTACTGTAAAATGTAAAGAATATGGAATAAATTATAAAAATCGTTCGAAGAAATGCCCGTCAGTCGAAAAGCACACAAGAACATCTACATAACAAATAATCTGGATCTATCTCTTTCACTCCCTCTCATTCTCTTTCTCACTCCCACTCTCTCTCTCTCGCTCTCTCTCTCTCTTTCTCTCTCTTTCGCCCTCTCACTCTCTCTCTCTCTCTCTCTCTTTTTCTCTCTTTCTCTCTCTTTCTCCCTCTCACTCTCTCTCTCGGTCTCTTTCGCTCTCCGTCTCTCACACTCTCTTTCTATGTCTCTCTCTTTCTCTCTTTCTCTCTCACCCCCTCTCACTCTCTCAGTCTCTCGCCCTCTCTCTCTTTGTTGCTCTCTCTTTTGAGGCAATTGGTGCAGCTTCTATTTAAAGCGTTTTTGTCAGTTTTGTGCTTTGTGTGCTTCCGGTGACTTGTATGTAAATTTCCCAGTAGTGAACGAGTATTACTCCCACGGGTCCATCCCCACCACCCCCCACACCGATACACGCGATCAGCTCCACTCTTTTTCCATCCGCTCTCTTTTTCTACCGGCTGAGCGACACGACCCGGTGTTTCGTTTGGGGCGCGACGACCTGTGTGGATTAAGTGATTTACCCCCGTTTCGGTTTCACTCTGTCCATCTGTCTGTCTCTCTCTCTCTCTCTCTCTGTTGTATACTCCTCCTTTTTTCGGCGAACAACCAGCTCGCAGGTCGTCGATCTGAAGCGAGTGTGTCCCGCAACACTTGAATGAATTTTTTGAACGTTTGTGGGATCACTTTAAATCTTCATCAGTTTGTATGAAGTTCATTTTAAAGAAGTAATTTTCCTTTGCTGTTTTTTTCTATGTATAGAAGCAGTTTTTCATTTCTGGGGTCTATTAGATAGTTAAAAAGCTTTACAATAGCTTGACAAAACCGGAAAGTACGTACCCACACCAGGAACGAAATTTCCTTCACAAAATATCCCAAAAACGGCCGACCCCGGAATAAGATCTTATCAATGGTTCTCCCGTTCATTAGAAAACACCGACATAACTATACATCAACCGGTTTTGCCCCTCACTTATACCCTATAGATCAGATCCACCTCACCGAATCTCACTCAAAATACTTGCTTCCCCTCGCAAAATCTACCTTGGAAGAATTTCAATTGTTTTCGTTATTAAAAACACGCAATCTTTAAGCTTTCACCTCAAATTTTATAAAATTCAGCCATGGTTTCTAAGAATAAATCCTGGATCAAAAAATCCGAAAATATACTCCTAACGCTGACGATGGCAGGTGTATTTCTAGGCGTATTAGTCGGTGGAGCCCTCAGGTATAAGAAAATTAATTTTTTAGTGGTTTCTTTTTATTCAGATATGCGGAACCTAGCCCAGAAACAATACGATACATCGGTTTCCCCGGTGAACTATTCATGAACATGCTAAAATGCATGATTTTGCCATTAATTGTTAGCAGCTTAATATCCGGTATTTGCTCCCCATTTAAGATGAATTGATGAACTAGGTCTCGCGCAACTTGATGGTAAAACCTCCGGCAAAGTCGGGTCGAGAGCGATTATTTATTATGCCCTAACGACGACGCATGCTGTGATTGTGAGTTTTTTAAATCATATTAGAAATATAAACCGTTAGCTCGGAATTATTTTGGTGCTTATCATCCATCCCGGAAACCCGGATATAAAAGCTAGTGCGCAACAAACCGATGAGATTGAGCTTTTGAAGAGCGAAGTGAGCTCGGTAGACAAGTTTTTGGATTTGATTAGGTGAGGAAATGTAGGTGATATTCCTAATGTATAAGTTTAGGAATATGTTCCCGGAGAATATAATCCGGGCCACATTTGAGCAGCAGCAGACTGTTTATCATGTTGTTCATGCAGTGAATGGGACAGTTTTGAAAAAGGTCCCGAAGATTGAATATACAGCTGGGATGGATATTTTAGGTATCGTTTTTTACATTTATACAGTAGGTCCGTTTCTATTTTAATGTGTATTTATTTCATAAACTTACAGGGCTAATCGTATTCTGTATCGTTATGGGAGTTGTTATTTCGAGAGTAGGAGCCCCCGCACGACCTCTTGCCGATCTTTTCAAAGCTATAGATTTGGTGATTACAAAGATGGTTACCGCAATTTTATGGTATGTTTATCTTGCCATGAATGTACGTTGGCAATTAAATTAGGATTGGCCCGATTGGAATTGCTTCCCTGATTGCTAGCAAAATGCTCAGCGTTAACGATATTATTGGAACCGTCAAAATGCTTGGCCTCTACATGCTTACTGTAATTCTAGGCACGTCTATAAATATAAAAGTGGACTAAACCCTTTTTCCAGGTCTTGGAATCCAGACATTTTGCACATTACCCCTGATCTATTTCCTGGCTACAAGGAAAAATCCATATACCTATCTGGCCGGGCTTGGTCAAGCTTGTTTAACAGCACTCGGTACTTCATCTAGGTAATATTTTTGCCTTTACTGTATTTTTGGGCATTTTTTTAGCGCTGCCACATTGCCAGTAACGTTTAAATGCTTAAATCAAATTGGAGTTGATCCAAGGATAACAAAATTTGTACTACCCGTCGGCTCGATGGTTAATATGGTAGAACGTAGAAAATATCTTTTGACTTTTTTCGTAATTAGGATGGAACTGCCCTCTACGAAGCGGTAGCCTCAATTTTCATAGCTCAAATGAATGGGCTTCACATGTCGATCGGGAATGTTATAATTGTCAGGTAAATCATTATGAATAACTTTCTAATATGATGAATTAGTGTAACCGCCACCCTAGCGGCGATTGGTGCAGCTTCAATCCCGTCAGCGGGTCTCGTAACAATGATGATTGTATTGACAGCACTTGGTCTTCCTGTTGAAGATATTACGATGATTATTGCTGTCGATTGGTTTTTGTGAGTATTGTAAGTAAGGTAACTATTATTGGGATTATAGGGATCGACTCCGAACCGTTGTCAATGTCTTGGGGGATGCTTTTGGGTGCGGTTTTGTAGAACATCTTTGTCGGGATGCTTTAGAGGAAGTGGCTGATCAACCAGATATGGATGATGTACTCCGAGAACATGTAAGAATTATAATAAGCTTCGATTGCAAATATGACTTCCGGCCGAGACTGATTATTTTAGGGAGTTGATGTCGAAGAATTCCATCGTCAAGAATACCAACTACCGGAAATTAAACTTAATGGTAACGGATCTCCTCCAGCAAATGTTCTAAATGTCGTTTGAAGAATTACCGGACAAATACGGGTCATTTTTACAAGCTATGTGATAAAAAAATTGGTTTACGGTTTGAAATAACACGATGAGATTGAGAAGTTTAACAAAAAGTATAAAAAATTAGCTTAAGGTCTAAGCGTAATTCTGAAGTATTTGTTTTGACACCACCACTACAAAACCCATTTCCACACTCTCCACTATTTTCCCTCTAAATAACCAGCGGTCAGCAAATGAGGCTAGAGGGGGGATAATTGGAATTTTGTTTGAGGACGGATTTTCTCGGGGGAAGCCGAGAGCCAGCCTTTCGATAACATCTACAAGACTAGCCAACCAACCAGCCGATCTCCCCCCTCGAAAAAGCTCACCTCTGGGTTCCGGATCCAATCCACCCGGCGGCTCATCGGACTGAAATATTCGGCTAATTAATGGCAAATCTATTCCATGAATTTTTATGGTTATTTGTTGTTTATTATGCTGTTGCTGTATCGGAAGTTTGCTCGGATGGGGGGAGCCCGTTGATTGATGGCGATGCGGAATTTTTGTGCTCAGCCGGGTGTCCGGATGGATTTAGATGTGAAAATGTCGTGAGTCATCTTTAATTATGCCTTATTATAATAATTAAATGCAAAAAATCTTTTCCAACATTTTTAGACAAACTTACCATCAGCCGTCTGTTGCCCAGATCTTGATGCGCTTTATAAAATTTATGGAAACGAAACGAGTAATGAGGAGAAACCGGTTAAACAAGGTATATTTTAGAATCAATTAATATTAACGAAATTTAGACCTAAATGTGACAGAGCCAAAACAAGAGGAAAAGCTTGTCACTGATCCGGAAACTGGTAACCCTTGGAAAAACTGCCTGGAAACTTGTCGAAACTTTAGGTTTCCGCTACTCATGCGAACGCCAACCTTACGTTTTGTTCTGTAAAAATGACTCACTACCCACTCAGCATACGATAAGATGGTATAAAAATGGGGATCAATGTGATTACTATCCATGGGGATACTGTCCAGGTCATACTTTTAAATAATATTGCAAAAGTTTATTTTTTAGGAGATCTTGTTATCCAATCAACAACACTTCGAACCAAAAAGGCATGTGATGAATTGTGTATTAATGGTATCGACCCTACAAAAGAGAAAATGATGAAGGAATCGGAAATGGAAGAGCCAGCTGAGAGAGATCAAGATAATTTGAATGAAAAACCAGTAGATACCAAAGCCCCAGGAAATCTAACTTCCGGGGTTGACCCTGTCCCTGAAGAAAAGCAGAAATGGACCGATTCAGATAACGGCAAAGCGCCGAATTCTATCGAGGCTGGACCGGAAGAAACCGAGAAAGTAGAAATGGAAAAACTGCAGATGAATAAAGACGAGGATGATGATGATTTTGACGACGAAGAAGATGAAGATGAGGATGAAGAGGAGGAAGATCAAGAGAAGGACAAATCGTCAATTCCCGAATCGGAAGTTGGGGCTGGGAACAGTACGCAGTCAGCTCCCGTTGACAGAAACTCGACTAGCTCGGAATTTCTTACAGAAGCAGGAAAGGAAAAGGAAGATCCTGGGTACGATGGAGAAGCGTCTAAAGCAACTGAGGGTTCGGAAGAGAAACCTGGAAGCGGAGAAACAACTGCGTCAAAGTCCGAAGATTTAACGCATGCCGTTGCGCATGTGGAAGAAGCTCATAATTCTAGCACAATGCAAGAGAAAGCCATGAACACCGCAGAAATGGAAATTGTAGCTTCCCAAGATCCGGAAAATAGCACTTCTGATAGCATTAAAATGGAATCTACTATGTCGCCTATAAATACCACACTGGACCCTTCAACAACTTTAGCTTTCCCTACCCCAAATTCTTCGGTGATTCAGAATTCAACCGAACCTAAAGCGGAGGTAGATTTTAGCGATATCCTACTATATATAAAAAAATAGTGTCTGTGTGTGTGCCACTTTGCATCCACTTCCGTATCGTTGTTCCTGTCGTATAGGGGAAGAAGTTAGGGGTGGGTACGATACGTCATTATGTGCGTAATGGTCTAGGGATGACTGCCCGCATATCAGATTTATAAAAATCAGCCATTTTCGATATCCTACTATATATAAAAAATAGTGTTTGTGTGTGTGTGTGTGTGTGTGTGTGTGTGTGTGTGTGTGTGTGTGTGTGTGTGTGTGTGTGTGTGTGTGTGTGTGTGTGTGTGTGTGTGTGTGTGTGTGTGTGTGTGTGTGTGTGTGTGTGTGTGTGTGTGTGTGTGTGTGTGTGTGTGTGTGTGTGTGTGTGTGTGTGTGTGTGTGTGTGTGTGTGTGTGTGTGTGTGTGTGTGTGTGTGTGACACTTTGCATGCAACTTCCGTCAGGGTGTCCGGAGGATATCTCAAGGGGGGAGGGGTATTAGGCTACATATGATACGTCATTAGGAGCGTAATGGTCTGGAGATGACTGCGCGCATAACAAATTTTGCAAATTATGTTATTTTCGACATTAAAAATCATTTTTTTGTTGAAAAATCGGGCAACCTCTTTGTTAGGCATTAATTAGCATAAGACGGAAGTGGCGGCAGCCTTTATAACGGCGGAGAGGGTGCATTTTTCATTATTTCTCATCGAAATTCGGTCGAATTATGCAATGTGCAGGATATCATGGGCTCAGACGGGGCCAGGGTTGAAAAGTCGCGAAGCGGCTTTTCAACCCTGGTTAAATTTCAGTTTTTATAAAATCCTCTTCGCTAGGAAAAATTAGCATGGACCGGAAGGAGGCAGTCGCCTATATAAAGGGTCACAAGCGAATCATTTTCATTTTTTTGGTCATCTGAATTCAGCGCAATTATGCAAAGCGTAGAACAGCATGCGGTCCAGGGACGTAGCGTAATACAGGCCCCGGGGGCCCGGGCCCCCGAAATCGGCCGGGGCCCGAAAATTTCATAAGGGGGGACCCTTATGATTTTGATTTTCTCAAAAATTTTGCTGCCTGCGGCGCTATTTTTTCACGTTTTTACGGCTAATTGTAGAGCTATGCAACCTTTTTTTTCAAAAATTTTTGCCTGCGGCGCTGTTTTTTGGCAATGTTTTGAGTTTTTCGGAAGAATTTTTTGGGGGCCCCCCCCGAAATTTTTTTCTGGCTACGCCCCTGATGCGGTCCAAGACGGGGCCAGGGTTGAAAAGTCGCGAAGCGGCTTTTCAACCCTGGTGGCCTTTAATTTCCCATCATAAAAAATATTCTATGCTTTAGATGCAAACTACCACGCCTGTGGCAACCATTAACAACAAAACTGAAGTTTCACCCTTAGAGAAACTACCCGATTATGAGGTCACTTGAATCAATTATGCTTAATCTAATTACTAGGATTTGGCAAAAATCGAAGATGCCAGCAAAATGGAGGTGTCGGAGAAATTGGAAGTCATTCCCCCAGAAATTGGCCAGGATTATGAAGAAATTCCGCTACGTGTTAACAACAATACGGGTAGGTTGTTTACTGTCAAGGCCATTTTAATATTTCAGTAAACTTCGACAAATCAAGTATGGGCGATATAACGGTTGACAAAGTTGGGATCAAGATTTTTGAGGAGGGGCGGGATATCGGTATTTTGAGTGCGCATTTCGAAACGTTTCGATTTGCAGGGGAGCCAATTTGCCACTATTTGGAAATGCGTACAGTTTGTGCTTCCGGTGGTCCTTCGCAATTTACGTGGCGGTGGATTAGGAATTCTGAAGGGGAATGTGTATCGATGCCATTTGGATATTGTTGGGTAAGTAAAAATATTAGTCGTTAAGAAAAATGATTTTTCTGATAAACTATTTTATTCTAGCAAGAAGCCAATGAGCCAGTCCCACGAACACCCGATGAATGTGAACGATTGTGTGCAAAGAAAATGTAAAATAACGTACTCACATTAGTATTCGATTTGATAGCATGTATATTCTTTAGAATAGTGTAAATATCTAAATAAACATTAACTTTTTGTTGCGATATCAAAATGCAAAAATTTATAGCATAAATATGCAGTTCATATATTAATCACGAATTTCAAGCCTGGTTTTGGGAATTTTTGCCGTGAAGCACACGGCAACTTCCGGTTTGTAGATGCTTTCGACACGTATCCGAGTCGAGCGATTCTGAAATCATAGCATATACAATTAATTTACTACTATAATTTTTGCAGTAAATTTACGGAGGTGGAGGCAACGTACCTGTACTATAGTCAAATTCGGCATCTCTCCCAATAACTTCAAACATCTTGAGCGATGGCTGCCGATGCGATCCAGCGCATAGAATATGGGACGGCTGGGAGGAGACACGTCAAATGTCTGAAATTGTTAAAATATAATTTGTTGTATGTTCTTGGTATATTGTTAATGTTTCGATAACTTACATCAAAAACAGTTCTGATTCCATTAATGCTAATGCCAGTTTCGATATTTTCCAAAATCAGCATTTCCGGGAGCTTGCCATTGGCAGCGAGGACTTCAAGCGACCGATCGGTTAGTCTTGGAAATCTGTAATTTGGTATGTTTCTTGAAACCTGAGAACAAAGGGCCATTTCACCTATAAAAAATCAAAATAAAACTCACGATAGTCGTCCTCCATCAATTGTTTCCCCGGATAGCTTAATATACCGTAGCTGGGGATTTTCGATTAATGTCTGGTCCGTCACAAAATAGGCGTTCTCAAATCGACATTGCACGAGGTGCAGGAGCACGACTCCTGAGATCCTCACGAAGCTCGAAAAGAGTTCTGGGCTAAAAATCGAATGTGAGAAATAATCGGTTAAGGTAAGTAAGCTCAAGAAAAATAAATACATTAAAATCCTTACCGTGCGACCATAACTGCCTTCTTCACAACAACCCGTTCGATCGTTATGCGACACAACATATTCAACTAAAAATAATTATCGTTTTTGAATTTTAACGAGTCTTACCATAAAATTGCACACTTTGCCCAGCAATAGCAACCGCTCGACCTTTATCCTTGCAAAGTAGTATCGCAAGTGGAGGAACTAAACGTACTCAGTTTATAGAAAATAATAAAATATTGCCTACCGTACTCTGGATGCGTAACGGCAGAACGTTAGTTTCCCTCCGGCCCTCGATAGATACAGTACCATCCAGACAGCGATGAATTTGTAGGTCAGCGATATCGTGTAGTGGTAAAATTTTGTTATTTTTCTAAAAACAGATAAACTCAAATTGGCATTATTATACCTTGACAATAGAATGAATCCGTTTGCATACACCATTCATTTGATCAACCTCATTGGGCGATAGGAAACCCATGATTTTCAGTAAGCAGCCTTCATCCAGATTTTCAAGGGTTGGAGGGGGTGGTTTTCTAAATATCTATGATGATACGTGGTAAAGGACATACGGTTTATATCCGTAATAGCGGTTGCTGCGGACGGACGGACGCTTCTGTAGTAAGTCAATCGTTTTTGGTCGGCATTTTTCCTTGATCTTCCGGCTCACCTGTTGGCGATTCAGGAATGGGATACGGATCTTCATTTCTGGAATTACAAATAAATTAAAGAATAGTGTTCTTTAAAAATATGGAATTATACAAAAAACAAGGTGCTAAAATCCTAGATAAGGCATTAGGTATGGCATGGAACTTTGTAGATCCTTGTTATCAGCTTTCCCCGCTATCTTGATAGGCCCTCAGGGTATGACATGGTTCCGAAAAAGTCTGTTATAGGTTTGTCATTAATGTGCGAGATTGTTAATGCAGAGGTCTATCTGTTTCCGCCCCCCAGAATTGCCGCCTATTATAGATAAGATACGAATACACGAGACTCAAAGATACCTAAACGTAAATTGATGACATCCAACCCGTTAAGCTGGCAAATTTTCATGTTTTATTGATGTGGTGCGAGAGGGAGTGAACGGCTGCTACTATAAGTTTTTTGAGCCATGCCTGGTTTACAGGGCCCTAAAACCGTAGTGGAAATACAGGGATCACGAACACCAACCAATTTCGGGTATCTACTGTCGGAGGTTTGTCACGTACGCTGAATTACAGTAATTTGCGTATCACTACGAATTGAACTTCTTAACATCTATCAGCGCACCTATTTCCTTCAATATGCTATAACTTACATTAAATGACTGACCCGTATCACTTACTGATCCGTTTTTTTCTCTCGCATTTCTGAGATCGACCTCGTCTCCATAGCCACACAAACACATTTCTTCAATCTCTCAGTCCCTAATCCGCATGGAAAAACCTGTTCCGCCCCCATCCAATTGTCACCGGGGCGCCTGAAATTATTGTTCCGACTTTTTGGGGGTGTTGCTTTTTAATCATTTGGTTTTTGGGGGGTATGCTGTGTAGAAATGGGGCATCAGATTGGTGGGTTTTTACTTTTGGAAAACGATAGGTTGTATCTGGCTTTTTTGAAGTATCGCAACATAGTAATTGTCTGTTCAAGTAAAAATTTTTGGATTATGTACACTAAATACGCGATAACACCAATTTACTTTTCTATAGAAAAATTGATCAGTTTATGGATTTTATAATTTCAATACTGAATTAAACGACTCTAATGTTCTCTAGTAAACTTGTGAATACTGGATTTTATAGCTTAAAATTAGGTTTTGAGGTGCCAAGAAAACAATAGTATTTCTTTTGCATAGCCTCCCGTACTCTACAGTATATTTAAACCATCCATTTTCAACCTATTTTTAGCCCCCACCTCCCCCAAATCCAAAAAATCGACCCGATTAATCCCAGAACGGCTGTTCCTCCACATGAAATCCACAGTGACTAGTTGTAATTGAGCAAATTGGGGATATCCCCCCTTCCAACCCCTCCCTTCGTATTTTTTGATGGTAGTGATTGGGGGGTGGGTAAGAAATGAACGAAGCCAAGGCCAGCCGTTCCCCTCCTTCTTCCCCTACCGTTTTTGATGACACAAATCACCGACAAAATGAGAGAGAGAAAGACCAGCCAGTCGTCTTTGGTTTCCAGCCCCGGGCTCAATTCGAACCCTCTGGGTCCTTGTCATCATTAACCCCCTTTTTCAGGGTGTACGGTAGTTGGGTTGGGTTTTAGGTACTTCCCGGTAGGCCGCGTAGGTTTTAGGGGATTTTGAAGGGAAGGGGCTGGATACGGTAGCTATAGCCCTTTCGATTTGTCATTGCTGTTTTTTTGGTATTCTGGTTGTGCCTAAAAAGAGGCTACGGCCACTGTCGGCGAGATTACCAAAATCTACAGCCGCCGTACCTTGTCGATCCCTTTAAATGATCTTGCCACAGCATTTTTTTTTTTGATAAATTCGTCATACCTAGGGTTGTTATACGAGTTGACTCGTTGACGAATTGATTCGTCAAAAATTCAAATGAGTTGATTCGGCAGCGAGTTGATTCGAATAAGCCCCGATTCGCATCCGGCGAATGGAAATTTCAACGATTCAATTCGCCAGCGAGTTGATTCGAATCGCGATTTGATTCGCGGCTAATTTGATTCGTTGCTAATGAATCCGCAGCCAAACGAATCAATTCGCTGACGAGTCGATTCGTCAGACGAGTTGATTCGTTGGCGAATCGATTCGTTGCTCACGAATCAGAATCGAAACGAATCGATTCGTCAACGAGTTGATTCGTTTGCCGTTCTGACTCGTCGGAAGTTGTTATATGTTAATGAAAAACGCTATGTAAATCAAAAAACAGCCTTTTTGGGTGTCTTTCGGGGTGCTGTTTGGGGTGCTTTTCGGCAACGCCAATGTATGAACTAGGCCATCTACTTGGCTGGCTTGGCTGAACTTGGCCAAATCAGAAGATGAACCTCGTTTTCGAGCAGTTCGAACAACTCGACGCCAAACCGCTCGCAACTCATTTGGGGGCCGTTTGGTAACATTCCTTCGAGGTTGTTGAAGGCGGCGGACAATTTCGAGACTTTTTTTCTAACCGCCCTAGCAGCTTAACGTAGCTTGATCAAATTGCTTCAAGGCGTTTAGATTGTTGCATTTTGAACGCTCCTTCCAACGGTATACTTGCCTTTATTCAAAACTGTCGGGGAACAGAGAGGGGGGTGTTTTAATGCCGAAGGGCGTACCTGACGCAGTTGTCGCTGCACTAAAACCATCATAATTCCAGCTGCACGGCGTATTTTGGATTACGGAGGACACCATTCGAAAGAAGAAGAAGAATTCTACCTGTCCAAAGAGTTTCAGTTTTTGAACAGCTTTGCCCAGCCTGCTAGGGCGGTTAGAAAAAAAAGTCTCGAAATTGTCCGCCGCCTTCAACAACCTCGAAGGAATGTTACCAAACGGCCCCCAAATGAGTTGCGAGCGGTTTGGCGTCGAGTTGTTCGAACTGCTCGAAAACGAGGTTCATCTTCTGATTTGGCCAAGTTCAGCCAAGCCAGCCAAGTAGATGGCCTAGTTCATACATTGGCGTTGCCGAAAAGCACCCCAAACAGCACCCCGAAAGACACCCAAAAAAGGCTGTTTTTTGATTTACATAGCGTTTTTCATTAACATATAACAACTTCCGACGAGTCAGAACGGCAAACGAATCAACTCGTTGACGAATCGATTCGTTTCGATTCTGATTCGTGAGCAACGAATCGATTCGCCAACGAATCAACTCGTCTGACGAATCGACTCGTCAGCGAATTGATTCGTTTGGCTGCGGATTCATTAGCAACGAATCAAATTAGCCGCGAATCAAATCGCGATTCGAATCAACTCGCTGGCGAATTGAATCGTTGAAATTTCCATTCGCCGGATGCGAGTCGGGGCTTATTCGAATCAACTCGCTGCCGAATCAACTCGTATAACAACCCTAGTCATACCCCATTTTCATGCGATATATTTTTAAAGCCCCTGTTTCACAGTTTTTGTAATAATGCAGTTTTTTACGATCAGGTATAACTGGTTTTAGGTGGCTTGAAATTCTGAACAAATTAAAATTATTAAAAACTCGTAAAAAGACGACTTTATAGTAAATTAGATTTGAAAAAGACAAAGAAATGACCATTTTCTCGTCCATTTAAACAAAAAGTAGACGTTGTAAAACGTTTTCTCCACGCGTTTTGTTTTTCTTCAATTTTTAAAAGACGGCGCTTTATCAGAATTTGTAGCTCCAGGAAATGGGCTATATCACATCTTCATATGCCATTTTCTTCTTAAAAGGACTTAATTGAATTCAACATATTTTGTTTCCCATGATTTCAGGGTCAATTTACCGGGAGGTGCATGGTGACAATGTCCGAGATTGATCTGGGAGATCGTCGCGGCCTGATCGCTCTCGCATACGGGGTATGTTTATTATTATGACCCACCTGGTGTGGTAGTACCTGTCACTAGTATCCGGGTGGAATGTGGTTTTTGGGGGTAAATTCTCAGGTTTAGACCCCGGGCGACCCCATAAACTCGACGAATGCCTCGAACTCCACCCTCGACAATTCCGCCAAACGTCCACTCACCAAGGAGACACCAAAAAACACCGAACCAAAGCAACCGAAAAAGGTTGGCGGATTCGAGATTGAAATGTGAAATGGGTTGTGATTTGTGACACAGTGTTCAGAATTAGCTGCTTTACATCTAAAACACAAATCCCGACGTTTTTTAGTCCAAAAGAATCGCGTGCGCCCCGGCGACCTGTTGCTTCTTGTTGATCTGTGCAATTCTTGGATGTCTACTGTCAGCATTAGTAGCCTATGGACTGACCAAACAAGCATTCGACAATCACGGCTCCGTTCTCCCCTTCGTCCCGGATCCGAGATATAATTTGTAAGAATTATTGGTGATTTTTAAAGACTAAAATACAGAACTCGCCCTGAGAATGCGGCAGATTATGAAGACGATGGGGAGGAAGAAAATATTATTGGTCCAACATTGGATGAAATGCGTCTTCCAAAAGCTATCATGCCAATTTGGTACTTATCGATTTTTTTAGATGTAATGAACAATTTAAGGTATAATCTGACTGTAAAGGTGTATCTCCCTGGTTTTGTGCCGCTGACCAAAGAAAACAATTTGACCTACGATGCCTCGGTCACGATCAAGGTATGTATTTTGCATGGATACGTGTGACGTACCTTTGTTTAACTGATTTTTAAATAATTATATTTAGATAAAAGCCATCGAAGAAACTGATAAAATTGTTCTAAACGCTAAGGGGTTGGACCTGGATTTAAGCCCAGGCAATTTCCGGGTTATGGAAGATCGGCAGCGAGCAAAGGTCTGTTTTTAAACCTTAAAAGTTCAGAAAAATTTAGCGAGTGCCAAGAGAAACTACAAACTCTACTTTGACGGAAGGATTCAATGCAACTGAAATTGAACAAAAGGTTTTTTTAGTAACATTCTCATACCAACAAATTACAGGATACCTTGAGTACTACGACTGAAAGATCGAACCAAATCCCCGAAGTCAACGGCCCTGTGGAATCAAGTAAATCCAATTACCTCTTCAAAACTGAAATGTAGAAACCAAGGCCACCAAAATTAGCTTCAACGAGACGTTAGAACTCTTGACGATAAAGCTTGGCGAGAAGCTGCCTGTCGGAAAGGAGCTATACCTCAAGGTTTGTTTCCGGTGAATCAATTTATCCATTTTAGTTTGCACTAACTGCCAAGATTCGACCGCTGATGAGTGGCCTCTACTATAGCACATACAAATTGCAAAATGGAACGGAACGGTATGAAGAAATACGAATATAAGGATGAACGAGACATTTAGAATAATCGCTATGACTCAAATGCAGCCAGCTTCGGCGCGGAAGTTTGTACCTTGTTTTGATGAGCCACAGTTTAAGACGCCTTGGAAAGTGAAGGTTGGATAGTTTTTTAGATTGCTCGAATAACATCAATATTGATTTTTATTAAGCAAGAAATTGCGGAATTTTAGATCATTCATCCTAAAGGCTCTAATGCCATTTCTAATGGTATTGAGGAAGAGGAGGCGGTTGGTGTGTAAGTTTTTGTCAATTTTGAGGCCAAGGAATGTTAATAGAATCGAACTTAAGATTTAATATTCCAGACCGGATTCAAGTGATTGGGTTTACTCAACATTCCGCGAGACGCCACCTTTGGCCTCATATCTGTTAGCACTTTCCGTCAACGATTTTGACTATATCGAAGGGAAAAGCGAGAGCGGGGTCCGAGTAAGTTATCTTTTTTTAATACAAATTTTTAATGTGGTTTAAGATCCATTTCCGTTTAGCTCCGAATCTGGTCTCGACCGTCAGCCATCAACCAGACCCAATATGCGCTCGAAATTGCTACTAAAGCGTTGGGATATTATGAAAAGTACTACGATATTCCGTTCCCGATGCAGAAACAAGGTAAGCATCGAAATTCTAATTCGGCCTTTTTAAAGCGAGCTAAACGGTAATGTCTGTTTTTATAGATATGATTGCCGTCCCTGCTTTTGACGCCGGCGCGATGGAAAATATGGGATTGATAGCTTATCGAGAAAGTGTACTTTTGTATGATCCAAGGGTATGTCTAATGATACTTCAAAACGTAAGTAAAATTTTAGACGTATCGCTTAACAAATAAGCAACGTGTTGCCACGACAATCTGCCATGAATTGGCTCACCAGGTAAAAGACACTATAAATTGTACATTATACGAACAATTATACAAAAATACTCTTATTTTCCGTTCCAGTGGTTTGGCGATCTCGTCACGATCAGCTCGTGGAACGACATTTGGCTGAACGAAGGATTCGCGACATTTTTGGAATATAAGGCCCTAGAATATGCGACGGGAGGAGCCCTGGACATTGTAGGATACGGCCTGCCAAACTTAATTCCATATTTTAGGCCACCGCTTTTGATTTGCGCGAACGAGCGAGGGCTTTCATGAAGGATTCCAAATCCTCGTCCCATCCGCTTTTCTATAATCTGACCACCTATGATGAAGTCCATGGAGCTTTTGATTATATTAGTTATAGCAAGGTAAATGACAACATTAACATTCTAAAAGGTTTTTTTTCTAATTTAGGGTGCCGCTTTCTTGAAAATGCTTGAGGGCGTCTTGGGTGAACAAGCTTTCCAGAAAGCTTTACAGGTCTAGATTCTGAATTTATTCGAGGAAAGTAGGTTCTAGAACTATCTAAAGAGGCATCTGAATGGCAATGCAAATTCGACGGATTTGTTCCTGGAGTTGAACGACGCTGTACCAAAAGACGTTTGGCATTTTATTAAAATAACATAGTTTTTTGGTCTAGCTTCTGGGGTGGGATGGAAAACGACTTGACGTTGTCGATTTTGCCGCGAAATGGACACAGCAGGTTTGATAATTCATCAATTTCTTCCTATCTCTGTCTATCGGTCTCCCTTTCTCTCTATGTCTCTCTAGTTATCTATTACTCTCGTGCTCTCTCTCTCTCTCTGTCTCTCTTTCGTTCTCTCTCACTCTCTCTCTCTCTCTCCCACGATCCCAATCTCTCCCTCTCTTCCTCGAAAAATATGCATGAATTTTTAGATGGGATATCCAGTCGTCGAAATTACGCGACTTGATAATGCGACCGTTGAAATTACGCAACGTCGTTTTAAGGAAAATTCCTTGACGCATGAATCTTCTCGGTATTTCTGAGGCTTTAACAATTTTAAAATGGTTCTTAGGTATCGCAACGCTCGATTTTGGTATAAATGGGATGTGCCACTGTGGATTATGATTGATGGAGAGATGCAGCCGTTGCAATGGCTGCATGAAGGTATGGGAAACGGATTTAGGAATTTAGACAAAATATTTATATAGTAGTAGCAGGTTCAAAAACATCCGATTATAAGCTTAAAATTTCAGCCTACCGTTTGAACGTCACCGAAGATAAATTGGTAATAGTAAACCCGGAATCAACCGGATATTACCGAGTCAATTACGACCAGCGTGGATGGGAGGCTATTCAGCGGCAGCTTGAAGCCGATCATACGGTATTTCTAGGAAATTTAAGCTCAAATGACGCATTTTTTTAAGAAAATTCCAACCTCCGCACGCCATCGTTTAATTGATGACGCCTTTACTTTGGCAGGAGCGAACCAATTACCATACGAGGTACAATTTTCTAAAAACCTTTTCATTTGTTAATATAGACCGCCTTTAATATCACCTCCTACCTCTCGAATGAAGAAGAAACCCTTCCCTGGATTGTGGCTATCCAAGGATTCCGAGATGTTTTGATGAATTTTGATTATCAACCGGACAGTGAGGGGATCCAGGTATTCAAGGTATACCTTGAAACAATTTTTTTTAGAAATTTGCCCTTCAACGCCATGAACCCCTATTTAACAAAATCGATCTGTCAGCAGTTGATTATACCGAAGACAAGGATTTTGCAAAGAGGTAAGGTTAAAAATTACAATAATGCTTCCTCGTTGTTTTGCAGTATTCTGACGAGTACTGCTTTCGAAAGTTATTGTGCTCTCAACGCGCCAGCTTGCATTGAGAAAGCTAAAGAATTTTTCCAAAAGGTAAAAAGGATTCCGCTGAGCGATATAATCTAATTTAGAATTTGCTGGAAAGCTGTGCAGCTGATAATGCCACCGCTTCTGAGTGTAGCACGTGGGTTTTCTTACCGCCAAAACGGCTATCCTGTATTTCAGCGTCCCGGTCCACATTCGTGACTCCGTATATTGCTATGGATTGCAAAATGGGTCACCGGAAGCTTTTGAAAAAATGAAAAATCTAACGATGGTATGAAATTTAATGAATTCAAGCTTTTTTAAAATACGTTTTAGGCCGAAACGGAGAGCGTCGAGCGCGTTCGTCTCCTCGGAGCTCTGGGATGTACAAATAGCCCATACCTTTTACGAAAGTATGTTTGGCTCACTATAATCACCTATATTTTCTAGAATTATTCACGATGCTTTGAATGGGTCAATCAAGGTTGTAGATACCGATCTACCCTCAATTATGACGACGGTTTTTAGTTAAAATTAACAATTTAATGAATTTTTGATTAGGCTTCATTACAACCGGTTGGTCGATTGGTACTGACTAATATGATGATGGACAATTGGAGAGAGTTGTACGAAAAGTAAGCTTTTCTTATCTGCGCAAAACATAGATAATTTAGATTCAAGGATAGTCAATTTCTAATCCGTGATTTGGTATTATATGGAACTCGTGCAGTCAATGAACGAGAAAAGCGAGAGGTATTTAAATAGCATAATTTTCAGTATTAAAAATTTTTTTTAGCTTGAATATTTCCTCCAAAAATACCCGGGCTCAACGAAACGGATCAGCCCATGGCGAGACCTCGTCGAAAAGGCGAAAACAGCAATGGAATGGAGTCGAAACCATCGCAAGCATCTAGTCGAATACTTTGCAAAGCAAAATGCAGCCAAGACCGAGCTATAATCCGCCAAAAAAATTCAAATTATTACTCATCCACGTCCCGTTTTAACGTGTACCAGGAATATGCCGGTGCTGTTTCACCACCAAAAATTGTTAGTGTTTTTTTCTTTACTAGTCAATGTTTTTTTTGTTGCTCAATAAAGGTTAAAGATAATTGTCAAGATAATTCAATTACCCATAAAAACAAAAAATTTATTTTCATGTCAAACTGAAAGACACTCAAATTGAAACGCTTTTTTTGGTTGCAGAGATCAAAACATATGGGAATATGGGCAAGAGGGAATTATATGATATCCTGAAACTGAGAATACCCGTCGTATGCATTAAAATAAGGGGAAATACGATATAGGAAAAGGGCGCACAAATCACACATACCATTCTTTAAAATCTTTCTTTTTCGCGTTACCCTTGGGGCCGTTGCCATTTTGGCCGCCGCCATTGAGGTGGGACATGGAGCCTAAAAAAGCAATCTGTAATAGTATTAGTTAAAGAATTAAGATATACTGTATAATTTATACAGTTTAATACGTACCGTTCATACCGCCATTCATGCGTCTGGCAGCGCCATTTGCTCCTCCATTGAAGGTCATCCCATTATCGGTGATACCATTCCCATTAGGTATCACTGCACCTTTCAAAGGCTGGTAGCCATTGACCTGAATTTTTTTGATTAACTACTACCGCGACAGCGTATTGCTCTATTAAAAAGCTTACGATCATTAACTCTGCTTTTATTCGTGCTCTCAGAAATAGAAATAATCCTTATTAGTAAAGTCTGTCCAAAATCCTATTTTAGCATAAATTTTGTATTTATTAATACCGTAACGCCTATTTATCTATACCTGGGTGCTGATACGTGGAGATATCAATGGCTGACTGGCAGGGTCTCCATGATGTGTCATTTGTGGTGTCATCTCTTGGCTGATCGGCGCATAACCCACCGCTTTCCCGTTCATCACCTGTAAATCATTGGGTTCCTTTAGGCTTACAACAAATTTTGGAAGCTAAAGGACCCAGGGCACTCTATAGGAATCAAAAGGGGGCTATTTCAAGGCTTGGAATTATTACCGACATATATCCGACTGGGAATATCGGCGAATCGGGTAACAGCTAAAGCGGAGAAAATTCATGGCTGCGAAATTTGGGTCGTATTTTAGAACGGTGGTAGGTTATGGTATTTAAGGGTAACATTTTTAGTGCAGATACAAAGCCACACTTACCATTGGATAATGCTCCGGCGGCGGCCCATTTTGGCGGCACTTGAACACGCAGAAGACGATGGCGGCTATGAGGAGAATCACCGTTCCCGACCCCACCATGATCAGCATCGTCCGTGGGAAATCTTCACCTCCACTTGGCTGGAAGGGGGAAGTTAAAGAGTGGTACAGTAACTATGGAAAACAGAATAGTTTTGGAATTTTTTGCAACTGTCGGTTTGGCCTAATGAGCGGCAATCAATTTTTCGAATGGGATTTTTCACCTGCTAACGACCGAAAATTTCTTTTGGATTGGATTTTTGAGGAAAAAATATTTTATTATAAATAGATACTTTGAGAAGTAAGAATTATATTCTATCTATATTTGTATGACTCTCGTCTCTCCCTTTCTCTCTATGTCTCTCTAGTTATCTATTACTCTCGTGCTCTCTCTCTCTCTCTCTCTCTCTCTCTCTCTCTCTCTTTCTCTCTCGCCCTCTCTCTGTCTCTCTCTCTCGCTCTGTCTCTGTCTCTCTCATTCTAGCTCTCTCTTTCTCTCGCTGAAACTCTTTAGCTTTCTCGTGCTCACAATTTAACTGTCTCCCGCTCTCTCTCACTCTCTATCCATCTCTCTCTCCTACCTTCATTGTCGTGGTGATCAAATCTCCCATAGGAGTTGTCGGACGGACTGGGGGATACGCGGTGTACGGCGTCACCCGGCCACTCGATGCCGGCAGGAACGGGGTCGGGCTCGATTTTTCTGCAAAGGCCAATCCATATCATTTGCATCCCCAAGAAATACAACTCCTTCAGGGGTTCGGTCCCAAGGCCAACAAAAGAACTAGGAAAAACTCAAAAAACGTGCGGTTGCTGTCGAAATGAATCGTTTTTCTACCGAACACCCCGAAGCAGTGGCCCCAAACATTTCGGGGGGACAACTAAAAGATCCGATAAAATGACAATCTAAATAGATGGCATTTAGGGGAGGTGGGCAGTCCGGGGAGACACTGAAAACGGTCGGATTTTGAAGGATACACACACGTCTATCGACGGCCGAAAGCTGTGGAATAGTGTTGTGTGATGTGGTGGTTGATGGTTGGTGGAGATCTTTTTTTGTATTATACTTAATTTTTGATGTTGTTAATTTAAATATAGTTTCTGAGGCTTAAATAAAATCGGAACACCATCAGAAAGTGATCAAATAGAACAATTTTTTTCTTGCACTAGAAATAAATACTTAATTAACCTGGTAATTGCTTAAACTATAGCTGTAGTTACTGCAGCTTCAAGCCCATTAAAAATCTAATAATTAAGAAATCACTGCGTCAGATATAACGACATTTTATTAACCAGCCCTGTAATTTTCAGAATTTATAAACCCTAATGACATGTTCAAATCCCCCCAAACGACCGGCAAATCAAGCAAAGTCCAAAGCACGCGACGTGTGGCCCTCGTTGTTTTCTGGGCCCTGCCACGAATGCTCGAAGGCCACTTTGTCGGCTTTCCCGGTTTCTTCTTGTTCTTCTGCTGCTGCTCGACCCCCCAAAATTTGGCGACACACGCCGAGCTCTTGCTCCCCCTTTCTCACAAATCCAATCACACCCCCAAAATCCAAGAGGGGTACTTCGTTGCCCCGGAAAGGGAGCTAAGGATTGTAGGACATTGGGTTAAATGTTTGAAAAGGGTTTTTAGGCTATTGGATATATTCTTAAAGGACTGCTGAGGGCAACTACATAATATTTAAAAAAAACAATTTGTTTTGACGTTTTCACGCCTTCAAAATATCGAATTTCTCCAAATAAAATCTTTAAAAATCGATAAAATAGAGAACAATAATAATTTTGTAGGCTACGCTAGAAGCCTTGCCTTGTTTACCGGTTGGCTGGCCATGGGAGGGGAGACACCCCATACTAATGCGATTCTGTTCATTATAATCCATATGGGCTGCATATGACAGCAGCTAGATATTAGAGGAATAGACTAATATTAAGATTTGAGCCGGAAGCTTACCTTTAAGTTTACATTCTACATATAGAATTAACCCCATTTCTTTAACTTTTTAATTTTAAACTGATACTCAACTCCAAAAATTTTGCTGAATCTAATAATTAGCAAGGTAAATTATAGGGCTTCTTACATCTTGTCGGGAAATATTCTATATTAACCGTTCTCAAATATTTTAAATCTGTGTAATTGTGCAAATGAGCGTTTAAAACTCTTTTCGACCGCCCACTCAACCACACACTCGAAGCCGCATCAGCTGTAGCGGACGAACACACGCCACGGCAACCTGTTAGGGGGACAAATATGTATATTTCTCTTTTTGCTATTCCTAGTGTATTAATAGTTTTACATTTTCTAAAGGGCCCAGCTGCACAACGCCAAAATCGCTCAATTCCGGCCAAAATTCAAATTAGTGTTTTAGGAAATGCAAAGCGAAAGCCACACACAAGCCAAAAAGCCTAAAAAACCGGGGTGACCGTGAAAATTAACGCCCACTACCGAAGAGCTCGGCCAGAAACTCGAACATTGCCGCCCGGAGCGGGGTGAGGGGCTGCTAATTTTCGGCTAAAAATACGGGAATTAGTTGCCGTTTTTAATGGAAGAAAAAGGGAATTGTATTTGGGTGTTGAGAATCGAGCAAAACCATGCCAGACGGGGAGGTAGAAATGGCACCTGTCAAGTGTAAGAAAGGTGTGAAATGGCTATTTAATGATCAAATCTACAAAATGGAATAAAATATTTCGAAAAAAGTTTGATGCAGATTTTAGGACTTCAGTGGCTGGAAAAAGATATATAAAAATGCCGTCAGGGATAAAAATTCTAGTTTATGAAAGAAATTTACAAGGATTATATCGAAACTATAGATATAAAAGTTTAGTTCGGGATTTTCCAACTTTTAAAGTGGATCTAGAGGATGACTTGAGATTGGAGAGGTGGATTATTGAGAGGGCCCTTTCACTGGGGTGGGCCTCGGGCCAAAAATGGCCCTGCTGGCAGAGAGAAAGAGAGAGAGAGAAAGAGAGAGAGAGAGAGAGAGAGAGAGAGAGAGAGAGAGAGAGAGAGAGAGAAACGGATAGTGGGAGTTGAGAGGCATGAGAAGGGGGATAAAGGCTGTGAGGGCCAGAATCGAGGGATAAGGGATGCCTACGGGGCCATGGCCACAACGCATTCTTTTTTGTGTGGTGCTCCCTACCCCCAGTCGAAGAATAATCAATCTTGGCCGTGTCATGGGCCTGTCAGCTCTAAGAATAAAAAGAAGAAGAAGGCAGAGGGCCTCCACTTCTTCAGATGACAAGGGGCAGAAGAGGGAGAAGCCTGCTGACCCCTTGCTTTTCATCACCACTAGGGAATATCCTCTTTTTGGTTGCGTCAACAAAGAAAATGATATTTTTAGGTTGGTGCCGTTTTTTGAAGCGTAGGGATGGATAGTTAAAATTATTTTAATTATATTTTACTGCTGATCAAAAACTTAACTTTATGACTTAACGTAATTTGGTGTTAACTGGCGCGTGCTGTAGTCAGAATTTCGTACGTTACGCTCCAAATAACGCGTTGGGAAACAGAGCACCCGTTAAAGCACTTTTTTTGGTGTAACTTTTAAAAGGAACTTATCAAACAAAACGTGCCGCTAACAACCCCGGCTTCAAACGACATTCCGAGCCTCGCGATATTTCCGCTAGTGTCACTGCCCCTTTAAAGTCGTAATTCGAAACACTGGTCTATTTTAAAACCCTTTAAAAACCCGAAAACCACTAAATCCTCTTTCAAAAATACAAATCTGTATGATCTAGACAAGGGCTGAGTTGTGAACTAGTGGCCGAGTAAGGCCCCCAAGTGAAGGGGCCCAAATCCGGGGTTGTGGCCAGCAGCAAAAAAAAAAGAGAAAAACGGCCCCTCCACTTCTTGGCTAATCGGGCGGAACGGGCCTCTCTACTCACTCACTCAATAGGGCCGCCAGGCTCTGAAAACCCACAGGTTGCTATCGGCCGCGAGTTTTCCGGTGATTATCAAGTCGTATCGGGGTGTGTTAAGGGATTGTTCGCACTATAAGACCCAGAAAGAAACTTAAGAAAAATGGCTGATAAATAATTTAAGGCGATTTAAATATGGGCTCTTAGATTCTGGAATTCGGTATTTCGGTTTTCGGTATTGTCAAACGGGGGACGAAAAACCTCTACGGCATGAAAATTTTCGTATTTTTACTAAGCCATGCCAGGCCTAAGCCTAAGCCCAAGCCCAAGCCCTAGCCTAAGTGCCGAAAATACCTTCCTATCCGAACCCAAAAAAGCGCCCAAATTGGGTTGTTGACGTTGGGCCAAGTCGGCGCGAGGCATGGGGCGAATTTTTTTGCCAGAGGCCCCATTTGTATGCAGAAGAATGAAGAGGGGAGGGGGTGACGGGCAAAATGCAAAACACCCAGGGATGGTGATGGCCGGGGGTGAAAAAGGAGGAAGTTCTGAACTTTGTGGGGCAGTTTTTAGAAGGTTTCTAGGGTGGGGATAGACAATTGGACCCTGGGGGATTAGCGGTTCGGGATTTTTTCAGGAACGAACGAATGCTCTGGGGTTTCCTCGGGAGATTTGTCGGCGATTATTGCACTTTGGCTACGGGGAGATGTTTTAAAGGAGTTTTTGGTTTTTATAAATTTTATATCGAAGTTAAAGTTAAGCTTTTCACGCTGGGACGGCAAAACTTTTTTTTGGCGGCATGCTAATTATTAAAGTTCTTTGAGGTCTAGGTTGTAGTTTTTAAATTACTACATTTTCTAGTTAGTACAAATCCCAAAAACACCACTAATTCCACTACGATACCCACTTCTACTTCCCGATAATTTTCAGCAACATAAAGCGCATTGCCCGCAACACGGCACTAACATGCAAAAGCTAGAAAAAATCCGCGTGAGACGGCTAGCAACGGTTAGGACGAGCCAAAAAGGAAAAAATGCAGCTGGGGCCGGGGGTTAGCCGAAATCAGGGATGGGATGCCCTACGGTAGGCGCTAATGGTAGATACGAAAAGGCAAGCAAGGTGAGGGAAGCAGAAAGAAAATGAAAAACGGCAACTAAGAACGGCAGGCACACTAGGTTATTTTGGCTTGGTTTTTTGGTGGTATGGGTTTGGTAGGGTATGTATTTTGAATCTAGTTTTAAATTTTAAGCTATGTAATTTTTCACAAAATTGAAGTAGTTTTAATTTCTTTTAAAAAAACTTAGAAAACCTCGAGTAGCTGGCAAAAAGAAATCTCTCAAATCTTACCCTACCAAACCCACACCATACGACAAAACTCATAAAATTCCATTTCCTTCAACAAAAGTTCTACTACGGTAGGGAGTCCGCTGATATCTACGCGAACGTGGGGGGCCATTTTACCCTTGGTTGCCGTGGTAGCATGTGTCGTCCGTCGACTGGTACTTGTCGTAGTGGTGGTGGTGGTAGTGGTTGTAGTGGTTGATGGCGACGTGGCCAACGTGGTCACTTGGGCCCTTGGCCAGCTCGGAGGCTTAGCTGCCGTTCTGTTTCGCTGTTTCCAGGCCGGGCCAGTCGGGCCAATCTCCGGCGCCTCCATGGCATTTTGCCAGATCGACGAGGCGTAATCGGGATTTTGGAGTATCGCCTCGTTCATATCATTATAGGGCCTGGGGAGGACCGTGGATTTTGGTTTCCGGGTGGTTGTTCTCGGGGCAATGGTGGTAGCTACAGTAGCTGAGATCGGGTTCTGGGTCATTTCTTCCGCGGATTCTTCCTGAGAATCCAAGATGTTGCCCGAGCCCTCGACCGGAAACAGTTCCGCCAGATCAACCATGGTAACCCTAGTTGTGGGCTTGTAGGTTGTAGTGGTGGTTGTGGTGGTTGTCGTAGTTCTGGGGGTTCTTCGGGTAGTTGTTGTTGTTGTTGATGGGGTAGTAGATGGGGTGCGTGGCTTATCCGTCTTCCAATACTCACCCTTCTCGTGTGTCGCTGCTTGCACCCGTCTCGACGCCGTTACTGCGGTCGGCAGTTGCGGCGTGAAGAACCCTGAAAATTCAGAATTTAAATTATAGATTAAAAAGCTCATCTTTTACCATATTTTTAACCTTTTACACAGCACTACGAACAACATAAAATTACACTATTTACACTACCATCATCATCAAGCGCCCTGGTCGGCGGCGCTGTCGTAGTACTAGCCATTGTGGTGGTGGTGGTGGTGGTTGAAGTAGTGGTAGATGAGGTGGTACTGGTGGTAGTGGGCTCCTTCTCCACCTCATCCTCCACTACTCCTCCAGCCACCGCCATTCGATTCACATCGAAATTCGATGCAAAACGAGGCGGTTGATTGACACGACACTTTGGGGTGTGCCAATCTACCAAGCATTGGATGGGGAACACCGTTGAGGAGGTGGCTGCCATCTAGAGAGGGAGTGTTAAAGAGAGAGCGAGAGAGAGAAAGAGAGAGAGAGGGAGAAAGGGAGAGAATGCTCACGATAAAGAACCTATTCCCTTCAATATAAGCCCAGCCTTTTTATTTTTCGTCTCGTAATCTCAAAACGCAAAAAATATTAGGTAAAAAAAGCGTGTATATAAAAGGAAATAAGGTAATAAAATAAATCAATCAAACCAGCAACTTTCGTAAAATGGGAAACGAATATCTAGTCCTCCTCAGCCACCCATCCCTTTGATTTGGCCTACGACAAAGGAATCGTGGATTAATTTTGGATATGCTCAAGAAAGAGGTAGAGGATCCTCCCTTTTGAATGGCACACTTGCGTATCGAATCTCACCCAAGTGCAATTAGGCATCCCAGCGAAAGAAAGAGCCGCACATGTCTCAATCAAGTTGCGTTTTATACTTCGAATTCTTAGAGTTATGTGAAGAAAGGAGTGTTCGAGTTACTTCAATCCGCGAGTCCCGAATAAAGCCCCAGATCAAAATAGTATGCGATAAAAAGAAGCACCCGCAAAGTGCAGAATAGAAAATACTGGCCCGCAAGTCCGAAATTGCCGGAAGGACCCTTGGACCCGCGCGATATACTGGATTTGACAAGCACCCTATATCGAGCAACCCGGCGCAACGTATTACCCCATGAAATGTCTGTGCTAAATAAGGGGTAGCAGGACATATAATGCTAATTTTCAGGTTTTAAATTTTTAGCAAAGCTATGGTATTGTACTACGGAACATTGGCGGTGCCTGGAAAATCAGAAAAATGAAAGGAAGCCAGAATATTTGAAATCCCCCGGGAAGCAGTGGGTTCCAATTTTGGCAGGTTTCTTTGAGCTAGATTTGTGTTTTATGGTGTGTCGGGTCGAATTTTAATACAGCTATATTTTTTATGGTATGAATAGGCAGACGAGTGAAGCTCATTCTATCAATAAATCCGGGCCGGCGATGCGATTTTGGCTAACAAGTTTATTAGCTTCAAGTCACAGGGCCAAAACAGAAATATCTGGTCCTACGGGAGGCGATCGTATAGAAAAATGTCGGTAACCTAGTCAATGTCTCTTAAATAGAGTTACTTGAATTTTGATAAACAAAAATTCCATCGATTTTAAGAAAACTCAGATTATCGAAATTAATAATTTGAACCAGAACCAGCAAATGAGTAAAGCAAGAGTTCCGGATTCCTACGCTAGATTCCCGCATTCAGAGAGGGTAGTGGAGGTTCGAAGAAAATTTTTCATGCCTCAGCGCCAGTATTGTTGCCAGAAGTAAGGGAGGAAGAAGAGGGTTTGGTGGCTGGGTTCGAGGACGAGGTGGGGGGAAGAAGCGGGGTGTAGGAGGTCCCGATTTTCGGGCCCTCCATCCCAAATTGGGCTCACACTCTGCAGGGTTGAGGGTGATACTTTATGTGGGTACTTGTTCGAGCATATGTTTATAAGTTCTGGGATAGAGCGGGGTATTATTGAAATTCTGGACTATTCTAACGGGAATGGAAGTCGTCCATCTAAGAGAAAATGTTTTCTTAGGTTTAAACGTTCATATAAAGGTTCTGCTGCAAGTTATTTAAAAATTAAAATTGTTATAATATGTATAAATTAATGCCAATTGGAAAATACTACAATAAGTATGAATTTAAACTGAAAAACACCAGCTTCTAGAGACGTTGATAGCTAAGAAAAATTTCCAAAAATTTTCAAAACTAAAAACAGCTCGAACTCCTAATTTTTTTTCATTCAAGAGCGTGAAAGTGAGACCCAATTTTTTACGGACCTGTAAACTCAAAAAAACCTAAAAATATTCAAAACCCAAAAATAACTCTCTAAAATCTTTCCCGATCCAAAAGTGTGAAAGTGAGGGGGCCACAGAAAATTATTGGACGTGTCGAGTTGGTTGTGCGGGTGAAGGGAAGTGCTTGGCGGGGAAACGATGCGTCTAGCAATTAATCAAATGCACCCTCGGGGGCCCTGGTGGGCCCCTACTGGGCCACTGCCCCCCAACCTACCCCAGTCTCTACTACCAAAACCCGCTAAATAAATGGGATCCCGACCCCCCTTCTCCGTTTTCCCCAAAGTGAACTGGCTGACTGAGCAGCAGCTCGGCCAAAAGCCAACCTCCCCCACAAATGCAAACTTGCACTTGCCCTCCCCCTTGGGGTACGAACCCATTCTGTGGACGTTGAGTTATGGCCCTGGGGGCACCAGTTTTCGCCTCTAGGGCTTCTGGAAAGGGTGATGGAACGGGTGCCTCTAGCCGGATTGAGATTTTTATCGAAAATCTGGAAAAATGGGCTATTTTAGGGAACGAGGTGTCGATTCCGAAATTAACGCCAGATGACGTTGAAATATTAATGGGGGTGTGGGGCGATAGGACTAACGCGGATTTTTTCGGGGTTACTATACGAACATTAGCGGGATGAAAGAATGGGAAGGGAACTACTGTTTGGTATATTAAGTTTTTCACAACTAGGTCTCTTCTTACTAATAGAGAAACTCAAAAAACTATTTCAAAATAAGTTATAAAATATCAAAAATTGACGACTTATCGCAATGAAATATTAATGAGAATTTCTTAGGGTCTGAAACAAGCATTAAGTGGATGAAAGCAAGGGAAAACCGTTATTATTGCCTTTATTTTTACACAAGGATATTTTTGTATTAATAGTATAAAGCCATAAAACGTTTCGAACAAATATAGATTATTTTTGAAGCTAAATCCTTGAAAAACTTAATATTGCCTCTAGCCGGTTTTTTTAACTCATTCTAGCGCGATTAAAATATTTTAAAATAAAAAGAAACCCGTTAAAACTACCACTGAATACGAAAAGAATTCGAAACATCCGCAAGCCAGTGACCGACCAGGACGAGGGTCAGGGGTGTGTCAGCAGAAAGTGAGATCTATCTTCTTTTTCTTCTTCTTCTTCTTCTTCTTCTTCTACGCCTTCTTCTTTTCAGCTTGAACCCCAAGGGCCGTGGGCTGACTTGGCTTGGCCCTTTTGGCTGAATGTTCCCTAGGGAGCTATGGAGGCCTCTGAAATGGCCCATCCCTTCTACGTACACACAACGCCTCTTTTTCACGGGGTCTAGTGAAGCCAAGGAAAAGCCAAGAAAAGCCCTAAAGATCCGATTGTAGTGGTCAGTACTAAAAATAGGTGGATAAAGTTTATTCGTCGTTTTTGATGAGCGGAAATTGATGTATGACTTGAGTACATTAACGTCCTCTACACACGCAAATTCTGATGTTCCTAACAAATTGGCAAGCTAAAAAAATTGCGATGATAGCTATTTTAGGCACTAAAAAATTCTTTGAAGCAAATTATACTTCTGGAATGACGGTAATTTCTGGAATTCCAGGGCTGGAACGTGCCAGGGGCCAAAGTGTGAATAGGAAGTAGATGGAACAGTGGGAATGAAGCCCGTGGGAAATCGTCCATTACGGGACAGCTGATCTCGAAAACGGGAGTGAGAGAGCAGGGGGGAAGTTCTTCAGAATTTGGGAACGGATACGGATTGACACTATGAACGGAGATTTTAGGGGTTTAGAGGAATTTTTGAAATATTATGTTGAAACTAATAAAGATGTTAGTATTTTCGGATGTCTATGGGCTAGAGTTAAATAGCTAAAATACACAAATTCAATTAGATAGAGTGCTCCAGTCTAAATACGTTTTGGATCCGAAACCGAAAATTTGCCGTCAGCTAACCTTGTCAAAATATGCTTATCTGAGTGATTATCTTATTAAAATCTGTAAATTTGCAGGGCTAGCAACTCGCTACGACGCACTTTCCTGGACGTAGCTTAAAGCAGACCTATTTTTGCCCCTCCATGAAATACTACCCAACAAGGGCAGTACGCCAAAAGGTGTAAATTTTAAAGAAATCTATCAGGCAACCCGATCCTTAATGCGCTGTCAAGGGCTTGACGCCAAAAAGTAGGGGGGAAAAGCGGGGTGAGAGGTGGCCGGTGTGGGTGACTGGAGTCTGGGGCTGGAAGCCGAATCGGATTTCAATGGTCGCCGATCTAATGCAATCGAGGAGCTGCTGCTGCTATGCCCCCCCCCCCCCATCCCCCTGATGGTTGGGATTGAAAGGCACGGAAAGAACACCGCTACTGTGTGTAGTGTATAGGGGTACAACGACTATATAGGCAACGATACTACACAAAATGCGAGGTGATTTAAAGGAGCCAGGTACTGATAATTTACCGAAATTTCACTAGGTCGAAATATAACACGCGGAAAATAATTAAGCACAGTTTTGTGAAGCAGAAACTTATATGATCGAAAGCTATTACACAGCACCAGGGACGTAGCGTAAGGTGGGCCCCCTGGGCCCGGGCCCCCGAAATCGGCCGGGGCCCGAAAATTTCATAAGGCCTTATGATTTTTATTTTCTCAAAAATTTTGCTGCCTGCGGCGCTATTTTTTCACGTTTTTACTGCTATTTGTAGAGTTATGTAGCCTCTTTTCCCAAAATTTTTCGCCTGCGGCGCTGTTTTCTCGTGAATTTTTTGAGCTTTTCGAAAACATTTTGCGGGGGCCCCCCCCGAAATTTTTTTCTGGCTACGTCCCTGCACAGCACCTTAAATATACCGAAATTCAGTATGCCTAATCATCACATCGAAAAATTTTATTTACTTGATTTCTTTAGCTTTTTATTGGAGCATAATAAATGCCGGATTAATTTTCATCATCCGTCTAGATGTCTATTCATTCGTTCATTTAACTAGCTACGAAACAGATTTTGGCGCATCTATTTTAATTCCATTCACTCGACATCAATTTCTTCAAAATCAAACAACTACGCACAACACCGATAGACAATCATTCGAAAACGTCAAGCAATATTTAGTTTTTATTGTATTAAGAGCCGTAAAACATACCGATGGGTTCCGGGTCGACGAGACAACTCTCTTGTTCCTCGATGCTAAGACAGCTCGGGCCAATCGCCTCGAAGAATGGGGATGGTTGCGCCTGAAGCTGGCAAATTAGCATGATTTGGAGAAAAGTTGTGTTCCAGCAAATTAAGGCAATTTTTGAGGGTGAGTGAACGTTTGGAAATACTGCGGGGTTATTTTAAAGGGACTGGGAAGCGCCAGTAGCGTGTTGCTCATCCGATTCAAATAAGTTAGAATTGATAATTAACGAAAAATAGGGCAATTTTTTAGCGAATTACAGCTCGTTACATTTTTAATGATTAGTATCACATGTAAAAGAGTTCATAAAATTCCGGATTTTTAAGGCCCGAAATATTTTACTCGTTACGTATATAACGTCAAAACTTTAAACAAAAACCCCATTTTTTCAAGAAACTACGTTCCGAAACTCAAATGAAAAGCGATTGACGTGAAGCTGGACACAGAAATGTCTCAAAATGACTTCCGTTTGCCCTCCCTCCCCACTACCTCCACCCCCATTCCAAAAGATGCAAAAAGGCGAATGTGAATACGAAAAGGGCAACACAGCCCCCCTGGCAGCACCTCAATTTATTTTCACCTCTTTCGGCTCTGTTGTTCTAAAGCCCCATCTATCAACCCTTTTCTAAGCCGTGACAATTATACGCCTCCCGTCAGGACGGGTTTCCATTTATGGGAGGGTGTGTGGAAAAAATGGCAGTTGGGAAATGACCTCAAAGGGGGTGATTGGAACTTATTATCAATGCATTGTTGCCATTTTAACAGGGTCCTGGTATTGGTTTTTAATCAATGAACATCAAAAATTAAGGCAGGTATTCTTATGATAAAATAAAAATAAATTATGGTAATTTGCCTATTCACTTACGCCATCAAAATCGATGTCCTCAGCGCTGCTGTGCATCTTCGGTGGAGCTTCGTAGGCAAGCCTCACGCCGCCGACGGCTCTCACGTTTGGATGACCTGTAAAGTAATTTTTATTAAAATTAAGGTAAAAAAATCAGTTCATTTTATTTCAAGAAGACGCAAAGTTATCAGTAACCTACTTGGCTATAAATTTGCAATTTGAATTTTAAGAGAACTGGTTAGAATAATAACAATAATAATAATATAACCCAATCAAAACCATATAAATTCAATTGAATAAGTCGCTATATAAAGGGAGACAGAGAGAGGAGAAAGAGGTTAGCCAAGAGCTGAAGCATAGGGATATGTCCCCCCGGAGGCTCGACAAGAATTCAATCAGCCCTCCCTTCCTCCCTTCCAGCCGCTCTCTTTTTTTGGCTTTTCCCTCCCGGGCTTCTCCATTCCTATCTACAACACAACCCTACACTTAGGTGGCCACAGCTCTCTACTATTAATTTTGGGTGTAATTTGTAGTCTGTAAAGGCGGGGGCAGGGTTACAACAGAAATTAGAAAGTCAGGTAGCAAATGACGTCAGGAGAAACATTTTGGAATGAAAATCTTGGGTTTTGATTTGAAGGTACCGGAAGCGTCGGAATCTACTTGCTGACTGCTGATTTCTGAAAGCCACGCACGTTGCCAAACCACGTTGTATTTTCATACGCAGGATTCGCTTTTAAAACGTAAGACGTAGCAATCGATTCTGGCGTTTTCTAGCCCATTTAAAACATTTAAAAAAGGTACATTATGAAACTTGGGTTACGCGCATAGCTTTTAAATCAATTCACGTTCGATCTTGATTTTGGTAATTTGTAGCCGTGGTAAAGAAGTACTAATGAAGGAAAATTCAAATAAACCCGAAAAATCCATCGAAACCTTAAAAAAAATCTATTTTACACTACTCAACCGTATTTTCATTTCCCAAGGAGAAACTCAATTTCCGGTCCGAAGCAACCATTTCCCAAACCACTGAAAAATTGTAGCAAAATGTGCACAGCCCGAGTGCTTCATATCAGTAGGGCGTCAATTTCCCACACCTCTGTCCTAACGGGGCGAATATGAAAGGGCAAATAGAAAGGAAAAGGAAGAGACCCCCGGGACCTCTCTATATATCCACCAAACGAAAAGAAGGAAATAAGGAGGAAGCCGCCTATATAGACGAGAGAGGGGCCCTAATAGAATGGGCCCTTTGCCCGTTTGGGCCCTCAGGAATGCATGGCCACTCCAAACCTCCTCCTAAAGGCACCACATTTCACACTGATCAATTATGCTCTTGGAAGGTGCCATCTGGGAGTCGTGATCAGCTATTAATTGATGATTTTTGGGTCATTCATTCATTGAAAGCAAAAAGTTTGGCAGGGATAGGGGTCGAACCCGGGTCGTGTGGTTGCTAGGGAGAGCTTTACCATTTAACTAAACACCAGGGGAGCCTAAGAATAGAAAAATTCTTTAAAATAATTTAAGCAGAAAAAATACATCGAATCAAACGATTTTTAACGCATAAGTAACCGCGAAATCATCACAGGGTGAAACTTTTATTAATAAAATTAAATCAAGCCAAAAATTTAATAAAATTTAATTTAGCTATTGTTAGAAATAATTGAAACAGCAAAATCAGGAAAATCTGATTATTTTCAAATGATGGTAACTCGAAATTGTAACCAAATTTTGAGCAGGATTTAGGCTTAATTCCGAAAATCGGTACGATATAAAAACTCTCTCTTTTCAACCCTCCCTATAATTTAAATTGCACCTAAACAAAGAACACAAGTCCCGTCTTGGCGCAAAAAAAACGGCCGCAAGCCAGCGAATTAATTGCATCAATTATGCAAAGGAGTGGCCCGCCCTCCCGTTTACCACCGCAATTTCATCGAAATTTACGATTAACTGAATTTTTAGCTACAAAAAAACTATTTTCTCTGAGTAAGAAATTTCATGACGTAATTTATTTTGTGGTGGTGGTTAGCAAGGGGGAGGGGCTGATTTAAAATGAGGGAGGTCATGGCGTTAATCTTGTTTTTGGGTGTGACTCTTGCTGCAGGGGGTGAGGAGCTGGGGTATAAATAATAAGATGTGAGGGAGGAAGAGGAGGAGGATATATTAATATAAAAAATAAATTATGGGAGGGTCGTGGTGGAATTGTATGCAACTTCCTGCAAAGTGATCCATTTATATCGCAATAGGGTTTTGTGGTACGTTTCGTGTGTCAATAGGCGCGTAATGTACTCGAGTCAACTGCCGGCTTAGCACATCATTCAAAAAAGCCGTATTTAAAATTTGATATTAAAATAAAGTATATATTTAGCTAAACTTGGCGAAGCCCTTAAAAGGTGTCAACATTTTTTCAAGAAACCTTGAAGCCAAATAAAACCTTGTGAACACGGAACAGTGAAAACATCCAACCCGGAGGTAAAGGAGGAGGGCCCACGCTCTACGTTCACGGGCCTCAATTTGCATAGGCTAATGATGGGGCTCAGACCGGAGGGGCCCCCCACACCGAATCGGACACTAATGGCCCAGGAGGGAGAGAGTCTACCGAGTAAAGGAGGAAGAAGAGGGGGGAATGGAATAAGGGCCCTTCTATATCCAACCACCGATTACGGGTTACCCACCCCTTTACCCGCCAGGGCAAATGGCATTTGATGAGGGCGGGTTAATGGCTTTTGCCCTCCTTCAACCCCCACACCAATTAGGTTTAAGGGCAATGAGCTCTGTTCCAAGTGGTGGAGCCGGTCGGTAGAATTCAGAACTTCACGTAAGTAGATTTTTAATTTAAGAGCTGTTTAACTTAAAAACGGCCGTTTTTCGGTAAAAGTCGCGTTGAGTCCCCTCACAGAGTTTTAGGTTCCGAATAAGTCTTATCTTCCAAAAATTGTTTATTAAATGTTTTACCGCATCAAAAACTTATCATGGCTTTTTCTGCAGCGCGACACGCAACGCGTACGCTGTAATCCAGTGGACGCCGTTGCGTGTTGCGTATAGCGGTCCTAACAAAAAACCGAGCAAAGCTTAGCAAAATCAGACTTGCAATTTTCTTTAAATTCCAAATCATTACACCGGAAGTGATATTCATTTCCGCTACCTAGAGAACATGCGTCTAGACCAACACCATGACTCCAGAATAAATTGGCCCACGTGCACCCAACCCCCGAAAAGCTGCACTTTAGCCCCGCCAACCCGCTTCTCCTGAAAAAAATGAAGGAAAATGGGCACTTAGCCAGCTCACCCCTGGCCCAAAGAAAAACGTGGGGGGGGGGGCACAGACAAGAATGACGAATGCATTCTGGACATCAGCTTCATGAATAAACTGTTGTTGATGAACAAGAAGGAATGGCTAAGGGGGAGGGATGGTCGTAAAAAGGGGGTTGGGCAAGTAATGAAGGGACAAACGAAGCTAATTTGAATGGAAGGGATATGTACAAACGGTAGGAAAAGGGGATGCTAATAAATAACGAAGAGGGGTCGAGGTGGTAATCAGGTAAGGGAATGGATTTATTATATACTATATAGGTTTTAAAATAAAACATCGTACTTGCGTCCTCTGTGCCACTTTGGTGACATAAATGTCATTAGGTAAATTCCGCCGGTCACATAAATGACTGCAGACATTTAGGATTTTTGAAATCAGCTTTTTAGTTATAAAATTTACGCTCTATTTACAAACTACAACTCCACTGTAAAACTAAATTTAGTAAAGTGACCGCCGAAAAGCCAGAAGAAGTGCGAGAATAAGCCCGAAGCGAAACTGCCTCGCAGTCGGTTTACGGGGCTGTGGATGGCTAGGTGAAATATGGGCCGTGAAATATGGGGCTGCGTCCCCATGGGCAAAAGCTTTTTCGGCGCCACCACCACCCCCCGAGGGTGTCAAGGTGTCGGTGACCAAGAGAACGTGAAAAATTATTTACATGAGCGCTTTTACGTCCTATATTGGTAGATCGAAATTTTTTATGAATCTATGCCTACGATTGAAAGTTTACAAAGCAATAATTTTTTTATCCTTCCGCCGCTTTGAATCAGATATAAGCGTATGCTAATTCATTCAGGAATATAAGCGTTGCGGAGGTTTTGACAAAAACCTTGAATTTAATATTCAAAATGGCTGTTTTTGCAAGATCTGGACGCGCAACGCCTCATGACGTACCGTGTAAAACCTAGAATCCTTCCATTCCTGAGACATCCATGGAATGCCATGACGGAAGTTGGATGCAAATTCACACTAACAAAATTACGTTCACAATCAAGATTAGAACCTACAAAATTCTGAAGTTTTATTCCTTAATAACATAAAAACTACATTAAGGTAAACGAGGCTAATAAAATACCATAGTTAATGGACCATATCCGGATTCAGATTAATATCATCCAGCAATAGCAAAGACTGCCCTCCCCCTTCCGAAAAGAGGTGCGCAAATCAATGTTTTGCACACACACACAAGAGCCGCTTTCTCTTTTGGCTGCCCCCCTCCACCCTCTATATTTCTCTATTCTCGGCTTCAAGCTCCGACCACAGCCACCCTCCGGACAGAAGGGCCAAAGGGCCACCTCCCCCTTCCACCCTCTCTCTTCTTCTCCTTCTTCTATTCCACAACAAAATCATAAGAGCCCCCGGGGCCGAATAAGGGCCCCCACCACGGCATCGGCCCAAAAAGGAAAAGAGGATTCGAGCGAGTGGAAGGTCCACTCGGCACATCTCTTTTCCTAGCACAACCACTAAAAGCCATTGCTCAGGGTACGAAGTAGTGCGATTGATAGCATTTTTTGTACGTAGGTGTGGAGAGGTAAAGGTTAATCATCTATTTTTAAAAACCACCTTTGTAAGAGTGTCGTAATCTTAAAAGTTTAGAATATATTTGAGAAATCCGTTTTTTGAACAATTTGGATATACTTAATAGGAGCCACAGCTATGATTCTCATTTTTGTCATTGGAAGATGGTTCGAAAATTCGGCATTTTGAATGAGAAATGGGTAGATACGATGATATTCAAAAATATTTATATATTTTTTAGTAAATTATATTATATCTAAGAAAATAATTAATGTAAGTTGGCTATTTTGGCATCAAAGCACGGAATCTTGGCCGAATCCCTACGTGACAAACTCAATGACGTGATCGAGGTATTGAGGGGGTTCACAGCAAATTTAAGTTTATTCTATTAAAAATCACAGCTTATTTTGAATTCTGGCAAAAAGAAAAAAAATCAAGCCAATTTTTCCCAGAAAACCCCTGCGACTCTTGCGAGAATTCGGACCCATCAAGCTAAATAATTTCCAAAAAACTCGGCCCCAAATTTCATGGGATAAATTGCAAAGCGAGAGAGGGGGCGGGTAGCGTTTTCAGCTTTTTCCCGGAAAATTCGATGAATTTTTCATTTTTGCCGGGCCCACGCTTCGCGTGCCGTGCCGCCGGGAAGAAGCAGCAATCCCCGGGATTTTTCACATGTTGCACTACTCGGGATGAAGGGAATATATTCGCATGTTTTTGGGTTTGGGGTTTCCGGTTATTGAGGAAATACGATGTAGTGGATGTGGTATATAAAATATTAACTAAAGGATTTTCTATTTACTTGTTTTTTCCAAATTACAATAGTGAAAAGAAAACAGTACGGTAGGTTCTTTTACTATAAAACCTCGAAAAACTGAAATATAACCAAGAGAAACCCCGGAAGCTGGAAAATGGGAGGGCTTTTTGGGGGAACGCCAAGAATTGAGAAAACCCTCGAAAATAATCCCGCCCATAAATCCTGGTGCCCATCAAAGTGGACGTTGAGGAGCGCCAAGGGGGGTTCAAGGTATTTTCCTTTCAACTATTCCTCTCTTTTCACTAATCCTAGAGTTCCGGACGGGGTTACCTTCTAGATGGGTGGAATTACCACAAGAAGCTAGGCAAGAAAAGTACTTGCACCTCTTGAATAGCTCAGGCTTAATGAAAATTAATATACCTTGCGCGTGCAGATCCAAGATGTTCAGCCCGTTGAAATTGACACCTCCGATGTCGCCCTCGAATGGATCGATGATTTTGATGAGGTGCCGTTTGACCCTAGATTGATTTAGAATAGATTGTCGATTTAAAAGATCTAAAAACCCGCATTAAACAATTTACCGATCTCCATTCATCAAATGCTTAGCATTCAACGCGGAACCAAGCGAGATCCTCCACTGCATATTTAGGGTGACAAGTGTTTCACTAATTTCCGGGCGATATCGCACTGGTGGATATTTATCAACGACGGCCGTAATGTTCGCATCAGCTCGGAATAGCTAAATATCACGAATTTTGAATCAAGCGAAATTATCCAAGGATACCTTGACGACATGCACGATTCCATCATTCATGGGTGTATTCGTCAATGGGACAAAATGGTCAACGCTGCCCAAATTGAAGCGCAACACGAGTAGGCCTTGACGCTAAACAGTATCGTTGATGCGGTAATGGCCTACGACTTCGCGCGCAAATTTGACTGACTATAAACACATTAATAGATATAGCTTTTATCGTAAATTTCAGAATTCACATACCAAGAATAATGCCAAATAGTCCCGGTCTGCTAGACATTCAATACTCAACAAAACTCCTTCGAGTGCAGATGTTCTAAAAATCAAGGATGAAATATACATTAGAAATTTACTTGAAGGCAAGAACCACAAAATCCTTTTCCGTCGATGGACGCTCCCCTTCAGAATATTCATAGAAAATTACTGAAGGCTCGCGTGGGAAAGTGTAGGTTGTAGCCGCTAAAATTTCTAATGTTCATATATGTTCGAACCTAATGTATTCTTGTAAAGTTAAACTTACGTTGATTACACCTCTCCCCAGCGTGTGCCGTCAACGAACAATCACACCGAATCGAGTTCCACTGCTGAATACAGCGGCCTCCATTCGAACAAACACCCGGAGAACACTTCGCCAATGGACCTAAACGTTGAATAGCTTATCAGTTTTTTTCTAATCATCCCGATCTCCCCATTCTTCAGGTCAAAAAGCAACCAAAAACGTTTAAAATTCGAAAAGCTTGAAGGTGAAAAATCCAGGTGATTTATTCATGCTGTTATTATTTGGGTAGAAAATCTGAGAAGTCAACCATTAATTTATTTAATATTTTCGGGGTTGGTTGTGTGTGCGTGCGTATTTCTAGTGCGGAAATTTGGGATTTACCACTTTTATCTTTAAGCTTCTGTCGTGATCCATGGAATTTTGGTGCTGAATCGATAAAAGGATTTAAATCGAGCTATCCCATTTTGGGAGGCTATTAAATCCAATTTAAATTCCGATACTTACCTTGACATCCCCGTACTACCGCATTTAACCTTTCGGCTTCATCCAGAATATCCAGGTTTTCATCGCCAAGCCGGAGGCTTGAGAGGCAACCTCGTAGACCACGTACTGTAGCAAGTCTTCCGGAAACTGGCGACGATGGTGGGATTCCGGCTGAAAGGCATTTTAAAGTGAAGCTGATAGCAAGGTACATACCAAAATAAGCCGTCCCCGCTAATACAGCCCGATGATGTTTCATCTTAGAAAGTACAGACGTAGTGTTGTCAACGAGCAACACATGCTCCCCAGTCTTCCCATCCTGATACACCAATAAACTGTGCCATCGTAGATCGCTTAGATGGCTTCCAAATGGCAGTTGTGGAGAAGCGATCGTTTCCTCCCGCAGCCCTGCGCGGTAGGTGTACCGTATTCTGAAAACACAGATTTTTAGGTACCCATTAAATTCCTACCTCCCATGAACCAACTCAATAATAACCGAATCGACTGTTGTATCAATGCTGGAAGTAGCAAAAAGTAGCGCATGTCTGGATAGCGTCTGGAACTTGAAGGATACCCGAAAATCGCCGCGCACCCGTGATACCTAATAATGTAATATTTGTATTATTCAATTTACTTACCCGATGCGGCGCCAAAGTCACAAAACCCGTAGTATTTGTAAAGGAAACAGCCGGAGATTTTGTTTTTCTAGATTTAAAGTCTTAAGAAATTCAAATTCTCAAACATATTGCGCTGTCCCTTGCTTTCCTTGCTTGTTCCACTGCTACCATGCAGTCGCCCTTCTTTTCGTAGAATTGAAAGAAGATCCAGGTGGTTGAATTTGGCCGAGGTGAGCTTAAAAACTATTTGAGCATCTAAAGCTACAAACCTGGCCTCTAAACGGTTCTTCACCGCTTTCACTGTGTAGGCTGTGACCCAAAGCTAGTTCGTCAACTTCGAGCACGAGGTCTTGGGCAGGAAGAAAATCTGGAAAATCAGTTTAGAAAGTTTTCTAAAGTTTGGGCTCCAGGATCCCTTAAAACACCTACAACTATGTTCCCATTTTCCATCCAAATATAGCAACAATCGCTCTCCTCTTCTCTTCATTCTTGCCTCATGCCAACGATTGTCGTGAAGTCCTCGTCCCCAATTGAACGTCTAAACTTTAGTATAATTTAGTACTTACAAAATTTGCTGCCAACTTTTACTCACATGCTTGCCCTTTCCGAAATTGATGAACAGCTCCAGCTCGCCGCTAGAAATTTGGAGCACAAAGCGATGGGTGCGGTTGGAGACGGAGCGAGTGTCGAGCAGGATTCCTTTTGGGATATCGGTCTAATTTTCGAGTTAGATTGCGTAGGTTAAATATCGTACCCGAAATCGTAGCTCCACACTTTCTGCCTCGCTTGCCATTACGGTAGGTAGGACAACGGATAGAGGGCGATCAGGGTTAAGGTTGGTGACTGGAGGTTCTGGAAAGGAAGACTCGAAAGACGAAGTATGACTCACCTTTTCCACAAATTACGCCTTCCATCCCAGTCCCACTGCAATCACACTGGAACGTCGAAAATCCGGATTGGCAGCGTCCAAAGTTCTGACACGGATTCCCCTCGCAGAAATCAATCTTATGGGTGTTTGGGCATCCCATGGAGACACCTAAAAAATCTCTTATGCTGGCGGCTCGGATTACAAAGGGGGTACCGGTGGCATTTTGCTCTTGGAAAACGGTGGAGATTTTGGAGGAGATTCCGTTGAAGCGGACGTTTTTGATGCAACCGATGAAACCCTTTCTGGAAAACATTGGATTAAAGAAGTATAATCCGAAGCCTGGGCTCAAGATAACGTCCTGAGAAAATCCCGGATACTTACCGCAATGTTATTGACCAAACCGATGACGGAAACCGTCGCTTTGAATCGTTTCGGAACGGAATAGCGCCGATATATACCGGATCATCTAAGGTTCAAATCGCTTAAAGCAAATACATCTCAACCCACCGACTATCAAATTCGAGGAAACACCCGGGGTGCTGAAGTCCGTTTTCACCGAATCCACCACAACACTGCCGGTCCGTCCAACCCTTTCGAGCAATACGGTATGCCATTGTGATGGGGAGGCGTCGACTCGCTCGGAGGTTGTCTGGAAAAGGCGGAGGTAAGGATCAAATAAGGAACGGGACCTGAAGTCGAACATGGCCGCTGCCTAGGTCGATGACGAGAAATAAATGACCGTCTATGAGTTCGAACGCGACAAAGTCTGAGGATGAGGCTACATCGCCGTGAAATAGGATAAGACCGTCGGGGTCTGGTGTCCGGAATTGAAAGCCTGAAGATATTGTTAATAGGTTTGACGGAAACTGCAGCTCTAATTTTTTCTTTCTCGCCATCTCTCTCTCTCTCTCTGTCTCTCTCTCCTGAAGTATCCAATCACAACTTACTGATGCTGCCACTAGCCAACGAATTCCATTTCGGCAAAGCAATGTAGGAATCGCTTGTGTTAAAGGATAGCACATCGGGTGGGACCTAAAACAAAAAATGACAACTTTGAAATAAAACTCTGACCTGTGGATTTTTACAGGAAAAAGCCAGCTCCCCGCCGGTTCTGATCACCGATTCCCCAAAGCCCTCATCAGCTAGGTTGACGAAGAGGACTTGTTGAGCATCAGCTTCGTATCGCACCTAAAATTACTAGTTGTTTGTAGAATCCATGATTCTCCCAAACTGTAATGAAAAACCCCCAACCTGACGCATACATCCTCGAAAGGGCTTTGATCTAACACCAAGACGATTTTTATCCCTTGGCAACCCGCCAACAAAGGCAAATGAGTGACCTAAAATTTCGCTTAAAGCTATTTAATAAACAACCATACCAATCCAATCTGTTTCCGGTGCATATTGTCGAATCTCATCCCGCTGCCCATCAACTGTCAGTACTAGCTGAAAAACATGAATTTTCTTTGTACCGGAACCACGCCAACAAAATAATCAATAACCGTCCGAAAAGAAGCAATCACTTCAAAAAAATAAAGACCAAAAAGGAAACTGATATAATAAAGGCAAAAAAGGAAATCCGGGTCAGCCACCCAAAAACAACCAAGCGATGAAATAAGCTGGGGGTGAACTCTTGGAAGATACTTACGTGAATTGCTGAAACGCGTTCAGTTTGCTAAAAGGCGGATTAGCTACCGTATGCAGTCGGGTGATTAGTTGGTAGGTGGGGAGTAGCTGAGAAAGATGTGGGGGCGGAAAGATGTGTTTCACAGAAAGATTGAGAGATAGTACGTTAGTAGTACGGCTATGGTTTTTGGATTAATATTGGTTAAGTCTACGGTTGGTTTTCGGGGTTTGTGTTTGCTAAAACTTGCCTCCTCTACAGTGGTTGGGGCCTGAGATGGGGTAATTTTGGGGGTAGAGGTTATTTTTACATACCAGATGGAGGCTGCGGTCGACGATAATATTGTGCCACAGATCGTCATCGTAGCGGCCGGAATTGATTGAATTGAACATACGAACCTGAATTTGAAGGCTAATATACTGGAAATCTTCATTTTTAATTTGCAGCAAGATACCTTTAAGTGCTAACTCACCATGCGTTGCTCGGTACCTTCAAATTTTGAATAGGCATGTACAGCACCGTCTTCGATCGAGATTCGCAAGAAATTCTAAAGCAAAAACAATCAAAATATTCTATTAAGAATATTATATCATTACTAGTAAATTAAATTAATGTATATTTTACTTACCGTTTCGTCACCAGCATAAAACAGTAAAGCCTCTCCATGCACAGTTTTGAACATCATATGTATCGTCTCTCGTTTTGTTCTAAATTTAAATACCTTTAAACCTCAAAGTTTTCTACTTTGTTGGAGCTGATGTAGCGTTGGAAACATCATAACCGACCCATTCTTGCCCGAAGAATGACAATTCTCCATCAGGTTTCTCTAAATTTACATATTAAAAGGACCAACAAGTCAGGAAATACAGAAATATAATTTGTTACTACACCAAAAACAAACCAGAGACACAGTGTGGCCCTTCATAATCTGTTGCTGAACAATCACACTTTGGCCCATCGTTGGTACTGTAGCAATATCCCTCATTTTGACAAAACACAAGGTCCCGCAGCGAATTCTAAAAGTCTTTATTGTTACCATGGTCTTATCTGGTTTTTTTCAATAGAAAAGCAACCCAAAATGTGTCGATATGGCTAGACAGAATGGAAAATGTATTGAAAGTCGAAAAGCACTCAAAAAAACCAGGAAACAATTTCTCTAAAATTTACACCAGCCGCGTCCGTTTTCATGATCATTTTTTGCTTAAAGATGGATAGATAAAAATAGAGGATTAATTTTGCAATTTTTACCGTTGAAAACCTACCGCATTGGTTCGACAAAAGTCTTCATCGCTTTGCCGGGTACCGTATGCTTCGAGGAGTTGTGGAGAGGTAACGCCTAAAACGAGAAATAGTAATTAAATTGCATTCTGAAATAGAAAATTGAGGAAAATCGAGCAAAAGATATTTTTTAAGGCAAAAAGGGGCGGGGCTTCAGTTTGGCGCTAATGCGGGTAGCAGCTTCAGGCAAAGCTCAAGAAGCTAATGATAGTATAGAAGCGGGGAAAGCTGGAAATCTGCATAGCATTAGCCGTACAGTAAGCAGGGACTTATAAAAAAGGGATGCTGAATCGACGGCCATTATTATTACCACTTTGCGATACATTCCACGGCATTTCCTCTGCAATTGGCACCCCTGCACTTGTGATCAGAAAATCGGGTTAGACAAGACAAGCTTCGGGCTATGTTAGTTTGCTGCCCAACGGGGTAGAAAATTCGGGTTATGGTATTTTATGCAATGCTGTATTGTAATTTATCGTTTTCGGGCAGTATTTTGAGGTAATTTGCCGTACCTTGGGGGTAGAGACGGTAGAGGAGATTTCGAACATTTCCGGCTAGGTGTTTGGTATGGCGTCGTAATGGAGAAGACATTGTGGGAAGGAGATGGAGGTCCTAACAAAGTTGTTGTATTTTTATATATACTATTTTATATTAAAGGGCATATATCAAAATTCCAAGGCTCAAAAATAAATTAATTTTAAATTAAGGGAATTTTCCGTATGACGTGACGAAGAAAAAAGATGACGATTCCACCGGAGTCTACGCTTAAGCCTAAACCCCTTAATTAATTAAATATACCATAATCATAGATTTCTCAATCTTTTCCCTCCAAATTTGCCCGCCAATTCCCTTCTCAGAGAATATTCGACCCCTATGACAATGATGAATGCTAATAGATAGAATGTCCCAAGGGACATTCCCCCTTCCTTCCTGACGTCGAGCTTCCGCAAAACACCATCCCTTCCCCTCTTTCTCCTCCACCCTATCCTCCCCCCATCAATCCCATCCTCAAACGGCTTTGATCTTTCTACAGCCCCCCGAAAACCCCCCGCTTCACAGGACCCAATAAAATTGTTTTAAATGGGCAAACCTTCGGTATCCCGCCCACATACACATCCGAGTTTTTGAGTAGATTCCCAAACACAAAGCTCCGTTGGTATAATATTCGGAAGGCAGTCGTTTGGTCGAGCTCGATTTTGACGTTTTCCCAGGACTTAATAGAAGAATAGGGCCGTAGATAAATTAATGATACCTGAAAAACCGATAATGTATGCCAGCGGTCATCATCAACTCGAACATCTTCAATGCGGATTGTATTTACTGGACGTTTTCCCGGTTCGTTGGCGTTGTCACCGAGCCTAAAAATTTTTAAAGGTCTTGGGAAGATATATTTCTGCCAGAAAAGCTTTTATGCCCGCTACAAAACGTCTAGCAGTTATATAAAATTCGTACATACCGAAAGTCCAACTGTATCCTCCCATCAGCAATCGTCAGTGCATAAAAATTGCCGTTTTGCCCCCCATCGTCCGTATATAGAAGCATCCCGTCGCTCTGCCGGGTCTTCAGCTCGAGCGATAGCGAATTCTCGTACGAGTGTGCCCATTTCGGATAACTGAATTCGGCATGTGCTGTTTGGAGTCGAGTCGAGTATGAGAAACCGAGCCTTTAAAATGTTTTCGAATTTCTGAGGATCTAGAAATTATTGTTTTCAAAAGGTTTGACAGTTGAGAAGTGAAGGAAGACGTAGTGGGGACTGTTATAAAAAGTCCATATATTTTTTAACGAAAAAATATATCGATTTTTGACATACCGAGCGTAGGAATTTGGACCTCCAGATAGTATAATTGCGGAGGTTGTCTGGAGGAGGAATAGATAGGTAACGGCGATCGGAGGCCTAAAAGTCAAAAATAAAATTATTAGATCTGTGTTTAACTCTATAAGTCTGTAACTTACGCGTTATGCCGCAATTTTCGTTTCATGTTGTGCCGCCAGTCATTCCTAGAGATCGGATTTGTGATGATCCGGAAAGCTATAAAAGATAAATAAAGTTTAAAACTATAAAATACTGATACATAAAACAAAACAAAAAGATGAGAACATGAGAAAAGAATTTATATCGATTCAATTTGTACTGAAGTTAAAAATACGGTTTACGGAAAAATAATTAAAGTTAAAATATTTAATCCAAGATAAATAGATCAAAACATCAGTCAAGCATTTTAAAGACTAGTTTGATTTACATTGCAATTATGTCTTAAAGCCTAAACAATTTTTCCCTCATCCACAGACCCCCCCGGTTCCGCCCACAAGCCTATAATATGCCCTCCGGCTCGCCTGTCAAGAGGAGTTTAAAAATTATTGAAACGTTTCTTGGCAACAAGCCCAAAAACGGCCCAACCGGAGGGGGGAAGGGCAACCAACTGAAGGGGGGAAGGAGGGCACATATCCCAGGAAAAAAAAAAGAAAGAGAAGAGCCACAATGACGGCAAATTGGCCTGTGGAAGAACTCGGAAACGGGCCACGGCCAATTTCTGGAGGGGCACGGGAATGCTTGGATTTTTGGGAGGGCGCGGGGGAATCTGCATACGCGGAAATAGGTATTCAGGGTATTTAAATGGTAATTAACAATTGGCAGAAATCTTTGGGAACAGTTTTTGAATCCTGAATAGCTTAAGGTAGCTAATATTATTTGTTAAGCTTATAGTAGCGCATTAATAGAAAACGTAGACTACAACACTAACATAAACTTGTACCTACAAATTTAAGCTTATGAATCTAGATAATCATAACAAAAAACTGGCAGTGGTTCTTCGCGAATTGGCTCTAATTTTCTCGACCACGGCGACGCATTGATGGGCAACTCAGAGGAACTAACTCAAAAAATGAAATATACCAGCATGGCTAATTTTTATAACAGCTAAAAATTAACAGAAATTCTTTTGAAACACCTGCAGTTCTTTCCGACAAAATCTGCGCCCAAATAAACCCTTTCAACTACCCCAAAGCCGCGAAAAAGGCTAAAAATGAGGTCTGATGTCTCTCCGTCCACATCTCCTACATGCAGCTTCACCCTCAAAATCCCGGGCCCCACAAGCGCATCGCTTGCTAATAATATACACTAGGAAATGGATGATTTACGATGGAATGCACGTGCGCCGTCGAGAATGCACAGCATTCCTGGTCAGGTGTAGGGGGAATGGGGGACGAGGAGGCAGAGATGCCATGCGGGCTATGAATAATATAACTAATTGCCGGGTGTCCACATATCCTTCTATTCCTTCTCCACCCTCAACATGGTATAATTGTGGACCCACCCCGGGCTCTTCTAGCCTTTACACGAAATTCCGATCTACGGACGTGATGGATATTAAGAGGTTTCCTCCGTAGGCTAGCGAAATTTTGAAGGGGGTGTGACGCTGGAAATCGTGTCGAACGGATTATCGTGTCGTCTTGTAATAAATTATGTTCAAAGGATACCAGAATCAACTTAAGGCAGAACACGGTTGGGCGCAGTAATGGCGAAATTGGTAGACGCACAAATATTGCTGCGCATCGAAAGTTTCAATATACATAGGATAGCGTGGTGAGGTGCAAGTGCAATAACGGGGGGGGGGCGCACGCTGATAATTTTATGAAAGTTCTCCTAGTCCTTCCGCATGATTCGGATTTACAGACTTAATGCATTTTAATAAGTTCCCGCGCGCTAGCGAAATTTAAAGAGCGCGCCACAGCAGGAAACGATTTGTTTAAGCAGACGCCGTCTTTGAGCTTTATTTTAAGTCGTTGACGCTTAAAAACCACCACATTCTCACGGGCTTTCTCGGGCTAATCGTTCAATTTATCGCGGCCCCAAGGGTTGCGCCAAAAAAGTAAATGAATGCCGAATGTTTTTGCAACGAGGGCTGGCTAATGGGTTTGGTTTTTAGAAGTTCTTAAAAAGTCTAGTCAAGATCTGATGCGGGTCTAAATAGAAAAAATAATTCGATATCTGGTGGTTTACTGATAAAAAAGCTACAATAAATGTTATATAAAACATTAACAGCAGTAAATCAGCAGATTTTCCCCTCATGAATTTATCCACTCGCGTGGCGCTACGTGCAACAGATTCCAATATATTTTTGACGCTTCGAGACCTAAAACCAAGATTAAAACACAACAACCCCTTCCGACACTAATATACCAAAAAATACCATATTTTTGAAACATTCTAATGTGGGAAATGGACACCAAGCGGTGGGAATGAGTTCTGCCTATGGGACGTGGTGTTGCCCGACGATGGCCCTCTCTCTCCACCCTATTCTGCCCCATCCTCCCTCCAGATGGCCCTTGGGGAATTTTTGGCTTGGCCTTCGCCTCTTCGAATCTTCCAAAGCCATGGCTCGGCGCTGCTTTGCTCAGCGAAAAAGAAATGCCGACAAAAACGCGCGGCGTGGTCGGCCGGATCCTCGGGGTCGCGGAAGGTGTGAGGGCAAGAGGGGGAGAACAACCTAGCGTTTTGTCTTCTTCAAATGTTTATGTCTCAGGGTGGTGGGGAGATGCGTTCCGTTGACTAGAAAGTTTTTGCGTCTGGGTGTCTGAGACCGGCCGGTCTGGGTGATTTCTGGAAACAATTTGTGCTTGGAGAAATTCGGAGGAGAAATGCGTAATTCACGCAACGTATTTTTGAAAGCCGCCATTTTCGACAGTAAGCTTAGGTTTTTGTAAAAATCTCAGACTCATCTTTGGTGGCAGAAAGTTAGGATGAACTAGAAGCGTACGGAGATAATAAAAACCGCAAGATGGCGTCTTTCATCTTTTCATCTTGGCAACGCAATTCCGGAAAAATTACGGAAATTGAAACAACTGGAGAAACAGACAGCTCGCGAATCCTAAAGCCGCGAAGCGGTTTTTCGGCCTTGGCAGTAAATTCCCGTTTTTGACAAATTTTAAAAAACACTAAAACCAACACCCCTCCAAAGCCAGACCTAAAGAAAATCTGGGCCGTCTTCGAGTTTTCGGCCGGGAGAGGCGGACGGCATAGCAAATTGGCGGAAGAATCGCATAAATCGCGACTGCACTATGCGGCCCTTTTTCCCTTCTGCTCCTATAGTCACTTCTTCTGATGGAGAAGGGGAAGCCGTGAGGATTGGATGAACTGATGATGGGCCCAGCGCTCTGTCTTCCGTTTTCGGGCCGTGAAATAGATGGGCCACGCTCAAAAATTCATGAAATGGTCTGGGGTGACTAGAACCTGTGGCTAGAGCAGAAAAAGGTAAAGAAATTAAAATTAAAACCGCTTCGCGGCAGGATAACAACTGCCGAAGCAAAACCTAATTTTTGGGGCTTGCTAGTACCTTAAAAAATGAAATAAACGCTGAACAAACAATTACTCAGACTTTTATCTTGTGCTTTAATCCCAAACCCAATCCCGCCCGACTTTAGAGGACAAAAGACGTGGAAAAGAAGTGCTAAACGGAGTGAGTGAGTGAGTGAGTAGGAGGATAGAAGGAGGCTGAAGTGGGGATGGGGGGGGGGGCTGAAGCAGAAGAAGTCGGGGGTCTAGAAGGGCACACAAGCCATCTTCTGACCATCTAATTGACGCGCAAAAGACCCGCTCTTTCACCCCTTGTCTTTTCTTTTCTTTTTTCGTTCTCAATCCTTGCAGCATTGCCAACAGAGTTGGCTGCTCACTGATTTTTCTGGGTCGGTTTGTGGTTTGATTTTTGGGTTTGGAGGGTTGGGCGTTAAGAAGGGGAGGCCCCAAGAAATCTAGAATTATAAAATGCAGCAAATAGGAATAAATAATAAAAACAGGTAGATATAAAAAAAAATCGGTTAAATAAAGCCTTACAGAAATTTGGAATCAGAATTACGAAAAAAGATACCAAAAATTACCAAAAAGCACACAAAATTATGTAATTTAAAACGATTCTTATTAAAAATAGATACATCACACCTAAAAATTTCAATTGAGGAAAAATAACGCTTCCTGCAACCATTTTTCGCTGAACAAAAAAATCTAATTGAAATTATTTAAAAAACTAGGTAAAAATAATCAAATTTAATGATGATGACGTCCATATAGATTAGATTACTATAAAGAAGATCCATCTAAAACAAAAACCTAAGCCTCATTTGAACGGCCAACTTTGCAAAAGTCGATAACCCAACCCCCGGATATGTTATTAGCTTCGTTGTGGATTTTGTAGGCACCACCCGACGTCAGCCCAGTCATTCCCACGTATTGCAGGGGAATTTATTTATCGGTACTAAAACTGGGAAGCTTTTTGGGGAAAAATACCCGCTTATTAGTTGCGAAAAAATAAAACCACAGATTCAATGAACCACCGATTTTTCGAAGACCAACGGCTAAAAGTCGCCCCGGTAACTTACTGGTTACTACGACTAGAACCAATGACCATTGACTTCCGGGGCGTCTAGCCGCAGCCCTTTTTTTGTTTGAATACCCAAGTAAAGTTTTAGTGAAGTGTGCTGAGGAGTGAAGGCATTGAAACGACTCCTCCCCTCCACCCAGGGCCCAGCAGCGGTTGCGTTGAATTTTTCATTCGACTCGCCAACGGCTCCATTTCGGCATGGGCTGGGTGGGTCTTGCTGGTAAACTAGCGAAAGGACCAAAAACTAAGAAAATGCTGCGTTTTCACTAGAAGCACGGAGGCGAACTTGGGTTGATGATCCTTTAGCTTGGCGGAAAGTGGGGTCGTACTTTGTCGTAATTGTTTTGGCGCTTCCTTAGGATCGCCAGAAGGGGGATGGGAGATGTGACGTTTAGGAAAATTTAAGAAAAGAGCGTGTTATATTTTTCGATCGATAGAAATGCCGAGAACAGGATGTAAACGTGATCGAGTTTATTCAATTCCATCCATTTTAAGCATTATAAATTGTTTTAAACACTCTATAACGCCAGGATCACGATCACTTCCTCCATACAAGTTTCACAGGTTTTATCAGGAGGAGAAGCTTATTCGACGCGAAAAAAAGGAGTTATGGAAAATACAGTAATCAAGCTTTCCAATGACATCAACTACCGAATATATGGCTTGAAAAGGGCTTCTAAATGTGGTTGAGGGGGTGGAGGGGATGGTTGTGGAAGTCCTCGGAGAGTCATCAACCCGGACCTCCTCCTCCTCGCTCCTTTCTTCCCCTTCCTCGCACGTGTCTATCTCCCCCGCAGCACAGATCTCGAATTTATGGCCCACCCCCATTTCAGCTCCCCCCCTCTACAAGGCATGGGCTTCTCCTCGTGGCCAGGTCGACCATTTGTCACATAAAACGGCAAAACTACGAGCCGCTACGTGGGTGCTGGTGAGAAATGGTGGCACACGTAGGGATGGAGTGAGTGGGGTTTTGGTTTTATCGTGAAGTTCTAGAAATAATTTTATTTACACTCAGCTCTTGTTCCTGGGAGAATATTATCTCGGTGACCATTTCCGGTTTTCGAAATCGATACTTTGGTTGAATAAGCCGAAAAAACAGATGTAGGGCCTTCTCTCTAGACTTATATTTATCTGCATAACATTCAAATCAAGAAAATGCTAGAGATGAAATCCTAGCGGCCGACAAATGCAAGTGCTGGAAATACAGAAAGTCAAAATTACCGTAGCTCCACAAGCGAAAAGTGAGCAGATAAGGCCAAAAAATTCGGATAAATATAGCCAAAAGCGCACAACTTATTTCCACGGATCAGCCTAACTGAACTAATCGTAAAAACAAGACAACAGCCCATTTCCGGGGTGTACACTGGTGTGTGGATCTGCGAATAGAGTCCCCGGGGGCTCCTCCAAATTGCACATGACTCCATCTTTTTCCCTTTAACCGACGAGAGCCATGCTTTTTGCTCTGCTCCCAACAACAACCACCACCCTCCCATGAATCGGGCCACCTGAATAATGGGCTCTTCGGTAGAGAGTTCATCGGGCTTTTAGTGCGTTTTCGCCCGCTAACTCTGCCCCGAATTTATGGGCGTCTAGGAATACGGTAAACAGCGTTTTAGCTAAAATGCAATGGAAGCTCGAATTACTATTTTCGAGACTAAACAAAGCCAGGTCCAAAGCACAAACGATAGCATTACGAAAATTTGCAACTCACACCATCTGTCGTTGTTTTTAGACCCAGACTCTGCCCCCGCCAACACGCAATCTGGGGCTCCGATATTTACTCCCCGCCGTTTACTGGAGCGTTTTGGTAGCTTTTTTTGGAGGCTGTGGGAGGAAGGATTACAAACAAAAATACAATTCTTAAATTTTGGATGAAGCAATTGAATTCACGAAAGCTATGTAAATTGATGGGTGTAATACTAGTATGTACATATTGGGTAGGGGGAGGATGGGCTATTTCCTATCTCGACTAGGATGATTGGATGTCGTATCGAATAACTTGCTTTGTTTACTGACCATCTATGCTCACATAACTAGCTGAGTTTCTAAAACAGGAGATGGGATTACTTTGAATTGAATTAAAATGAGTCTCCTCGCCGTTAAAAATTAGATCCCTGGGTCAAATCTGTTAAAATGGCAATCAGAATTCCAAAAAAGCTAATTTGAATTTTCTGTTTAAGAGTTTTTCCGGTGTTGCTGGCAGTTTAAAACAGTAAAAACCGCCGGAATTGAAACAGATCGATTTTGGCATAATCGAAAAATCTTAAACGCTATCTGATGTAACCCGGTGTAAATTAATTTAAAATTAAGATATTAATCGAATGAATAAAACAATTTCTAAAGCTGTTTTCGAATTGTAGAGCGACCAAAGTTGAAGCTCCTCCCTCTCCCTCCTCCTCCCCCAACCCAAACGGATCCCATCGTGACAATGAGGCCCTGATTTGGTGTGCCCCGAGGGCTCGTTCCATCGAATTAGGAGCCCAGGGACCAACTCACGACTCTCGATGCCACTTGACGAGCTCGCCGCGCTGCCCCCCGGCAAACGCATTTCCCTGGGCCGGCATGCCTTTAGGGACAGCCACACAGAAACACATTTGCATATGACACTGCTGGATGAAGATGGTGTTGATTGATGGACGCCGCGAGGGAGCGCGAAGCCGTTTGAACGAAATACGTTCGAAGGAATTGCTAAATTTTGGTAGCGTACTTAGTGATGAGGAATTTTGTTAATTAAGAAAAGGTACCGCTTAATGCTAAAAATTCTAGCGAACCAGCAGCAGCAGTACGTGAGAATCCTGGCGAAATTTCATAATTTCGAAATTCTTAATTTCGGAATCCATAAACTGGAAATTTAAATACCGACATTTCTGTATATCAAGTTACAAAAAATAGGTTTCACGGTAAATCGTAACAAGCAAGGCCAAAGTCGGCGTTGTGACCTTTGGGATTTCTAAAACTGCCCCCCGATAATCGCAACATCAACAAGACAAAACTCCTCCGAAACACAACCCGAACATCCAGTAAAAAGCTATTGGCAACGCTGAAATATGTATTCGTTCCAGTCCGACTCCCTCCGAAGTTCCGGTCCCCAATTTTCCGAAGTCTATCCAATTACATTGGGCCCTTCCAAACAAATGGGACACTTGTCTCCGGGAGTTCGCAGATATTCCCTGGGGCCCGATCGCCGTCCTCGAATTCTGCAAGAAAAAATGGGTGAAGGGGGTTCTGGGTTTTGGGTCTGCCCTCGGGTTGCATCCAGAAGTTGCAAATAGCTGTTGAAATTCGATAAAAATGACAAATAAAGAAATGTTGATGGTGACTGTAGCAATTCTATCAATTATTTTTGTAGAGCTCAACACTATGTATTTTTTAAACTAGCCAGTGAGAGCTAGAACCTCTCTGCACTTCTCCCCACCGCCATTTTGAACTTCCGCGACAGCCGACAAAAAGCCAACCGACTGCACGCACCAAATTCATAAAACCGTTAAACCGGTCGCCGCTCACGCGGCCACTCTAATTTGGCTTTTTCAGCCTGGCCGACCGCCAAACCGAAAATGTTGATTTATCAATATTAAGTCACCTACAGCTTGACTGATCACGTGGACGGGTGAATGGAAATCTGGGGCGTCAGGTAAACATGCGGTGAAAATGTTATAAAGTTTGTTTGGGGGAACAGGATTCCCGGAGGTAATGGTGGATTATCTGGGAGGTTATAGGCTGTCCTTGCGAAGTGGAGTGGCGAATCAGCCGTGTTGGACGTTTTCAAACGGAATTTTGGTGTATTCTGGAAGAATTAAATCTACTAGTCATTCGACGTTACTTTTTATTTCTATAAAACTGCATTTACATAGCAAAATGGTTTTTTTTGTGGCGGGTAGATTTTTCGTATCGGGTCTCATCTATCTTTTTTGAAGGATCGAGCTCAATTCTAAAATTTTTGACACTTTTCCTACCACTCTGACCAGTTGCCTGATCGCTTATTGTACGTGGGGAGATTGCCGGGCGTAAAAAATAGCCCTCCGTACAAGCTCATAGGTAGAGGTAGGTCGGCTAAACGTGGGGGCAGCTGGTCCCGCACCGGGACCACCGGATTACCTTAGTTAGTTGATTGGCCATCGGGACCGAGCCCGAACGGATTCGCTCCTTTTTCCCTTTTCGACCCACCCACCCAATATCGATTCAGGAATCGCTTCGAAACTGTAAACGAAATTACCGGCACTACTCACGTCAGCCCGGGGTGTTCCGTTTCCTGTTTTATATCTCTACCAGTGGAAAATGTCCGCTTCGCGGCCCTTTTCCACTGGCCCCCCGTCTAGGAACCATATAATCTCCTTCCGTTTTTCAAGCCTGCGGCGCAAGAGCCTGACTCTAGGCATGCTTCTCTGGCCTGCGGCGCTGGCTACTGGTTTTTCTCTAGCATTTGGCCTGCGGCGCGAGAGCCAGGGCCAAGGGACTTTTTTTGGCCTGCGGCGCTAGAGCGAGGGACTGGCCTAAATTTCGGATACTGAGAGTCTCGAAATAAGTTTTGTTGTTGAAATATCAAAAAGCAAAATGGTAAATTTGCCGAGGATCCGAACCCTCGACTATGGGCGTGGTAGACCGGGCGCCAAGCCACTATACCAACGGGGGCATTGGGACGGCTGGCGGGAAAGGCCTCTTCTGCCCTGGGGGTTGGTCACGCCCGGTCGGGGTTATTCTGGTAACTTTACAAAATTAACTTTTCTGATCTGAATGCGCCGAAATTTTGTAAAAATAATGAGATGCGCGTGATCCCCACCATCGAATACATAAGTGGTCCAAATTACAAACCGAAATTCCATCAATACTTCGAGTTATGGCCCGAACACCACGGCGCGTCACCCATTTTGTTAAGGATTTTCACTTTTTTGCTTGTAAAATTGTTAAATGAAGGAATTTCAAAAAATCCAAAAAACCGTTTTTGGCGAATGTGTTTCTTCACCTCCATGCCAAAAATCAGCGCGGTATTCGGCCTGACGGCCGAGAAACCGCCCGGACAGAAAACACACATACTTTTCTCGCTTATAGGATAGGATGTCGTTTTATTACATTTGCAAGTTAGACTGGATCATCTTGTCGTCCTATTTCTGTTGATCCGAAAATATTGCCGAATACGCTTCGATGCTTTTGAAAATTTGACTTACGTACTTCCAATCGATCTGACGGTTCTTTTTATCCATGTCGAAACAATTCTTTATTAAACAATTAATCCCGCAGGTTTGATCAGGAGTCCCCGTCCCCCCTCCAAAAAAGGCCGACGACGTGACGACGATCCCTCCAACTTCGGATGCCCGGCTCATGAGCCGTTCCCTATTTTGCGCTCTTTTACTCCTCGCGGTCCCCAAGCTCTCACAAGCATCGACCTGTGAAGACGAAGGAATATGGTAAGTCGCGAGAATAGCATGCTGAAAGCAGCTCTCTCTCTCTCTCTCTCTCTCTCTCTCTCTCTCTACTTTGCTAACTTCTCCGTAACAATACTTTGCCAATGTCTGACGCGCGCTTTAAACCCCATTCTTTAGGGGATCGTGGGGCGAATGGTCTACATGCCCGACCGGTACCGTCAACCCATTAATGGACTTCCGAAAACGCATCAGAACCTGCATACCGCAGCCAACCGGTTGTGAGGCGTCTGACACGGTGTCTTGCCCGTAAGTATGCCTGCTCGTTGCAAATACTTTCGGTCTAGGGGCACCTATTCGGAAGTGCTGTGGGATTGTACGTCAACGACGGTTGCAACAACGACAACAACAACACCAACGACAACGACAAGCACGACGACAACAACGACAATGACGACTACTACGACTACGACAACTACAACTGCCACTACTACCACTACTACAACCACTGCAACGACAAGGTAGCAAAAGTCAGACAAATTTCTACTTTCCATATTTTCGTGATAGCTTTCGACAGGATTTGATAGAGCAGCGAAGAGTATGAACTTTGAGATTACGATTAAAAATAGAGTCTTATGAAAAATTTCCGGCCAAAATAAAAGCGTTTTTTAATATGACATTGGGTTTCTAGCTCCCGGCATTTTCGCCATTGTTCGAGATTTTGAAAAAGCCATTCGATAGAGGGCCAGAATCAACATTTCACTTTCCAGTGGGACCACGACAACAACAACTACGACACCTCTAGTTACCACTGCGGCCCTGTCAACAGAAGCAGATACAACAGCTGGAAGTACAGGTCTGGGTTGAAATAAATACATTTTAAAGTTTCAGCTGCCGATACAACAACTGCGGATGCTTCAACAGCTGCTGATGGTGATGCAAGCACCGGTGCTGATAGCACAGGTATCCGGCACCGCATATTCATCGAAATACTTACATATTCTAGCAGCCGATACCACTACAGCTGCTGACGCTTCAACAGCTGACCCGAGCACAGCTGGTTTGTATTCTTAAGCAAATTTGTAAAAAAAACACGATGCGAGATCTCCTCACTTGACACCTCACAGTTTGCCCACCTTAAGCTCTAAATTCCCCAGATCTTAACACCCTGTGAACTTGCATCACTGGGCATTTTTAATCGTTTTTAGCCGCTACCACCAATGGAGCATCAACTGAAGCCTTAACCAATGGTGCGTAACAGCTGAAACACATCACAACGCATTAAAAATGTCTAGTTTCTATCTTATTCGTTTAGCAGGTTCCACGGATGGCGGCACAACAGATGCTGGAACATCCAATGGTATGTAGCAAAACACAAACATTTGGCTTCGAGTTTTTACACCTATCCACTTTTACAGCAGCTTCCACCCCGGATTCATCAACAGCGGAAGCAACGGATGGTGCGTAGCGATCTTTTTATTTTTAAGACGCACCACCGTCACTTTTTTACGCATCTGATTTCTAGCAGCATCGACGGACGGCGGCTCGACAGCAGGATCAACTGATGGTGCGCACAGTGAATTTTTTTTCCAAATATCACCTTCGTTATATTCACCGCATTTGTTTTAGCAGCTTCTACCGACAGCGGATCGACTGCAGGCTCAACCGATGGTGTGTAGCGTAGAAACCATTTTTAAAATCACATGTCACCTTTATTTTTGACAGAATATGCATTATTATCTATAGTCGCTTCTACTGATGGAGCCTCGACCGCCGGCTCGACAGATGGTAAACTCAAATCACTTGACTCTTAGCAATTCACAAAAGTACGGTTTTTATTTGCTCTTCTTTAGCTGGTTCGACCGCGGAGGCATCGACAGTTGGTGCATCTACCGAGGGATCCACGGATGGTGTGTTGCACACAAATGCCAATAGTCACTTAAGCAATGATTTTTATTTTGCGTTTTAAGGAGGTTCCACTGCTGACGGGTCGAGCGCAGGTTCAACAGACGGTAGGTTCATTGCACATAAAAAATACACCAACGAGCCTTAAAGCGCACGTTCAGGGAGGGGCCGTGTACTCGTCCCAACGTGTACACCCTATGGACGTAGGGACCGCGCGCACTGCATGCCCGTGTCGTGGCAGGCAATTCCCCTCCTTTGCGGCGTGGGGCGCCCCTCACCCCCCTTGCCAGGTTGTAGCTATGGCTGACTGGTATCCATCCGCGCCTCCCGAACGGGGGGCCCGGGTTCGGCCCCCGGCCGCGACTGAAATCTTTGCTTTTTTCCAAAAAAAACCTCCCTGAACGTACCCTTTAAATGAGAAAATTCAAATTTGCGATACTGCGAATCTACGTATGACTTTTGATGCTATGGTTAGGCGCTACCATTAATTCATAATATTTAGGCGCTACTTCCGAGGCGGCAAGTACGGCGGACACTGGAATGACGACTGGTAGGTCCAAGCATTAGTAAATCCAGCAAAATTATGACATTTAGGCGCCGAAACGACTGCCGGAGTCACGGAGCCTACATCTTCTAATAGTAAGTCAGATTTCCATAATGAAATACCTTGCTTTCTAGCTGGAGGGAGTACGGTGGTCGATGAATCGACAACTGTCGAGGAGACTACTCAATGGGCGACCTCACCGGTAAGTTTCCCTAGCCAAATCCTTGAACCTTCAAAATACAGGGTGAATCCACCGCCGGTGAGTCAGCCACCAGTACGGGATCTGCCACTGGCGGTACGGATGGAAGCGGTGCGACAACGGCAGATGCAACTGCAGCAACAGTCTCATACCGTAAGAAACCCGGGCTTAATCAAGAAAATTCTACTTGTTTTAGAGTGCGGAACTTGCGATCAAATCCCATTGATCCTACTTGGCACCATCAACAAGACCTATATCGATGCGGCCGCTGTTCTAAACAGATATACCGGGTCAGATGGATGTCGTGTGTCTCAATATGACTGTCGACCCAGCGCGGTAAGTTCTACATAAAAATATGAATAATAACTGTTCTGAATGAATTAGGCCAATGACACGCGAATGGTCAGTACGATCTACTACGACGACCAGCTAACCACTATCAGCAAGCCAGCTGCCTCTCAAAGAGATGTATTTGAATGCACCACAAGTAGGATCGGACGATCGTTTTTATATTTTTATATATAGGTGGTTGGCGAAACCAAATCAGCGGAAAACATGTCACCTCGTTGTCCTGTGTCTATCAAATGGGTAAAAAATATCTTTGAATAATTTATGCATAATAGCTACCAATGCCTGCAACAACTGCTCCCAGCTGATTGTCGAGAAACCGGGAGAAGATGAAGGGGTCACGACAATGGATCATTTGCGCGGAAATTGTTCGACTGTCGCTGTTACCTGCCAGCCGATCGATGTAAGTTCCAAAGTTGATACCTCACCTTTGCGCTGGATCAAGAAAGCTTGTAACGTTTGCAGGGAGTCCAACAAGCAAACCTCTACATCAACGGGCGCTCCGTGGGTCTCGTGGGATCAAGTATCTCCCGAACGTTCACCTGCGACTCCGACAGCGACTGGTTTGACAAAACCACCGGAATTACGATCAAAAACATCAGTTGCGTCCTCGTTGGTGCGAGCAGTAAGTAATACAATAAATTCTGAAAAAAAAACTTTTAGGCGTCACCAGCCCCCTGACAACGGAAGCCGCCACGACCGCTGGCGATACAGGCGCCACAACCGAGGCCTCTGAAGCGACAACCGGGGCCACTGATGCGACAACCGGAACTTCTGATGAGACAACCGGAGCCACTGATGCGACAACTGAAGCTTCTGATGGGACAACCGGATTTTCGGAAGATCCCGAGACAGCGACCGCCACGGACGAGCTGACTACCGGTGTTACTACCGGTGGAACTGCAGGGACAACATCTGAAACCCTTGCTGCTTCCGACCCAACTATGGAAACAAAAATGGTCACCGAAACTGGCGGAACTGAGACAGCGACTGCTGAAACAGAGGTGACGACGGGCGGAACTGAGGCTGGCACGACCGTAGCGAGCACAGAAGGATCCACTGGAGGCGAGACTGGCGATACGGCTGATACTACCATGGCCAGCACTGGAGGAGAAACGACTGCCGCTACTGGTCCAACAGAAACAGCAAGCTCTGGCCCTGATTCCACAACAGCAGACGCAGCGTCCACGATTGGGGCAAATACCGAAGATACAGCTCAGACCGGTGATACGACCGAGACAGCTACGGAAACTGCTACCGCCGAGGCGTCTACTGGTGGCGCTACGGATGAGATCACTACCGGAGGGACAGATAATACGGCGGAAACAACTGACGCTACTACAGCAGATGCCACAACCGGGGGAAGCTCCGATGAGACCGGAGATACTGGTTCCACTGACGACACAACGATGGCGGGCTCGACAGCACAGACTGATGAAAGTACCACTGGCGGTGCTAGTACTGGTGTCTCAGATGCTGTGTCGACCACTGGCGGGGATACTGGTGGGACAACGGAGGCTTCAACAAACGCTGCTTCGACAGGAGGGGCAACCGGCGCGAGAAGCACTGCTGGATCCACAGACGAAACAACAGCAGGATTAAGTGACGATACCACGACAGGTGCTGGAAGCGGAAGCACCACGACCGTAGCCGTGGAAACTACAACTGGAGCTGGAACTGACGAAACGACGGCTGGAGACTCGGGCGCCGAGACGACAACTGGAAGTGCAGATGAAACCACCACAGGTGGTGGCGAATCCACAACTGCCAGTTCGGGCGATGGGTCAACAACAGGCGGTCCCAAAGGAGGTTAGTAGGCTTAGAAAAGCGTAATGTATGCTTTTCAGAATGCGCACTCTGTCCAAGTGTGCAAGCCGCCCCATTATCGACCGGAATGCTCTGGGAACCGACCTTTGACTTCAGCGGCTGGTACAACGGAATGCTCGTTCTCGATCACTACCAAGATGCACCGGGCGCATGCAGAAGAATCCAAATTACTTGTCAGATCCAGGTTGGTGCCTTGAATGCAATCCCAACACATTTTCTATTCAGGGAAATAACACCGTTGGATTGTTCCTCGATTGCACTGATTGCATGAAAGAGCAAGCAAACCTGGTTTCTCTAAATCTGGAATGCGCGGACGACGGGAACTGGTATTACCAAGGAGAAGTTTTCGACAAGGCCATGTGCATAGCCCACTGTAAGTCAGTTAACATCTATTGGTAGTACGATTATAGCATTCTTGACAACTACTCCGGCGCCGCCTACTACGACGACAACAACAACAACGACACCTATCACTACAACAACGGCTTCGCGTAGGTTTGGAGAGGCTGTAAGAATAAATTTTGTGACTTCACAACTCCCATTAAATTCAATTACGTTCAGCAAATTGCGGTCATTGTGGCCTAGTCGACGTGGTGTTCGTGAAACAGCCCGGATACATTGATGGCTTCACCAGCTTGGATAGAAGCTTCGCTGGCGACTGCTCGGTCATGACCATCACCTGTGAAGGAGTCGAGGTTATAAATTTTAGAAACCCATTATACGATTTTAGACAACAAGCGATGTGACTCTGTTCGCAGGAACAACAAGCTTGGCGGAGATGAGCGGAACGATCACGATGAATGCGACATGCAATGCGCAAGGGCAATGGCTGCTCGCGGGCACCCAACAAGATCTCAGTTCAATATCCTGTGCTTATAAGCCGACAAATACTTGTAAGTTACAAAGAACAGTATAGCTAGTCCGTTCTAGCACAATGCCAAAACTGCCCCAACATTCTGGCAGAGCCGATGACTGACGCCAGTGAATTCGGTGTCGGTTCAATGAACATGACCGGCTGGTATGATGGCATGCTCGTCCTTGATCACTACTATGATAATCCAAATTCCTGCCGCAAAGTTGAGATCACCTGCGCAGGAAAAGTACGCAGTGTATCGAAACCGTAGAAAACTATCTTTAGCGCCAAGACGAAGCAAGCCTGTTCCTCAACTGTGAAGGATGTTTCGAATCAGCCCTTTCCAGCTTTTCGATGGGTCTGACATGCTCTGAAAATGCCACATGGATGTTCAACAGCATGCCATTTAACAAAGCAATGTGCACTGGGCATAGTAAGGCCTCGTAGAAACTTACTAAATGTCGATTTATTCAGCCATCGACAATACTGAACCAACGCTACCAACCGTTCAGACAACAACGACCACCACAACGACAGCCACGCCAACTGGACGTAAGGCGCAGCTTAGTGATCGTTCACAAGCCAATTTAGCAACCTGCGCACGATGTGCCCGCATCCCTGTGGTGCCAACCGACATGACGTCATTCAATGACGGCGCGACCACGATGCTCAACGGATTCTCTGGCAACTGTTCGACACTCACCATCTTCTGTCAAGTAAGAAATCGGATCTGTTCAACTACAAAGCGTAACTCTAGGCACAAGCCCAAGTCGCACTCGTTTATAAGACTACCTACTTGGCCTACGAACCGAACAACGCCTCGTTGTCCTTGGACTGTAACTCGGATAGCCAATGGGTCCTCGGAGCAGATACGGATACACCACTCATTATCGATCAGATATCCTGCATTTATGCTGCCAGTAAATTGATGTCATTGGAAGAGCTACTTATTTAGATCCAATCAGCACCGGCACAACTACGACGGCCAACCCCGATCCAGCCACGACAACAACGGTCGCGTCAAACAGTAGGGCAGAGGTTCTTCAACCTAAAATCCGTATGACTTTAGGTGCGTGTACCACCTGCCCTAACCTTGAGGCCGAATACCTTACCGGTCTGAACGCGCAAGAAACTAACGGATTGCTTTCCATCAATCATTACACAGTCAATGGTTGTCGCGTGGTCACCATCAACTGCGTGGGAACACATGTAAGTAAATAGCGGCTGAATTGGAAGCACTACAAGCCCAAAAACCTGAAAATATTTGTTTAGAATGCCGAGAATGCGTCGATTGTAGCCAACTTGGGGACCTTTGTCGCGATTAATGTCGGACAAACGTCCTTGACCATACCCTGCAGCTCGGCAGGGAAATGGAGCTACGCCGGCGTCAGCGTCGCAAATGTGGCTTGCATGTTAGAAGGTCAGGATTTTTTATGAATGTTTGAAAAGGACTACTCTCATCATGCGATGCTTGTTAATCAGAATATTGATGCTAAAACCATTGCAGTATTCACCAATGGCGTCACTGGGGATCCAATCACAGATCCAGGCGTGAGCATCAACTACACCACCGGATCTGGTTAGTTATCAGACGAGCCACTTTATTTAAAACCTAGTAATTTTATTGCTTCGTTATTATAGGTGCCTGCCAGAGCTGCTCTCCCCTAAAACTCGTCCAACCTTCTACATTCGATCCTGGCATGCTGACTATCAGTTCTACCACCGGGACCTGCAGCACTGAAAACATCATGTGCGAATCGGCAGTGGTAGGTCTTTGTTTTCAGGGTTTTTTAGTTTTTTTCCGCGTGATCTTATTGAAAAGCACCAATTATTTCTTAGTCCGGCACCGGAGCCAATCTCCTGGATCAAGCGGGCACGGTTCTGAATTCGGGCTCAATGATGGTCAACGCGACTGTTACTTGTCAAGCCGATGGTACCTGGCAAACATCCGGTGGCCAGAGCGTTAGTGCGTTGTCATGCGGAGTTGGTGAGTTCTGTGCTTACTTAGCTTTTGTATTTTGACGGGCCAACGGGCTATTGATTGTTTCGAGACTATTGGCGCGCAAAACACAGGGGTTGAAGTTCATTAATGCGCACTAGAAAACGAACATCTGCAGCAGATGTGCAAGCCTTAGTGCGAAAAGTGCTGCCTCCAGCTACTGGGCGTGAATAATTGACCCATTTTTGTTATCTTCCACCTCCTAACATTTCCAGGCGGCGCCGTGACGCAATCGCTGACAACTACAACGTTGGCCCAGATCATAAGTGAATAGATTGAATTTATTGTCGCAAGTTGTCATTGCAGTAACCACCCCAAGGAATAAAGTGTTCAGCATACAATCGTTTTTAGCCACCGCAGCTTCCGTGACAACGACCACCACGCTGTCATCGCCAGTCACAGATGTAGCGTAGTTTCGAGCTTAGCAATTTCTGCTGCACGCGTCGCATGAACTCGCACATTTTAGGACGCGACTACCCTGGCGGCAGATTGCGGTGAGGCCGCGTGGGCAAGTTGGGAGGCATGGTCGGTATGCACGGATACATGTGGATCATGTGGAGTCTGGCAACGATTTCGGCGATGCGTGAAGCCAGCGGATTCCTGTAAATGCGTCGGGTACGTTTGTTGGGCAAACTACGCACGCTGTAACCAATAACTATAATTTAAGTACCAATATTAGATCCGCGTACGAGAAGGAGCGTTGCAACACGATGGTCTGCAAATATCCGCGAAACGAGAGCTGCTGTGCGGGTTTCGTGCCCGTTGGCAGTGACAGTACCTTCACATGCGTGGCCACATCATCACTCAGCTAGTCAACGATTAAGACCTACATTCCCGCGATGCCTTGTACTTGTGTTGTTTGTCAAAAACCGGTCGAATTTTTGTTTTTGATAAAGTTCGTAATGTTTTTGGATTTTTTATTGGGAATGGAACTGTCGGTAAATTCTATTTGGAAAGAAGAATGTCATTGAATTTTCTTGATGTTTTATACTATGTGTAAATCGATCACCTCAACAGGAAAAAAAGAACTTCAACTGAAACAGAATTTTTTAGATTTCTATAGAGGGGAATTTCAGGAGATACCATTTCTGCATGAAAGTCTTTCGTTGAAGTTCCTTGATATTTTTAACAGATACCTAAAACGTCTTCCACAAGTCATTTCTCTTTCGCAACTTTTGTTGCTGACTCAGATAGGTGTGCCCAACACGACGGTGGTCGCCATTTCTGTGTAGCCGAATGATGAGCGCCATATTTGGGGGCGGCGATAGAAGCAAGAAAGGATAGAGGGAAGGGACACTGATGGGGACTCTGCTCACACCCCTATACCCGAGATAAAGAATTGTGTTGTCGTCAAAACGAGCCACTTCACCGAATAGACGGCGCCAGGCCATCTATTGGAGGAAGGATGGGGGTATGTGGAGAAGAAGACGTGTAGATGGACTGACGCCCGGATAGCGGATCTATTCTCCATCCCTTGAAGACACAATAATCCTAATCCAACAGGCAACCCCTCATCCCCCATTCCCCGTTATGGGCAGGTGGATGAATAGGGAAAATGAGCCGTGGTGCCCGCCCTGACACCACACTGCCCATACTGCTCATCCCAGACTCGTTGGCGGGGGGAATAATATCATCTTTAGCATTTCGACACTTACAGTAGTCCTAGGTACTTGTGTGGACAATTTTCTTGAGGGGGGCATGGAGCTTCATAGATGATCTTTTGTGGTTTTTTTCAATCTACGTTTTTCGGCTGATCCTATCTATGTTAGTAATTTTTTCATCGAAATGAATGAATTTTCAATAGCCATCGATGGAAAGCTGTCGGAAGTTGTGTTCAAGATCTTGGTTAAACACTTTTACACAAAACAGCTTTGCGTCTGACCCCTTCTGTCCTATAAAAGGCCGCCCCCACTTCCGGTAGCCTGACTAATTGGCAACCAGTTTTTCACAAAAATTTTAAATTCAGTCGAGAAAACAGCTGATTTTGAAAATTTTAAGTGTATTTAGAAATCTCGAAAACATTACGCGCCTAACGCCGTGTCGTTCGTCGTACCCTAAAAACCGTTCACCAGCGAGACATCCCTGATAACAGAAGTTGCATGCAAATGCAATCTTTTTATGTTTATGATGGCAAAGACTACGGTGGTTTGTTTTAAATACGGACACGCAGAATGGATGGCTTGCTCAAAACTTTCAATCACCACAGCTTCTCCCTCCTCATGATCGATATAAGTTTTGGGAATGAGAAGTGAGGACCCGGGTGTGTGTGTCTCTCCGGTTGGCTGTTTGGTATTAGAGGAGCCGAGGGCAATCATCCGGGTCTCCAGTGTTGATAAGGGGATGGCCCTTTTAGAGGAGGGACACACCAAGAACCGATCCAAGCAACGGGGCGAGGGCTGAGGTGGCTTCGATATCGCGAGGCCTCCTTCTTCTTCGATACTGACACTCCGCACACACACCCTCCACTATCAGTTATTAGCCCCCCTTCCATTCCTTCACCCCTCACTCCATTCCATTCCATTCTATCTACGCCTTCTATCATGTCACACGGGGCTTCATCTTAGCTATCATACTGTAGACGTCGGTATTTTCGGTCTGGCGGATTTTTAGTTTTTTTTTTGTATACTTAACCTGGAAAATTTGGCAAAAATCAAGGCCTAATACTGGTTAGGAGGTTTCTGATTCGTAGATCTAAACATTAATGACGAAATTATGTAAAAACTGCTCAGCTAATCCGTCGAATTCTTTGTCAACAATGCAATCAATAATGTTGTTGTCTTGCGCAAGAAAAGTGTATTGGCTTCGTGAGTCGGTTTTCTTATAGAATAACACAACAAAGCTACGACTGAAAAGTAGGCGTGACCTTTTTAACTGCAACCCACCATAACCTTTCTTTAAGTTAAAAGCATCCCCTCCCAAAAAAGTATACCTTAGAAATGATCCGGAAAGGTCATGTATCTATTTTCCTATGCAAATCAAGTTTCACTATGCAGAATTTAAAAAAATTTGATTCCTTGCTAGACTAGGGTTTAGAAAGGCGCATTTTTTTTAGCTTTTCATTTGTATAACCCTTTAACCCACAAAACCTTATCTCCCTCCACCTATCCCCCAAAGTGAATTCTATCGAAAGGCCAGGTGAGCCGAGTAATCTCAACCCTCCGGAGGCTAGAGCTGTAGGCGGTAATTGGGGGGATATGGCGTCAGTCCCCTGTCTCTCATGGCCACCCCGGCTGATTAGGGCCCCGCCCGGTCCTGTGAGCCCGCGCACGCGGACGATGATTATCTAAGGGAAGCCAGAAGCGGAAAGGCCACATATCCCGCTTCGAAAAGACAACGAGACCCACTGAGGGCCCAGCAATGGTCTCCCGGGAGACCGATGTGGACGTGGGGGAGGCTGAGGGCCCGAATCGTGTAATTGTAGCGTTGGTCATTATCCAATATTCACCTGTGGGGAGGAGAAAGGGTGGTTGGGGAGACCAACAAGAAGCCGTAGATGCCGAGGAGGGGGCAGACAGATATACAAGAGCCTTGGCTGTGCTCATACACAGCCAACACCATCTCCCACATAGCCTCACGGGCACATTGGCCCTCCCCCCTTCCAGATTTGTAATTATCGGCGTCGGCAAGGAGGGGGGGCGCAGCTCTCCGTCTCATAGACACACCACACCCTCCTCCATTCCACCATATACAGACAGACTCCCCGATGTTATTGAAGCCCTCAGGTGAAAGAGGGGGGTTCTCCCCCACACACTTCTTCTAGAAGGTATTCTACTTCCACATGTGACTTTGATAAGGGATTGTTTTGTTGGGTAGTTCATCTATTTTCCAATATACTGTGGTCATTGAATGATGTTTATGGTTAATAAATTGAATTATCTTTGCGGCTACAGTAACCTGACCGTCGATTTCTTTGGTTTTGCGTCCCCGTCGTTTCTTACAAATACAAAAATTTATACCGAAACTAGTCGGAATCCCTTTCGGTTGCTAGTAAAGATGAAGCTATAGCATATATTTTCCGACCTATCGTGACGAGCTGTAGATGTTCTAAGGCGGAATAGTTGCTTAACTATCCTATCATATGAGTTACAGTAACTACATTTCCCCTTGATTTTAGGTTTTATATCTTTTTTAGTGATTAGAAAGATTTATTTAAAAAACGAGAGGACCCCATGCGATCGTTAGAAAATTATTTTGACCAAACCGATCTTCTGACATCTTTTTATTATAGATATTTTCAGAAATGCCTAGTATTAGTTTTGAAATTCACCAGCGAATGTCTTATAATTCAAACAGCTAACAATAGCCAGGGCTCCTCGCGTTTTTTTTAATAATTTTAATATTGCAGCTCGTAGCCTTCCATCGAATTACTGCACTTCGCTACTACCCTATTTTCCTATTTCGTATTTCTTCCAAAACCATACCCGAACACTTCCCCCGTTTCTCGAGACGTGACCATCAGGTAGTCAGAATCGAGGGATTACCACGTCTTATCAGTTCAATTCTCATTTCTTGCACAGGGTCGTCCCCCCTCCGTCACACGGCTCGATCATTACAATCGCTGACAAGGTGCCCTCATCTTTAGAAACTATGACGCATTGTTTGCAAAATTACATGGCTCAACGGGTATATCAATAACCGCGCCTCTATGTATATATTCTTATAAAAATTCGCATATTTTCGAAACTAATTCATAACCTCTTATATCCCTATCATTTGTTTTTCATTCACCTCACCCATGATGAAGTGACGATATTTCGAATCCTTTATCTCAGCATATTTCGATTCTCATGTGTCAATGCGTCAACAGTTCCTGTAATCTACAGTAATCCCCCAATTCTTCCAGAGCCCATCTGATGACGTCCCTCAACGAGGCGCTGTCACGATTTACGAATGAGGGTTCTGAGGGCACCGATGAGGGATCGCCAAAAAGGGATGAAAAGTGTGTTTTCATCATTAAAGACTCTGTATTCCCGTAGGTAGATACAATTTGCCTATTGCAACGTGATTGAATTCGAATCCGGGCTAGACTTGTTTTTAACGATTTGGAGAATCGAAAACATGGGAAAAAGAGGCAGAAAATGGAGGCTAACTAGTAATTTCCGGTACATTCGATCCACTCTGAATTTTAAACCTATATAAAAAAATTGATAATTTACAAATTAGCAACACGACTTTTAATGTTTTTAGTGGCTCCCCGGTAACGGATGATACCCAAATCGGCGACATCGGTGCCATGGCCATCCAACAACTTGCTGCCTCCCAAGCTGCAAATAGCAGCGTACCCGAGGTAAGCCATCCATAAGATATTTACTTAGCCCCAGAATTCTGTTACAGGAAGTGGAGCGGGAAATGTCTCAATTAGAGCGAGATATCAAGCGTCAAAAGGAGTCATCGGCGAACGCGAAAACGGCAATCACTTTTGATCAGCTAAAGAAGATCCATCAGTGAGTTTTTTTGAAAATATGTAAAAAGCCAAAAAACCCCAGTAATTTTTAAAAACCTCGTAATTTTAGAATCGGCAAAGTACTTGGACCCCAAAAGGAAGCCTTCTACGACCGTATCTGCCGGGCAGCCGATATTCAACGAGCCTCCCTGAAGAATCGATTGAAGCAAAACAAAGAGAAATTCGAACCGGGCGCCATGCAGAATAACTCTTCACGCTACAATAATATACAAAACCAAAACCCTCCACCGCCGTTAACGGTAGGAAACTTTAAATCTTACAGAAAAGCCTTTCCTGTTTTAAGCTATCTTTTAACATCAACTTTACAGGTCGATTCCCCAATCCCACCTGAAGTAAATTTCGGGTTGAACGGAAGCTTCCCAGGCGCTGCGGCATTTCCATTTATGTTTGGAGCTCCGCCAGAACTGTCGCTGGAATGTAAAGTAAGCATTATTTTTAGCTTTCTTGTTCCTTTAAAAGTATATTAGACCAATTTACATAAATTTCAGAATTACATGAGGATGCCTCTTGGTATGGATCATCGCTCGATGTCCCCAGGCTCGCCACATGATGAAGATACCGTTCGAATTCCCGTTGAACGGGTCAATGAATTATTCCAGCTCGGTTTCACATATGATGATGTTAAGGAGGTATAGTTTATACTTATTTACAATCAAAAACCAGTTTTACGTATTTTTAAACACTTTATTCTAAAATAATCTTTAGTTCAATGGCCTCTTCGAACAATTCAAATCCTTATCAAAGGAACTCTGCCCGCCTGCCCAGCTCTTGAGCGCATTTTCGAATTTTATTTCGCAAAGTGTCCCGGAGCCACTAAAGGTCAGTGCTGTCATCTAGCAAACAAAAATATAATCTTTTTAGTTAATCTGCACCACTTTCAACCTATTGGAGATGGGCTACACGAGACGGGAAATGCAAAAGATCGTCAACAAGGAACGGCGGCATCGGCTGGAAGAGGAAAATTTGGATCATAAAGGCCCAGCCATCAAACGTCAATGTTATGAAGAAGCAAGTGAAGCTTAATCTACCTTCATCCTTCCAAATATCTATTTTCATGTTGGTTTGTGAAACTTTTCATGTATATTTGTTCTACTTACAAAGTTATGCCTTTATTTTGCCAATAATTGGCGAACAATTGTGATCTTGCCCCCCCAGCCCTAATCGATTTGCCGCTTTGCACACATGGCACAGCCTTACAGAAATTCATGAGATTTGCAAAAGGTCTGTAATGTAAATCCGTATTTTTTATATTTCTTGCCATATGATCCCAGATTTGCATCCATCTACGGGAACCCGGACTTTTTGACGAAATTTGCACTACAGCGGTCAGGAGCGTTGTGATTTTTTTGCTTTACTTTGAGTGGTTAATGATTTTGCAACGCATATCAAGTGATGAATGTGTTATATATTGAGAATAAAATTTATTCAAAATAGCCTAAGATTCTTTGAGGTTTCGAACGTATGATTTTAGAGTAGAATTTTGCTAAATCGCTTGCAAAGAGTTTTTTTGCATTTGCCTTGGAGTTCAAAAATTTAATTATTTTGTTAACTTTGAAAAATTTAAGAAGCATTTTTAAAACGATGGCGATAGTGAAGATGGGTTGGGGCTGGCATGGATAGCTGCCCGAGAGAGGCATTCCGCGTGCCCCGGGCATTTTAGCAGAGAGGCATTTTAGCAGGGCAACATTAATCGTTCTCTCTCCGCCCAGTTGGCAAAGAAAACATTTTAAAGCGCTTAGCCATTTTTGATCGCTAGAAAAGTATAAAGTATTGTGGGTGGAAGGTGAGAATGTTACCACCACGACACCTCATACAGCGCGCAAACCATGAAAGCTGGAAACTTCGAGCAGATGCGCAACTGCAGGAGATTCTGGACGAGTTGAAATGAGCTGATCGTTGCGCCAGGAGGCCCGATCGGTAAAAAAGTACAGTTTATCTACACAGAAAGGCTCCTTTCCAGTTTCGACTCGCCAATTGTCATTGTCTTAATAGGAATAGTACAAAAAAGCCATAGCATTTATCAAAAAAGCCGAATCAGGTAAAAAAAATCGCTTAATTAGTGCTTCTCGGGACGATGTTGTCGCCTAGAAGTCGACCAGCTTGGGCGGGTCGGCGGCGGGCTCATCCTTCTTTGCAATCAACTGAAAACTAAACCATCAATAACCATCTATTAAAATCAGCATGCGATTAAACTAATCCTAGCCAGGGTTTTTTGTCTATTCTTATAAAAGAAAATCAGTAGACATAGAGAAAGGGGCGCGGGTATGTTAATGCGGAGCGCTCAAAAACCTTAGTATTTAGCAATTTTATTGTTAAACTTAATTAAGCGATTAACCTGGCAAGTATCAGTCGATAGGGCGTCTACAATTATGCTCATTCCTGAACGTAGGGTAACGGGGGTGGGGGAACTGATTTTTTGAATTTATCGAATTTTGAAAATTTCGCGCGAAAACTACGTAAACGCGAAAATACTACCCTAACAGGAAGAGGTTCTCGGTTCGGAACCGAAATGGCTCTCAGATTTTGCGTGCTTATAGAGTTTTTGCCAGTCCGAAAAAAACGGATTATTAGGTTGGTCAGAAAGTAGCTAGAACCTTTTTCGCAATTTTCCATAGATACACTCGAAATCAATCCAAAGCCTTATAGTGGTCCAACTATTTTATGTGTAATCTTCTGACCATATTCACAAATGCGATGAAACGGGATACTACGCCCTTCCAAAATAGATATGATTGATTTAGCGAAATTTGAGTAAAACAGCCACATCTACGCGTTCACAGTACCGAATATGGCGCTTTCTGTGTACTTATGTGCAACAGCATTTGGCATATGCTGACGCTAAACAGCAAAGAATCCCATGGCAAACTAAGAAGAAACACCCAATAATCAAAAGCCCTCGGGGTCAAAGTTTTCTGGTGCGATGCAAAGAAAGCTAAAAACAAAAATATTGGCTGGTGGAAAATTATTGGTTTTTGACTGAATATAGCCCAAACCTTGCCGCATTTGGGAATATAAATATTGGTTACGCGGGGCCGCTCGTTTTTGCAAAATAATTCGCTAAAGTTACATTCTAGCTACTTTCCGACCAACCTAATAGATGTATGGGACATTTCTTAGGATTACCTATGGTTCTTGATCATGGATAATCAAAAAGTAAATTACAAATAAAGGTTTATATTGAGTATAAAAGTAATCAAGTTCACCCACAACCGGCTGCTTCTTTGGCGCGCCCGGAATAGGATGGGGCGGTGCGGGGGCCGACGGGGTGGCCATCTCGTCGTTGGTCATCGTGGAGCCGATGAATTTAGAGGGGGTTGCAGAGAACATCGAATAGATTTGTGGAGCAGCTCTTCTCGGATTTCTTTCATACTCTGAAACCGGAAGTACGCCAATCTGAATAGGCTGTTCTCGTCACGCTATTTTTTTCGCCCGTAATAAGCGATCAATTTACCTTTGGAAATTTGAAACATAGCTCGATTGAGAAAAACTACGCACTAAAGGTTTATTTTCTTTGCTGATTCTTGGTATTGCTATTATTAAACTTGTTCGTTATTTTTTACTCTACTATTCGGGGTTTACCGGGGGAGATCGGGTTTTCGTAAGATCCAATTTTCCAATCATAGCAGGAATGTTTCCCAATTGTTTTTTACGACTCCTAAGCGTAAAAACGTTACAAATTTTGCTAAAAACTAAAAAAATGTAGATTTGAGACACGAACTTTACCAAAAAATTTTCTAGGTTTTTTGATTGTTTTTCTACTTGCGATATAGCTAAATCACACTAAGATACTATTAAATGTAGATTTTTGGTCCAGGTTTCTAGTCAACATTTTTCAATTCTGTATATGTTTTTCTCCTTGAATTATGGTTCAATTTTATTAAAATACTTTCTTAATCCTACTATATCTATAAAAAATAGTGTCTGTGTGTGTCAGTGTGCATTTGCATGCAAGTTCCGTCAGTATGTCTGGTAGAAATTTAAGGGGCGTGTGATAAATCGGATAGCCCCTTGCTGAATAACATACATCGGAAGTGGCATGAGTCCATATAATGGGAAAGGGGTGGCGTTTTTTGGTTTTTTTTGTGATCAAAGTTGACGAATATCACGAGATCGGAAGGGGGAAAACCCATGTATTGGTTAAAACTTGAATTTTTCCCGTTCTGTTCTGTAAAAAACTAACATAAAATTAAGATATTTTAATATTCCTTTAAAGGGGCTCCGAACTTCTGACGCTTTTTCTGGAATCCTCACCGAATTTTGATGATGCCAGACGTTTCTGTCATGAAAATTAATCAGATAATCACCGAGATCGAGAGATTGGGCGTCTAACAAGGCATTACGACACGCCCACTCAAAGGTCGTTTTTGCCCCGAGAACTTTGCGGTTATACTCAAATATTTTACGTATTTCGCAACGAAATCCCTTTTCTTTTCCTTCTCGGCAGTAACCGGTCCTTTTTTTTGGCCGGTAGGTTCAATCCCCCGCATACACGAATTTTGACTTCCGAGCCCCTTTAAGTGTGGAAGTCGCGCCTTATTTTGCGCCAAATCTGCTAATCAATCAACGAATAGCCCCCACATTTCCTTTCCCACAGCCGAAACCTCACTTCGTGCGTGATTTCCTGGAACCGATCCAAAGAATGTGGAAGTGTCGGGGGGGGCGAAGGGCAAGTGAATGGAGAACATATTCAGCTGCAGATCACTGCAGGTCAACCCCCCCTGAAATAGCATAGCGAAAGCCGCGGATGCGGAAATTGAGATCCGGAAATTTATGGAAAACGAATGCGAGTGCATACATCAAGCATCCCTATCAGCGATGACAGTCCACGCACGATTCTCCCACGCACCCGGTTAGCATTTTCTCGTTTTGGCTCCGATTCCCCCATATTCCCAGCCAATGCCGCGCATTTTTTGACTCCCCGTAATTGACGTAAGGACTTTTGGCTTGCTAAACATGTCGTAATTTGCAATTTGTCTGGGAAGATCGGGGGAGGGGGGGAGAAGTACTGTACTTGGAGGTCTGTACTTTGCAACGGAAATTGCACTAATTTCTCTGATGATTTTTAGCGGAATGTCGGAATTCATAATCTTGCAATTTTAGAAGGGAGAAATTCCTTTTTTCCTAAATTCTTTTTATATCCCATTTTATAGCCCCCAAAACTTCAATATGCCGCGTTTCACAATGAAAAATCAACTAGAAACTTTTCAAATCTGCTGCCAAAATCTTCGACCGAAAATTCGAATTTCGACATTTCTAATTAATTATTTAATAGTGCCCGAAAGTGTGCCAAACTTTTTACCTTTTGACACAAAATAAATTTTTCTTTGCACCTTATGCATTGGAAAGTTCTAATTTGCACGACCAACTTCAAAATTTTTCTTGTAAATTTTTGCTAATTTTTATTCCAAGAATTCACTGAGCCCTTCAAAAAATAACCTCCCACCCCAACCCGACAAAAGGCTCACATTTACATTTCAAATATCTCGAACCCCATCCTCATCAACAGTTTTTTGCTCCCCCTTCCACCCTATCAACAATTACCAACGATGCGCCAATTTTTCCCACATCCCACATTTCAGACGCACTTTGTCCACCTCATCAGAATATTCTACGCATCCCCTCCTTGTGGCTCATTCTGACGTCGCCCACACACTATTCTATGCACCGTGCCACCCATCTAAAACCTAGCCTATAGGCTTAATACCGCCCTAAATACTACCCAACCCCAACTTTAGTGCTTTGAAACTGAAGACGCCGTGCCGAAAACAGCTTGTCGCCATTTCGGCAAAGGTTGAAGCATGTTCAAAAATTCAAGTAGCCCGCCCCTCACCCACCAAGTTATTTTGTATTCTGGGATGCTCTTTGCACTATTTTTGGCGGCTTCAGTTTGACCTGTGAGACGTTTTCGAAACGTGGTTTTCGACATTTCGAGGCACGACGCCTTTAGTAAACAGTAGAACCAATTTTTGAAAGTTTCTTTTTGCAAAATAGGCGTTCCTGGTTGGCTCCAGCTATTTAAA